CAGACCCAGACCCAGAGGAGAGAGTCCACTCCCGTCTAGCAAATTGCGGGGATCAGGAACCACACAAAAGCTCGTGTTTATTTACAGCAACAGAACAGGTTTTCAATACGAAGAGGTAATTTACCACCTTAATGGGTCCGGAACTCGGCCTCTCCTCGCCAATCCCATTGGTCCTCGCTATACGGCTCGCCGAGGAGGCGGGCGACAAGCGGCAGGGATTAACCCGTGAGCTATACGACGAGTCATCTCAACCCCTTCCCCCTGCGCTAGACTAAACCGTACCGTGCAGTACCTGCGCTAGCTCGACTCACGCTTAGCGCCCAGCTGATGATTTATGCATCCTTGATTTGTGGTTAAAAAGAGAAGTCAAATCTTGGTTCTTGTCAGCCTCATGATTTTCATGCTTTAAATTGACCCTCGTAAACAGTGATCTTCTACTTTATTTAGGTCAAGCAATTTAACCTTGTCGTGTAGCTAGCACCTCCACTACGACATCATCACTACAGACTACCAAGCTACAGAACTTTGCTGGAATATTGGGTCTGCCGGCTTATCCGAACAAGACTAGCGTTTTTGAGTTTCATCTGGTATTGCCGGCTCCTGAACTGGACGGATAAATCACCGGCGGGAGAGCGTTTACGAACGATTGGATGTAAAAGTCTCAAACTTCATGATTGGGTCAGACACTCTGTGGAATACGGAGCTGACACGGGTAAGCTTACTGGAACTTGATGATTCAGTCAAATATATTCCGACCGTGTCTGCTCCACTGAACAATCTACTGGCTCTTTTCCCGCGCCATCTGGCTGTCCAGCAATTCCTTCAACTCGCCAGTGCAATCTTCTTGGCCCATGAAGACTTCAATCATCGTGACTCCCTCGCTATCCTGTACCGCTTTCGAGTCCATCGCTGTCCTCAATTCCGCAAATGTCTTTGCTGAGAAATATCGCTTCGATGCCTCTTCTTGGCTCAATCCAAACAGCCCAAGGGCATGTTGGTGGTTCCACGGCGAAATGTCGTTGTAATCCGCATTCCTTCCGTGAATGGCCCGCTCAATTGTGTATCCGTTGTTGTTGATGACGAATATGATTACGTTGAGCTTTTGCTTGACGATTGTGCTGATCTCTTGAGCAGTCATCTGCAGACTTCCGTCACCGATAAACAAAACTGCTCGCTGCGAACCGTTCACGTCCCGTTGGGCTAGCGCTGCACCGAGTGTGGCGGGGAGCATGTATCCGATCGATAGCCATGTCACGCATGTGAAGTAGCGACAGTCTTGGGGAAGCTTGAAGGCCTTTCCACCAGTCGCAGCAGTACCAGTTTCGGTCAGAACAATATCGCCACGGCGGAACATTGGGTTCACGTAGTGGTAGAATTGAGCTTGGTTGAGAGCATCCGATGGTGAAGGCTCAGCTGGCGCCTTTGCTGCGACAGCAGGACTCTCAATCTTGGCAAGTTTAGAAGAGTCAAGTTGGCTGACGATCCTTTCAAGATACTGTCGAGGGTCCACGTCCCGAATGACCTGGCCAGCGATCTTGATCTGACCAGGCGAAAACGAAACAGTCACACTCTCCTGCGGCATCGTCTTGAAGATTTCAGTGTTGATGTTGCTCATGTGTGGACCGAAAAACAAGATAAGATCAGAAGACTTGAAATAGTCGAGGGACACTTTATCTTCGGCGTTGGCCAGGTATACGCCATGCACGTTGGGTAACTCCTCGCTGATCAGACCTTTTCCAAATGCCGTTGTCCAGGTTGGCCAGTTGGTAGTGTTGATGAGCTTATTGATCTCGTCAATAGCATCGATACTACGACTCTCGCCGTCAACATAGAGGAGAGGCTTGGAAGCAGAGTAGATACGCTGCAAGATCTTATCAACGGTCTCCGCGCTGATCTCAGCAGCGGACGGCGCAGGGCGAATAACAGGCTTCTTCTCAAAATTAGCTGTCGAGACCTGCATCGAAACCAGGTCATCAGGGATCTGCAGATAAACCGGTCTCTGATGGATCATGGCTTGCTCAATAATCCAGTCGATCTTATCAGCCGCAGTCTGCACATCCGTCAAACACGTCTGCGCAGCTGTAACATGTCGGTGCATCTCTGCAAACCTCCCATACTCTCCGTCCAAGAACGTATGATGCACCAACGCCCTCGCACTCTGGAGGGTTCTTGATGGTGCACCGACGATGTGGATGACTGGTGCTCGTTCAGAGTAAGCACCGGCGATGCCATTGATCGCTGAGAGCTCGCCCACGCCGAAAGTAGTGATCACGGCACTGAGACCTTGAATGCGAGAGTACCCATCTGCTGAATAGGCGGCGTTGAGTTCATTGCAGTTTCCGATCCAGTTGATGCCAGTTGGTTTGATGTAGTCCAGCAATCTGAGGTTATAATCGCCTGGAACGCCGAAGATAGAGCCGATCTCGAGTTGTTTGAGACGGGTAAAGAGGTACTCCCCGAGGGGGACAGTTGCCTCCTTTGTATGTGTCATCTTGTGTGTAAATGTCGTTTGTATCTATGATGAGAATTGAAGAGGTGTTGAAGAATGAAATGTCTTTATATATCTACAAGAATCAGGGCGTCGATGACATCCCCGCGTTGATCCGCGTCTTGACGCCTTTGATTGCCGGGCTCACATTCCAAATCGGGCAAAGTAGCAGAAACTCCATGTCTAGCCGGTTCATAACCTCTTTTGCCGAGGCAGGCCCGACTGTGGGGATCGGGGGCTACGCCAAGTATGGTGAATCAAGCGGCGTTAGGGATGGAACATTATTCATCCTTGATGCCCGCCGGCGCCGCAAATCATTGATGGGACACCAAGGTAGCAACCATGATAAGCTTTCGAACCCATCTGAGCCATACCCTTGAGAAAATATTACAAGGCAAGCCTTTTTTTAATAAGAGATAAATTAGATCAAATAGTTGAGATAAGGGAAATAACTGTTTTATCTAAACCTAAGGTCGAAAACTGGGCTAAAGAACGATGAAGTGGTGTACAGGGTAAGCGGGGCCCTCTGATAACGACCCAGCGTTGGCTCAATTTCCAGGCACGCGTGACCACCAGAGACATGACAAAGGGCGTCGAATTCGTTATCGTGACCTGACACCAGGCTTTACACCGTGAGTATGCGGTTGCCGACCGCCATTCGACTAATTCTATGCTAAATCACCAAAACGTCAGAGCTGCACTCCTCACTCTGTAAAGGGTGCCTGTTCCTTATCGGTATCGATAAGACAGGGATATCGATAGGGCTGACTTAACTGATCTCATTAATTCAGGACAAGGATGACCATGTTGATTTACAAATTTAGATACAATTATTTGTGGATTCTGTTACCGATATTTCACATCTATAATTAGGATCTAGGAATAACTATCCGAGATTTTACTCAACAGCCTTGCTGACGAAGTGCATGGTGGCTCGTGTCCAGGTGCTACCTCCTTTCGTCAATTGATTTGTGAGTCTCATCCAAAAAGCTGCAATTTGCACTCGTGTCGTAGAGCATATCAAATAATTGTTAGTTCAAGTAGATAACCCAATTGCAGATTTCATGCCATACTGCCTGAACTGACTCTACACGAGTGTTATTTTGAGTTGATTGACCTGACAGCTGATGCTCACATTACGCGCCCCACGCAGATTTTACGCGTGCTCATTCCTTGCATCTGGAAAGCCCACCAGATAATGGGGGTAGAAAACGACGCCCTGAGGCGTTGACGGATGAGCCTTGATGGGTTGATATACGAGGAAAGTCAGGCACGTCTTTGAGATGAAATAGGTAAAATACCACTGACACTAAGTTCAATAGCATCGCCGTCGACATCACTATTGAATATATGATATAATTAGTTTGCTGGAAATAGTGCGACTGGACCTTGAAAAAAGTCTCAGGCCGGGGACCGTTCTTGTAGGCGACTCCTGTGGCTTCACTTATGGCAACATGATCATCTTCTCCTTGCCTCGTATGGTGTTAGGACAGTTGTAGTGGACAATGTCGGCACCTAAATCAAGCCCATTGTTGAGTTGAGAGTCAATATGACCATGCAAGAAAGCATTGCTAAGTCAACATGACATGTATCGAATTCAGGATCACTAACTAAGATGCAGTCTCAAGGCCATGATCAGCTACTGGCTTGGCAATCGTTTTGGAATTTTCACTTTTCGATGGGGCTTCTTGGCTTGGAGGCTAATTGCCTTGCTGTCTCCAAGGAAACACCCTCTTGACAACAGCGACATTAGTCTTCGCAACCTCTGACCGAGTTTCCAAGAGTCGGAACGCCCTTCCGCCGGAAGCTTTCCGATTGTTGAACTTCAGAATACTTCAATACCAAGAGCATTACAACCATTGATATCGCTTCTCAATCTGGCCCCATCTCGAGTGCAACTACTGTGAAGCAAATGCAAGCCACTGGAGGATGTTCTGGTCGCCGAAGAGATAGCTGAATATTTTATGATGACGGTAACTTCAGATACGTCACTGGAGCAGTGCTGTGAGATGCAGCCGTCGGTTAGCTGGCCAATACCGTTACAAGTCACACCAACCTCTCATAAAAACTAACTGCTTGTAGGCATACAGGGACATGTTTCTTTTCTCAGCCAAAAACTGATCTTTCTCAATTCAAGATTGATAGTGAAATCAAGATGCATCACCTGGTAGGTTGCTCACGTTCTTGCAGATCATGTTACCGTAAGCAGTAAATTATAGAGAGAGATGCATCAACTATCTCATATCTATCGCTTGCGAAATACATGTTCTGCAAGATGAATGGTCAGCTCGGCAATCTTATCTATTCCATCTGTACAACCTTGTCCCACTTTGTCAAGTTCAGGCGAAACGTCAACGCTGCTGCGGGGTAGCTTCAACTCTATTCCGCTTCGGCATCCAGATTCATGGCCCGAGACCAAAACCGACTCAAACACTACAAACGACACTCTACTATACCAAACTCCAGCACAGTTGGGTTAATTATATAAGAGACGATGAGTTTACAACAAATCATGGAGCATCAGCTCGATAACTCGACACTCTCAGACACAATGTACTCTCTCATGTCTCCAGCCGTTCTGCTAGGGTCTCTTTTCTTCTCGTTCCTAGCTGCAGCGAATTCTTCTATACCACAAGTCACTCTTCAAGGCTATGGTACATTCGCTGGTACAAACATCTCCAAGACCTTGCTCGGAGACAACCTTCCTCAACCCGTCAACGCCTGGCTCGGAATTGACTATGCCGAACAACCCGTAGGCGACAGACGCTTCCGCCCTCTGCAGTCCCAGCCCCAATCCCTCAAGGGCGTGCAAAATGCTACAAAATACGGATCAGTCTGCTTGCAGGATCTCATGTACCCTAACCCAGACGAACAAGACGAAGCGTGCTTGAACTTCAATGTCTTCCGTACACCTGGCGTGCCGCTCAGCAAGAAACTACCCACGCTGGTTTGGATCCACGGCGGTGGTTTTGCATCATTCTCAGGACGAGATTTCGATGGCGCTTCTTTTGTTGCGTCTTCTGCAGATCCGGTTGTTGTTGTTTCGTTCAACTACCGTCTCAATGCGTTCGGATTCTTACCCAGCAAGCTGTTCGAGCGTGAGGGACTTCTAAACCTGGGTCTGCAAGACCAGCGCTTCTTCTTGCAGTTCTTGCAGAAACACCTGAGTTCGTTTGGTGGAGACCCTCGACAAATCACGCTCGGAGGTTTATCAGCGGGAGCACACTCTACTGCATTTCACTACTTCCATAACTATGACTCTGATAAGAACAAGCCTCTCTTCGCGCGTGCGATTCTCCAATCTGGTTCAGCGACAGCTCGATCGTTCCCAGGTGTCGACTATCCCAGATACAAGAAAGACTTCGCAGGCCTGATGAAGTATATCAACTGCTCCACCGACGTGAGCGACAAGGAGCAAATGGGTTGCCTGCGCAGCGCGTCTGCACAAAAGATCAGGGAATACTCAGCAAAGGCATACGAGGATGCTAAAGATCAACTGAACTGGCCTTGGCAACCGTCAATTGGAGGCCCATTGATCGAGAAAGCGGGATCAAAGAGTGAAGAAGAGGGCACGTTCCACCATCTCCCTATCATCACGACCTATACCTCCAATGAAGGAAAATACTACACTCCCGGTAACCTAGAAACCAACGATGACTTTGTTCAATTCTGGCACCGAATCAGTCCTGGTCTCAACATCACAGACCTCGCTCTCATCAACGAGCTGTACCCAGACCCTGTAGCATACCCTGACTCCCCATGGGCCGGATCCCCGAACAGCACTCAGTACAACCGCATCTCAGCTGCATGGTCCGACATGGCGTACATCTGCATGAGCCGCCACACCGCCATCACTACATCCAGTGCTGGAGTTCCCACCTGGAGTCTTCATTTCAACACTCCTGACTTTCCGTTGGTTGCGCAGTCCTGGAAGGGAATTCCTCACGCCTCTGATGCTGCATACATCTGGAATGATCCCCATGTTGCTTATCCTGAGACTGCGCGAATTTACTACCAGTACATCAATAGCTTTGTCTTGACAGGTGATCCTAACAAGAAGAGGTTGGATGGAACTGTGGAGTGGCCGCAGTACAAGGCGGGTGAGAAGGGAAGTGCGTATGCAAAGCAGCTTTTGGTGAACCCTGGAAACTTTACTGTTGTCGAGGAGGATAGAGGTCGGGGAAGGCAGTGTGAATTCTGGAATGATCTTGAAAGAGCTAGCCGTCTCTACAAGTAGAAATGATCTATGTCGGATTGATGTTCCGTAATCTCAGCGATCAACGCACATCAGCAGGCATCACAGTAGAACAGGAAGCGGGCTTTATTTGCATATGCTATGCAAAACAATACAAAAGGACCCGTTGAAACCATTGAAGCACCACCAATCATAAAGTCCTCATCCAACTCATCACACTGAATGTCTTTCCCAAGCGTCTCCCATAAACTCCAAAAGCGGGGGCCTGTCGCCATGATATACGCATGAACTTCCTTGTCAAGGCCAGTATACCGACCAAATTTTGTTGTTATCCAGCACCAGTTCGGTGATCTAACAACCGTCAGCCTCGGCCAGAACCCGTGACACGATACGGATTCCTCACCGCATATTCTTCTCATTCTTGGTTTCCCAAAGGTTAGCTTCTTCAGCCTTATGCTCATTTTTTGCAGATAGACGGCGACGCATGCTTATGAAAAGGATTTACTGTATGCGTTTGAGCGTTTTTCAAACCTGACCACGATCGAGGTCACTCCAGCAGCCCAAGCGCCAGCTGCATATGCGTGAGCGACGGGGTTGAGGAACATGTCTACGAGGATGGTTCGTTTCCGGTCGAGAGTAGTAAGCATTATTCGTGAGGATGATGCTCGGATTTCAAAGACGATGGGTACGAACCAACAGCCAGGTTAAATGATCCTAACAGCTAAACGGAGAGCCCTGTCCTCCGCAAATTCGTTCCGTGATTTGACATCATCAACATCTTTCACTTGAGCCCTATGAACACCTGGCCGTGAATAAAAAAGCCGCCGCCCTGGAGACCTCGACTGTTGAGTGTTTAACTAATGAGTTACTTGGCGCAAGGATTGGAGGGTCTTATACGCCTCGAAGGCCGGCCAAAGAGTCATCATCTAGGTTTTCCTCTTATCAGCCTTATGCTATAGCAATTGGTCAGACATCTTGGTATAATGTCTAAGTTGTGAGCTAGAAGTGTTATTTGCCGCTGAGACCTGTGGCTGAGAGCTTAATCCGGCCGAGAAAAGATAGTTACTTGGTGCAATTTGTGATCTTCTGCCAAACAGCGACATCAAGAATCTTCGACTCGCCAGCCCTCTTCTCGGTCAAAAATGCCAGCTGCAGATCAGTTGCGTTTTTATGTCGCCCGATCTTTTCAATATTTAGGTAGCCCAGGCTATTGCCACACATGAGATCTATCGAATGGGCGTAGAAGAGATCATTTGGAACGATGCGACTTTGGTCCCCTCCGGAGGCGGCGGAGATCTATTCCACGATTGCTCCGACGAGAGCTACGAAGAGGTTCCTGAGAAGATAGCCGCCGAATCCCAAGAAGGCTTTGCCTGGCTTGTTCGTGGCTGCAAGAGTATTATAAAAGCCGCTAAAGATCGTATGGGGGACACATTCTCACGACCTGAAGATGTGTCGAAACAACACCAGTTGAGTAATGCAATACCATACCAAGACTCATTTGAGTACTACAATCTCCTGGAACGTCAACAGAGAGATATAATAGTGTCAAAGATAGATGATAATATCTTTCGTTACACTCTTCGACAATTCCCGAACTTGAAGAGACTGGTCGTTACCCCGGCTGCTTACGGATATCTCTTTGAGCCTCTGTACAGAACACCCATGATCAGATCTTTTCCATATGAATTCATCTATTTTGTACCCCGAGGATGGCCCACACCCTCGTCTAGAAGCGAATGGGCATTCGCCATGCCTTGGGTTGACGACGACGGCGTAGAGGAAGACGGGAGCTTATACCATGGGTTTCGACTCGTCACAAAGGTCCTGGCTGAAGAGAAGCACACCGTCACAGAATTGATGCTTGAAGCTCATCAGCTGAATACTGGCATCAATCACTTCACCCTGAACCGAGGAACGGAAGAATGCGACAGTTTCTGCGAAACAGTAAGACGTCCCGGTTTCCAGAAACTTCAATTATCACTTCTCGTTGGTTTCTATCTTGGAGAAGATTATGATATATATGACAAAGGTTCCTTATACGACGCCCTTTATGGAGCGACCGATATGAGGCATTTTAGCTTTCATACTGACTTCGCTACGGACCGACGTTCTTGGACAATCGACATGTATGAATACACGTCGTTATTCAATTTCTTTCCCATCAACCGATAGCAGTAGCTCACGCACTTCGGGCTATCAAACGTACTGGTAGCACAAACCGATCTTATCGCTTTCCTGTCAAAGTTACCGTCAACATTAAAAACTATTGAGTTGTGCTTTCTCACTTTCATGGAAGGGGACGGCCACTATATAAGCCTAATGGAAGATATCCACGATAAGCTCGATTGGAAACACCGACCTCTTGAGGGAAGGATCAACATATTGGCCAAGGCCTTTTGTTATTTATCGTACTATGGCCGATATATCTGTGTTGACAAGGAGTTCGAAGAATTTATCTACAATGACGGACCGCAGCCGTTCCAGCTTAGACAGCGCGGTAACGGCTCTGGCATTGATCCGGGTACTGGCGTGCTAAAAGACTTGCTTAATCCAACTTGGGAATGACCCAATGATTACTCCCCAGAGAGAAGGTTGGTATTTCCACGACAGCAGTAGCTTCGATGCGGCGATGGACCTGGTGCTCGACCTCCATCAATTTCTCAGAACGCAAGATCAGGGACATTAATCCGATACTTATAAAGAAAGCCTGTGACTCATGGAGGGAGATTGTAAGCTGATGGATGGCAGGATGTTGGGTGCGCAACATGAGAGAACCCTTGAAATCACAAACACATCATCGATGAAGAGCAGGTTGTGTTCTTCGCTATTGATAGATCATGAGATTTGACAGGACTTGATCAATTGTAACACAGGCTCCAAATTATAGGCGACCCTTCTATTCTGCTTATCTGATTTCTGCTCTGGCGCATGATATATCCACAAAATGTCATAAGCGGATCACAATACTGCCATATTTTGCTTCGAAACTTTGGTCTGGCTCCCAGCGTAGCCTCTCTCGGCCGACCTGTGCACTGTCACAACATTGGCGTGCCAGTGTTTGGCAGTGATTCATTCACTCACTTCTTTATGGCGCAACAACTCGAGCTCCATACATGAAGACGGTGTCTTTGATCTCCTTCTCTTCAATCCATCCCACCTGCCCTTCTTCCCTCCTTTCATTTCACGCCCCGTTATCCATTCATTTATCCATTCATCATTCATCATTCATCATTCATCATTCGTCATTTCATTCCTCTTCTTCCACCATCACTCAACCTTGTTCTTCCTCCTTCATTCCATCCTCAACCTGCCGGGCCTATGTCCCAATACGTCAGGTGAGCTTTTCTCTGACCATGGTTACTTCACTTTAATTGACGAAACATTTAAAGACACGCTTGCTTCAATTTGGTGCCATCCAGGCCGATTCCCGGGGCTCATCAAATCAATGGCCTGGTCGGAGAATTCTGTCGCCAGCCCAGGATGCTCCCGAAGGTCACGGTATCCTGCTACAACATGTACAGAGTACTGGCAACTCAAGCCCTTCAGCTGAAGCTTCTTGCAGTCATGGATCTTGAGGGGATGCCTTTCGATCCAAACCCACGATTAACCACGAGGATTCTGGGTGACATCAACGGCAACTTCCCGCAGCTGCAGACCTTGGTTCTAGGCGAGTTTCTCAACCCTAATTTCCCTTGGGGTCAGCAACAATTTCGAACCCCAGCAGAGCGAGCTGAGCTGGTGAGTGGCATACACTGCCCTTATATCATAGCCACCCTTTGATTGACATGCATTTACAGAACATATGGTCGCGAGGGTCTGTATGGTCTTGAACAAGATGCAAAAGCTGACCCGATTTGCTTTCGTGCTCACTGATGAGACGGTTGGAGAACACATCGGCACCCCTGAGGAGTGTTTTTACCCATGGTATGAGGGCGTTTCCGACACCAAGAAAGATTGGTATTCCCATCTAGTACGCGCCATTCTCCGTGTTGTTCCCGGGCTCCAGCAGCTTTGCGTTAGAGCTCGGCGTTCAGTCTACTGTCGGGGAACCAGAATCTCGGGCGATTCAAACCTGGCTATCACGTGGAATACCGATCAGGAAGAAACCACTGATGAATTCAACAACTTCTTCGTTTAGGCCTCGTCCTTCTCTGGAGAGTCAGTCGAGGGAATCACGTCAGGATCCCTAGGGATTTAGATCTGACTATCTATCATCTGACAGCCTATCCATTCAGTACGCAAACAGCATTACATCCTTTTTGAGGCAAACGGATATTTTGGGGCATACTAAATCGCCCAGTGAGATCGAATTATTTCTTTCATTGCTATGGTTCGTTTCTCAACGATCCCAAAAGCGTATTTCCAACGGTCTGTAGGGCCGGCGGTGGCCAATACGGGGGCTGAAATGACAGGAGAGCCTCGTGGTTACCCACGATGTACCGTTATTAGACCGTGCACAATTGCGGGGGAACGCTAGGAGGAAAGTTGATATTTGGGGGGGATTTATCGGCGCATCGTAAATTTCGACTCCTGAAATACGTGGAAGGGGGTCACTCTTTTATCGATACCAGGATCTAGTCTGACTTCGGACAGATTGCCATTACTACAGACTAAGGGCTTCATGTTTTCTTATTGCAGTTACTCAGTTTTGGACGGAATGTATTACATTTACTATACTTGATTCGTAAACCTAAACAGGCGATTTCACATGCGCACATGCGGACACTGTCCGCATAACGAGACTGAGCACGGTGCACGATGCACAAGGACCATTGATTGTTGGGGGGGTCTCAATTGCAAATAACATCTGTGCACGATGCAGGCAGCTCAACGATGTGGACACTGTCCATAGCCTCCTGCGTGGTAACCTATCTACCTTGGTTGAAATCAATACGAAATGCAACTAAATCCTGTCCTTGATTAACACAAAGGACTCTTTATTCACATGCCTTCTCAGTCTAGATAGCTCATCATGCACGGCGCGTATTCTGAGGAATAAAGAGGCGGTTGAATTGAGTGTGCATACCGCTAATTTAAGCTGACATTCTGGCATGCTTAAGCGTTGGGGGTAGATCGTCCATCTGACATATTGCGTGGAGAGTCTTTTGAGAGCATTATTTTAAGTTGATGAAGCTAACAGCGATGCTTGATGCGAGAATACATGGGCGTATGTACTTCAAGAGGATTCTCACCACGCTGCCTTACAAATTCCAGGCAAACAAAGAGCCTGAATTTGCCTTTCTCATATGCCATCCTCTCTTCAATACGCGTAGTACAGCGTGGACTCATTCTCAGACTGCCTGATCTTCTTATTCTCCTGCATGAGCCAAAACCTCATTCCCCACGCCCCAATTGCAGTTGCGACACTCAGCGCAGCGCTTGAAGACATGGCCATGGTGTAGCGAGGTTCATCGGAAGAAGGCCACATGTACGGAGTCCAGATGAAGGATGCTACAGCAATACAGTTGACGATGGCGAGGGAACAAGCTTTCTTCTCTTTGGTCTGAGAGCAAGTGGCTGAGACCCAACCGAGGATGATGCTGTTGACTGCATATGTACCGATCGAAAAGACACACATTGCGACTATATTCGTCAGTGCCCATCTTAATACGCTGACAAAGTCTGGAACTTACAGTATCGAGCACCAGTATTGAGCGTCGCGCAACCAAGAATGAAGCCAAACACCGCGACCGCCTTCGCAATGGTGATATGCCTACAGAGTCAGCACCGATATTATCATCAACGTGGATAAACTTACCAAGTTCGCTCATTAAATCGTCCAGAAGACCACGACCAAGCAATCGAAATTGCTCCCGCAATCAAATAAGGGGGACATGTCAAGACCAGGGTGATAGTCTGATTGAATCCCAGCGTCTTGACAGCAGTCGGAAAGAAGTTCTTGAAGCCATTCGCACCAAGATGACAATGCTGCATGACGACGAAAAGCCAAACCTTGGGATCTTTCGCCGCTTCACGAATGCCAGAGAAGCTTGTTGACTCGCCGGCATTTCCTACGGTGTCGCGCTGGGTTCGCTCGTGGGCTAGTTGGCGTTCTTGCTCAGTCAACCAGTGTGTTGTGAGGGGCTCGTCGGGGAGGACGAAGAAGCCGATGAGTGCGACTAAGAGGGTAACGGCGCCTTGGATGATGAAGAGCCATTGCCAGCCAGCGAGATTGGCCTATAAAATTAGTGTTTAGAGAAGTCGAGTGATGGGGTTGACGACGTACCATTCCGTCCATCTCAAAGATACCTAGAGCGATCAAGCCTGCAAACGCCGTGGCAAGAATATTTCCGGTATACAGGATGGAGATGCGAGTCGCAAGCTCCTTGCGAGTGTAGAATCTTGCAAGGATATACAGTGCACCAGGATAATACGGCGCCTCAGTAATGCCCAAGAAGAAGCGCGTCAGCAGCAAACCGGTATAGTTACGACTCAACGCTGTCAAGCCACTGATGATGGCCCAGACCGTCATACAAGACGCCATCCAGATGCTCGGTCGAACGCGAGTAACGACCATATTCGCTGGAATACCAACAATGACATAACCTGCAAAGAGGATCGAGACGCAGGTCTGATATTGAGAACCGGTGAGGTTGAGGTCCTTTTCGATGGTGTTGAGACGAGCGAGGGCGATGGCATTTCGGTCCTGGGATGGTCAGCATACACGAAAAGACGCCTGATGGAGAAACTGACGAGGTAATTGAGCCAGTACATCAGCCATAGAATAGGCATGATCCACCAATCGAGCTTTCGCACGAGGGCGATCTCACGCGGGTCAGTCTTTTCATGTGCACCTGAGTAGTCGCGTGCTTGGGGGGCTGTCTTGAGGACCTCCTCGACCTCATCAAGAGCCCCAAGGTCTTTATGCCGCTTGTCCAAAGAGTGACGAGCATCCATGTTGATGATGGTTTTATTGTTTTGGTGGTAATTGGTTGGCAGATGACCATGATACAATGCGAGGGTGATCTCTCTCTTTATACACAGCCTCATCCGGGCTCCCAATGCCACCATTTCACCATGCAGCTACAATCCTCCCCAACATCAAGGTTCCACTGCATCTCACTCGCTGACGTCAATCCGCAAAATACCGTATTTTCTCAGCCATCATCTTCTTTGCGCCCGTAAAAGCAATGCGGGGATTCCAATACGAAAAACCCATTGGATAGTGTTGTTCTCGAAGAACTTTAATCCGCTCCTCCTCCACGCCAAGATCCTCTTGGCAGGCGGGGTAACGACGCTTAAAATCATGCTTAAATGTGCAGGCTAAGGCTTTCTTGGAAGGTGTTTAAGGGAAAGGAGTGTCGAAGATGTCTTGGCGAGAACATCGTCATTTTCTCGAGCGAATTATTTCGTCTGTTGGCGTCGCTGCCTACCAAGTTTCTCGAGATGTGTCGGGAGTGTTTGAGAAAGTAAGGTTTGTGGCTGAAGTGGCTAGAAGAAATGACGGAAAGGAGCGAGATAGAGGGTCAATCAGAGTTTGGTCTGATGAGTGCAAAGAAGGATTATACGAGCGAAGCACTCACTGTAGAAAAGCCGCCAGTTGTTCTGGTCTGGAAACCCTAAAACCCCAACGCCCAGACTCCCTGGCCCATATGAGGATGCATATCCCCGCAAATGCCCAGAAACGCCAAGTATGCAATCTTCCCCATTAGATCAGAACATCATGTTTCCGGCTCTTCATCTAGCTTCCGGATCGTGGAGGCACTGCAGCTCCGGGGCAGATTGTCGAATACTTGCCGATTGGCTACCGCGATCAAGAAGCAGACCCTTTCTGCCAGAACTTTCTCGTCCGTTATCACCACAAGACCTTGGCGGACGGGCCAAGTCATCTTCAGCTACCGGCGTCATTAATGTCACTGTACCTAGGCACCGTTGGGGTACTCTCATCTGAACGACTAGTTGCACACATACAACTTTTATCTCATCTCACTCACTGATCTTGTCCAAAGTGCATTATACTACATGAATAAAGACATCGAGGGGAACTGAATCACAGAGGACAGAAATGTAATGGTAAGGATATGTATTGACTACTAGCCCAGCTATCTTCCAACAACCGACCAAGCAGTTACCATTAGTTGAGATTTTGTACAAACAAACAACTATATACGGAGTTATAAAAGAAGAATACGGTGATGACCAAAAGCAACTGCAACGATGCTCCCCCTCAAGACCAGAGATCTGATCCTGTCACGCAAGCCACATTTAGCGGAGAGCGTTGACGACAGCAGTGTAAGCAGGCTTGGGGTTGTAGTTAGCATCGAACAGAAGACTGTCGTGCTCCTTGCGCCAAGAGTTCTTGTCAGAGACACCCCAGACGGTGATACCAATGCACTTGGGGACGTTGAGGCAGGCCTTGGTGACGGTAGCGTAGTCGTTGGCGGGGGCAGTGCGGATGTCGAGCTCGGTGATGGCAACCTCCTTGACACCAGAGTTGGCGAGGGCAGTGAGAGCACCCTGGATTTGGCCAGCGGCACCGGGGTCAAGGTGAGTCTGAGAGCCAATGCCGTCGACGGGAACGCCCTGGCTGAGCCACTTCTTGACGGAGGGAACCATACCCTTGGTGACCTTGGAGGCACTGCCGGAGTCGAGGCTGTAGTCGTTGATGTACAGCTTGGCGTTGGGGTCAGCTTTGCGGGCGGCGCGGAAGGCAATGCCAACGTAGTCGTCGTTGCCGAAGACGTTGTTGAAGTGAGAGTCCTTTCGGAGGGTACCGTCCCACTCGAAGATCTCGTTGACGACATCCTGAACATGTTAGCAATGTCATTTCTAAAAGGTAGAGTGAAAAACATACCCAGGCGTAGATCTTGCCCTTGTAGCGTCCAACGACTTGGGTGACGTGGTTCTCAATGACCTTGGTCAGAGTAGCCTTGTCGTTGATGTTCTTAACCCACTGAGGGAGCTGGGAGTGCCAGACCAGAGTGTGACCTCGGACCTTGAGGCCATTCTGCTGGGCAAAGTTGACGACCTGGTCGAAGCTACCGAAGTTGAACTTGCCCTGGCTGGGCTCGGTGGCGTCCCACTTGCCCGAGTTCTCGGGGGTGACGGCGCCAAAGTCGGCCTTGATGATGGCGGTGTCCTTTGCGACGCCGAGCAGGTTGGGGTCGGTGATGGTTCCGTAGTAGAGCTTGCCCTTGTTCTTGATCAGCTTGTTGATGCTGTCGGCAGCCTGGCGAGGCTCGATGGCGGTGGGAATGGCCGCGACCAGCGAGGCGGTGTAGAGGAAGGAAGACAGCTTCATTTTGGAAGAAGTTCTTGGTTGTAGAGATATGTGACAAAGAAAGATAAAACGTTTGATTTGACCTGCAAACGGTGAATGAAGCTGTGAAGGTGTTGTAATGAATGTAGTTGTTTGAGTGATGAGAATGCCAAGTGCCAAGAGAGGGTGGACTAGATCATCTTATATATCTTGATCAGGTCAGTCCCTTGTCATATTTCAGAACGATGGTGTTCTGGAAAGAGTCAGTGCCCGGGATTGGTTTGTCCGATTGAGCTAGCCCCTTCTCAGTATTCGGACAGTGCTCCGAGTGCCTAGGGCTGTTTCGAGATAGATTGTCGTTGAAAGGAGTTATGCCGAGACAGGGGTACGTGAGTCGAGGCGGCTCTATCTCCTGGATAATCTCCAGATTAACGGAACTTTTGGAATGCCTTGCTTTTTGCATTGCATTGTTTCTGGGGTGCATATACACGACCCCGTAATTCGGGCCTTTACTTTGGCCTCACCGTCATCTGATGTACGGCTAAATGATATGTTTTGTTTCGTGTCACTCTGTCGATGGCCAAGAGATCGACAGAGTCGAGACGATATTCTGTTTACTTGGCGGACTTGTTTTCATCAACTTCAGGTGAAACTCGAACAGCAAGTCAAAAAGTCAAAGCTGAAGGGAGCTAGTATGTGTCAGTTCTGACAAACGCCCCACAGACAATGGTACTAGCAGGGCTGGCAGGGGTCTCATTTCGGCTGAATAGGCCCCTTGAGACGTGAGACCAGTCCCGTATCAGCTAAAAGCACGAGCCAGATGCCAAATTCAGGAACGTGAGCTCGTTCAGCGTCGTTCCCACAGGAAACACGTGGGTCGTGTTTCATGTATGGGGTGGTGGTGATATTCTAGATTTCTGCCGAATCGAGAATCATCTTGGGGTAATATTTCTCCGCGTAAAGCCACCAATCGCGAGGACTGGGTAAACGGATACCGGCACGGAGAGTTGGATAACTTGCTCGATTCTGGTTTCATCTTTATAGTAGGTGGTAATGGTCATTGTCTGAGCGGCATTCAGCTACGGGTTTGACAGGCGCGCATCAGCTGGGGCTCGCCGGGTGAAATGGATATCACCGGGTATTCTGTTCATGATATCTCGTGATCTTTCAAGGCTGAATAGACGTTGCATGATAGTCATGTCAACATTAATCTTCCTCCAAAGAGAGAAGAATGAGGGCATCAACGTCGCATTGGGTGAGCATGTTCGATATGCTGGTAGATGAATTCAGTAATGTCATCATTGACTGCGCCTCTATGATTACCGCACCTATGAGATTCGTGAAGCGGAATCCCGGGAGATGTCATCATTTACGTTGTGCACAATCTGATAGGGAAACCAGACAATGAGGCCAAAAGGTAAAGACAATACCTTTCCATTGAAGATTAGACTTGTAAAATTCACAAAGATACTGTAATTAAATTAATATTAGAGTGAAGAAGATCAATTGAACCAACCATTTCCCAATGAAAAATTGCTATGAGAAAATAAAATCATCCGTTTGAATGTAGGGTAAGATATTGAGCGATGTTTCGCCTGTCTGTTCTACTTCTATCTTATCTCGTGCCCCGCCAGAACTGAATCCACATTATTATGGATGACTTCCACTGCCGCGGGAACGACGGGAGTATAAATACCAAGAGTCCGACTCCCTTCCTTCTCGAGATCTGCACCTTAACCTCCAGCTCTTCCTCTTTATGTCATTTCCCAACAACAAGACGCAATCTTTCGAATCTAGACAGCACGCCGTCTTCTCTTCCTCGAGCCGTCACTACGCTTTCATGCTTTAGCAAGACTACACTACGCCGACGTCTTTACTATAGCCAAACTCGATGCCCTAACCCCCTGCGACTTTAGTAATCAGGCGGAAACTCTGATGCGAGGCTTTAACAGCCTGTGTCGACCAGTGAGAACATCCATATTTAAACAGCCTACCGCGTCAAAGTAACGGACTGTCTCCGACAATGTCCTCCTACCAAAAGTTGACACGATGTAAAGATAAGCGTCATTCGCGCTCGATCGTAGAGCCTTAGCAAACTCTATAGCTAGAGTTCACGAAACTCGAACGCACTGTGAGAACCCGGATGCATGGTCATATCCATGGAAACTTGTAGTGACAGTGACAACGAGAGTCAACGATGCCAAATTGTTGACTGAGTTCTGTAAGGTGATATCAAGCTCCTAGCCACAGGTCCGAACTGCATATCTACACCGTATCGTACACTGGATTAAGCACTTTGCATCGTTCTCTCCAAACTCTCCCCCTATTTCTGACTCCCGCATCCCATGCCACGTAATCCGCCGTAATGCCAAGCCCGTCCGATATGTATACGAAAGTGTATTTTGCTGCTCACGTCTCGTCTGAAGTCGATACCCATGCCTTGTGTAATCAGATGCTGCTCCTTTCAATTTGCCGCAAATCGGTCGCCCGCCCACAAATCTGATGACGCGCCATCTTGAACTCTCAGTATCAGCTACTTGATTGGTGGCTTTGAACTCCGGGAGCGCTTAACTGCATGGGTACGGGTCATTGCGGCTCCTTAACCCCCCGCGAGTGATCTCTTAGTATGATCACTGTGCATGAGCTATGCCGTATGAAGAGTGTGATGGCTGCTCTGTGCTCTTATCGTGGTTCAGCCTATCTGTTAGGGGCGCGCTTATCGTAGAGCATATGTAAGCTGGGAGAACCTTGTTGGGTATCCCACTATCCGTCGAAAGACTCGCTTGCCTGAACTGCAGTCGAATATGCTGGCATAACAGCGACATTATGATCTGCGTCAGCTTTGCAAAGCTGTTTGTTCTTCCCCCTCATGCCACCGGAAGCTGAAGCAATGCTCAAGGGGCGTCAAGTCAATACGAACTGCCGACCTGAAGAGGTGCGACAAAAAAGCAATGGCCTGATGTGATATTCCCTGTCTTGCGAACAGACATGGTTCCAATGAGTCGGGACCTTGAACGAGCTCAAACGAGACTTGAGTTCAATTGGGATTAGTGTCAGGATCATTGGCAAGCCACAGCGACGTTAGCTAGCCGAATTTAGAATGGTTGAAACATCTGAAGTGGGCGAGGATGGCACCTAACAAGTCAATATACGTGAAACAGAGGGAACCTGTTAGTGAGTCTCTACGCCCAACGATAACGTGTAATAAGGTTAACATTCCTGTATGGTTATTCTCAGGTGTAAACTCTAATAGCATTAGAGGTATTACGTCTAGGTACAAAATATTAGCTTCCGCTTAGCACCTCAATCCACGGAGCCGCACGATAACGAGAAGACCGCTATCTCACTGAGACATCTCATTGGCCAAACTCAATTACAAAACCCCAAGTCAGCAAAACCTCCCCTGTCATTGAAACACGATGAAACTAAGAACCAGGGACTTCAGCAAATCACGTTGATCCGCCGAGAAACTAAACGTCTGGAGTAAAATTGAAGGTCCATCATCGAAACACAACAACAGGTGGAAACAGATGGAAAAATTCCACAGTTCAAGCCAAGACGGGACATGGCAAACAGGCCGCCATGAACCCTGCGTTTTTGACAACTTGAGACAGAGTTAAGCGTAAACGGTAAAGCAAGCTGGCGCCAAACCTTGTCCAACTCAACCTTGTCCCAAACGACGACTCCCACAACACGATCATGATGAGTTGGTATATAAACATCTTCAACAAGCCCTCCAGACTGAGAAGAAGCATCCTTTTCCAACCAGTCCATTTCATTCGTTTCAAAGAGCTAGTCTCTCTTCTCATTCTTTACACTTAACTTTCATTCTATCAAGTTCGCTTGCGACTTTACCATTCCAATCATTTCACCATGAAGACCACCACTTACGTTTCCGCTCTCCTTAGCCTGGCCTCCGCCGTCAGCGCTCACTACACCTTCGACAAGCTCACCCTCGCTGGCGTCCAAGAGGGCACTGATAACCAGTACATCCGCAAGCACCAGAACGGCTACATGCCCACCAAGTTCAAGGGCATTCCCGACGGTTCCATCTCTCCCACCGACAAGGACTTCACCTGCAACAAGGGCTCTACTCCCTCTCCCGACGTCTTCAAGGTCAAGGCCGGCGATGAGATTGGTCTTAAGCAGGCTTTCGGCGGTACTGGAATGCAGCACCCCGGTCCTATCCAGGTCTACGCTGCTCCTGTCAAGGACGCTACCAGTGACAGCCCTTATGACCTCAAGTGGTACAAGATTCACCAGGCTTTGATCTGCAAGTCTGGCAATGCCGAGTCTCTCCGCTCCACTGCTTGGTGCTCTTGGGATGAGGACTCTGTTCACTTCAAGATTCCTTCTACTCTCCCCGACGGACAGTACCTCCTCCGTGGTGAGCACATTGCTCTCCACGGTGCTCATGACGGCCAGGCTGAGTTCTACTATGCTTGTGCTCAAGTTGAAGTCACTGGTAACAGCGCCACTACCATTCCTGGTACTTCTGTCTCTATCCCTGGCGTCTACAAGCAGGACGACGCTGCTGTCAACTTCAGCCTTTGGGGAAGCTCTACCTCTTACGATGTCATGCCTGGTCCTGATGTCATCCCCGGTGGTACCATCCGTGGTTCCGCTGACGGTGCTGGCGGTGATGTCACCAAGACTGTTGAGGGCGGTGCTGATTCCGGTTCTGACTCTGGTTCCGACTCTGGCACTGGTGCTTCCCCCACCGAGGGTTCCGCTGCTCCTTCTACCGCCCCTACTTCTGCTACCGAGTCTTCTGCGGCTCCCGTCGTCCCTGAGATTCCCGACTCTGCTGAGACCACTCCCCAGCCTACCCCCGTTGCCGCTGAGACCACTCCTCTCCCCTCTGCCGGTAACGGTGCCAGCAGCGGCTGCTCTTCTGGTTCTTCCAAGGCCCGCCGCCACGCTCGCCACTTCGCTGCTCACCGTTTCTAAGCGTGTGCAGTTGGAGAAATGATTGGATGTCAGTAACTTGACATGATGCACGCGGGACGTGGTGTTTTTGAAGTCATGTCATGCGCTGGCGTCTTGGAGGAAAATGATATTCTGGACTTGATACGAAGGACAACTTCTTCAGCTTTCTATGTAAACTAGATACACTTCTTGTAAATATAATCTTCCTTGCTGAACTAGTGGACCAAGTATGTGTGAATCTCCATTGCTGCTGATGTTGAAACACAAACTCTAACGGGCTGGGATTAGCCAATACCTGACTAACAAGAGATAATTACCATCTACTCTGTAGCTGAGGTGTATCTTCACAAATTAACATTAGTATTCTGCGGAGTTATTTAATTCAGTCTCGTCTAGAATTTTGATGCATTTTCGGGTCTGACTTTACGTTAAGCCCGCGGGTCCCGACAGCCTGGGTTAGCGCTTACATTCCCAGAGAATGCAATGTGATTACTCCGTACATGAGTCTAATTTCGGATACTACTTAGTTACGCCACCACTATGCCATCTGACACAAATAAGCATGGTTCTCGACTAAAAGCCCTTCATTTATTTACTTTCTACTTCCGATGCCCAAATTACTTCCTCTACATCACCATCGACATGTTTGCAATGGAGGACGAACAAAAAGCCTCGGTTATCGGTGTTTTAGTCGGCACCCTGTTTCAATAGTGTTCATGACCGATTGGAACTTGTACGAATCTGAAGTTCGCAGACAAGTCCCGGTCTAGGCTTAGTTGGGAATTGCAACAGGGGGTCTATTACTGCCCCTGCGTTAGTTAGCTTGTTTGAGAAAGCGGTCTCTGGCGGGAACATCTTTGGAGGTTAGTTCTGATTCGTGGGTAAATTCAGATGCCTTGTAATGTCTTAGAACAACTTTGATCATAGCCGCGGCCAATCACAAGTCGGGTCTATTCATTTAACGACATGCTACACCAGAGAGTCGAATCTTAAGGATGGACTCGTTGCGCTTTGAGCCTACTCCTTCAAGTACAAGAATAATACACGCCCGGAATACGTTCCAAGGACCATAGTTGTCCCCGATACGTATACAGACTGTGGTCTGTAATCTGGTGGGAGCCAGAGAAGTTTCTCACCATTCTTCATGAGCCAAGGAGGTTCTTGACCGATGTAATATGGCTCCAGATCCTCCATACCTCCATGGAATGAACGGGCAATGGCATCGGTACTAAGAAACGAGTACGGAAAATTGGATGCCCTGAGCTCCGGATATGGCTGCGACAGAAAAAGACTTTCTCCGGTTGATGCATCCCAGACTTGCACTTGCGTGTTCATATTTATACCTATCAACCAGCCACCATGAAAGGTGAGACTGCGTAAGTATGGTACTTCCGGGCTCACATCAGTCGTAATCGTGAGTGTCTCAAGTCTAGGAAGACTGCGTATCTCGATGCTTTCCCCCAAATAGTAGGCAATTTTCGCACCATCCGGCGAAAAGACGATGCAGGGGAAGTGCATAAACGGCGTATCAATTTTATGCTCTAGAAGGCCGTCAACCACGTTCCAGACCTCGATTGAACAGAGGTCTGGGGATATAGCTAGTCGTCGTCCGTTGGCAGAAATGACTAGGCAGCAATACCCCCTCTCAACCAAACTAAGTTCTCGTTCCAGTGTCTTTAAATGACGCAAAGGGTCGATACTCCAAACTTCAATCATTGGCCTTTTCAGTATAGCAAATGTTGAAGTGTTGGCTGCAGCTGCTATAAGAATTTGGTCTATCAACGGGGCTTCTGGCTCGAGTGTCTCTTTGCAAGATCCGCTTTGCAAATCCCAGAGCTTCACAACCCCCGCGTTATGCGACAGTATAGTGTTGTCGTTCGCAATGGGAGTGATCAAATCGATTCCCATGGCTTCCCAATGGCTTTTTTCTGCCAAGGCCCCTGACGTAAGGTCCCATATTCTGATGGCACCGTCATGCGATTGTCCCGCGAGTAATGTGCCGTCGTCTGAAATGATAGGCCCAACTTGGAACTCACTCCTGAAACTCTTGGAAACGGCCCCTGTCTTCATGTCAAGCACGGCAGTTTGATACTCATCGAGAGTGATTACCAACCAGCCCTTCGTCAGAGAAAGATGGCCAGGAACTATCGGCTTCTCAAAATTATGCGCATGAAGACACTTATTTGATTCTGTGCTCCATATTTTGACCGACTTCGATTTCGATGATAGTGAGGCGACCATTGTGCCATCGTTTGAGAAGCACAGTATATCATCCTCAAGTTGGTGTCCCAGGACAGTCCAGGTCGGTGTTGTGAAAGGGTCCCACCTTGAAAGAAACATGGATTCTTTCACAATAGTTGCAATCCACTGACCTTGTGGCGATAAAAGTACAGGACTGGGTTTGCCCGGTATGTCGAAGTCATAAATACACTCTTCTTTTTCAAGGCAGTGTATAAGCATTACGCACTCGACATCTCGGTCACAAACTGAGCACAGGAACCTTCCATCGTCCGAGAATGCGATAGCCTTGATACCAGAGCAACGCTCTAAAATCAGATTCCTGACGCATACACTAGTGTCAAGATTCCAAATTTTTATCATCTCAGGGCACCCAGCTGCTACTGTCTTGCTTCCATACCAGGAGAAAACCGGGATGCAGTCCCATCTGAGACCTTGGCCCAGATTGTGAATACAAGAACATGACCTCTGGTCCCATATTCTGATCTGGCCCTGGTAACAAATTGAGGCTAGTTTATTGTCTGGTAAGAATGATATCTGGGCTAACCATTCAAGAACATCAACAGTTTGACTTTGTGGCCAGTTGGGATCTATGTTGGAGGGCACTGTGATGTAGTCGGGGTATTGACGGCGGTCGAGTGGACTAGGAGCGATGCTTGCTTTAGGGCTAAATATAGCACCAGAGTGGTATAGCTGGAGAGGATGCTGCTCTATGCCGGCTCGGAAATAAGTAATGAACTTGAATGAATCTTGGATAAACTGCAGTACTTGTGCTCCAGAAGTCTCCTGATGAAGCAGTCAGCGATAGCGTTTGAATGACCCGACAACACGCTACCTACATCGACTATGCTCTGCAAGTCTTCCAGCATCAAGAAGGAGTGATCAATCTTTCTTAGTAGGCATATAACCTCGAGCCAGTTTGTAAAAAAACCTTTAAAAAATATGTACGCATCGTCTTCTTCTCTGATGCGCTTCCCGGACGCTTTCAAATGGTGAACCCAGTACAAGGTTGCATATTGAATTTCTGGCGGTAGGCACTGACTGATAACAGATGTTTTAACATCAGAAAGTCTTTTTCCTGGCGTTCGAAGCCTACAGATATCAGCCTTCAAAGTTCTTCGCATGAGCTTGAGGCATCTGTTTGCCAGGCTTGCATGTGTCTTCTCTTCATCAACTTGGAGGTCTCCAGCGGATGTACTGAGGATGTAATCTCTGAATGACAGATGGAACAGCTGAAGAGGACTGTCGTCTTCCGGAACATCGATGACCGAACGTAGTGCATCGATTTGACTGGATACAGCCCATGCATCGATGCCAAGAAGCTCAGCAAGTGATCTTATCGGTAGAGGGCTTGCAAGCAGAATGAGAGAACCTATGATATCCATAAAATTCCGTTTGAATTCATGTAGGTCGTCATCAGGCGCGCCGCTCTGTATGAGACTCAGCACAGGCTTGTATAAAGCATCGTATTCAGAGTTGACCCTAGATGACTTATCGATGATGAAGTCAATCTTATAGTCTGGGCTTCTCGCCCAGTGTCTATCGCGAATCATGCGCACGAAGGTTGCAGCTGCGATGAACAATGGTAAAGCTTTGTCAAGCAGTAGTCGGGATCGCTCATCCCCAGGCCAGTCTGAAGGTAATTGGAGGTGCTTTTGACGATGAGTGCGATTATGTTCCACGACGAAACGTTCCAGAGACTGGCGGAGGAAAACACAGAAGTCGTTCTCTATGGTTCGGATTTCGAGTTTATGAAGGACAATCTCTCTATGGAGCGGTTCGTCGATAAAATGTCCCATAATGTCAAGTTCTGGCCTACTTGTGAGAAAGACTCGTAGTACCTCTGGGCATGTTTTCAATAGCAAACGAAGAATCTCTCCGCGATCTTGTTCATCACATTCGTCCAAGGCATCGAGAACAAAAACAACAGGCTTGACGAGTCCTTCGTCTTGCAATTTAACAAGTGGATTTACAATCAACTTTTGCCATTGGATCCGGATAGGTGTCATGGCTAGAGAGTGATCGTCCTTCACTGTCTGCAAGATATGAGGGCGGATGGGAGGGAACTGTAGGGCGAGTTGATATGCCAGTACCGCAAACAGATGCTGGCCACTTCCTCGGCTACCGGCACCTTTCTTAAAGACGAAGCTGGCGCTAAGCGTTCTGCCTTTCAAGTTTCTTGAGACTGTGCGCGAAATAGTACTCTTGCCGGTCCCAGCCAGACCTGGGAGCCAACAAATTGTCGGACTTTGGGGATCGGACGCCCATTCTTCGATGTCTTTGAGAACTTGTACGCGGGTGCCCTCTAGACAGAAAGAATCGGGTGGATAATAAATGTGATCGAACACATCCTTAGGGTCGATAAGTAGATCTATGAGTTGCGCCTTGACCTTTTCTTCCGCCCTTTGACTATAGAAACATTAGCAGATATCAGCCCAATAAGCATTATGTACTACCTATATTCGAGCCTCATTTCGATCATCAAGCCACAAACAAGCTTGAGATGGTCTCGGGCATGTGAACTATGATGCATTTCGCATAGTAAGCCAGCATTATGTACTCTATCCTTGGCAACACTGAGATCTTTTAGATATCCAGAAAAGCGTTCTAAGCGAAAAGCATCTGTAAGAGCCCTGGCGGCCTTATATTGGCGACGAAGCGCAAATCCGAGCAGCTTTATGCATTGAGATAGGGCGTCAATGATCTTCTTGCGGAGGTTGGTATCTACCGCAAGGTCACTAGAAGCTGATGCAGTTAGATAGAGTTCGTGGTAAACGCTGCACTCAAAGACCAGGATGACTATTTCGGTAATGCCTTGGTCGACCTTGGCCCTGATCTCCTCCCCAGCGGCAAGATTCTAAAGTAGGTCAGTCCAAGTTCAGTGATAATGATATGACTGATGAAGTATTACCAGGAGAAGGAAACGCACGGCGGCCCATGGTAATGCAGCAGGATTAGGGTTTGTGCTGACGGCGATATCGCCTACAACGGCGAACCGATTGAGATGTGGAATGATCGTTTCCATAGCTTCAGCCAATTTCTTTTGCATACCGACGCGTTTCATTGCCGCTTCTAATTTTGATATCAACACTGACAGGCTAAACTCAGAGTCTTTGGTTGAGGCTTGGTCTAGAATCTCAAAGGTTTCTGCTAACTCATTACCGTCTTTCGACTCTTTGATAGTAAGAATTGCTTCCTTCCAAAGTTCTTGGAACTGCGCTTGCTGGTCTGGACATCCATACTCGGCTGTGGATGCGTTGCTGCCATGTTGAGACCTTTGGGTCGAGGATCCAACAGACACATCCTCTGGCGAAAGATCTATGGTAGCTGCGATATTTACCGAAGATACGGATGTCGACGGTGCTATAGCAGGCAGTAGCCCAGCGGATTCTCCACCTATTATGAGGCCTCAGTGATGAACCTTGTAGCGATAGTGCTCCAGAGACTGGACGGCCTCGTGCATACCTTGAGAATCGAGTGACGTTCTTGGAAGCCTGGATGTAGGGTCATGGCATGGTTCCTTTCCTTTCTTGCTTACTATGTGCTTGATGAAGCCCCTTAATGGTAATCTTTTTTGATCTGGCATGATTGTTTAGCCTAGAAATGTTGCTCCGAGCTCTGGGTAATGAGAATCAGCGCGAGTGATGCGAACGTTGAGTCCATGCGAGTTGAAGAGGGGAAATATTACCGCAAAGTGCGCCATGCATTGAAATCAAGTCTGTGTGTCGACGCGATTGGCTAGGCATCTGTAAGGCTGACAGACAGGCTGACAGACAGGCTGACAGGGATAGGAATATTGATGATCTTGGTAATCTTCCTTTCGGAGTAAGACGACCAAGGTCGTCTAAGTCATCCGTTGATCTACATTTAATTGGATAAAATGCTATGGAGTTTTGTCATCAAGTTGGTGAACTGACAAGTCGCACAAATGTATGATCAAGAAGACTCGGCAACACATATATGTATTCAGAGTACTAGGTGCCAAGAATACAACATGGTAGCACCACTAAAAAAGCTATACCTAAGGAATGAACGGAACAAGACCGAAAGATTAACTTGCCCCCATAGCCGTAGAAACAGCCATCACACGAATATCAATCATATTCCGAAACGAGCGACTAAAGTGAAACCTCCCCCTGAAAAAGCTTGGAAGACGGCCTCAGTGAACCTACTTCTCAAGGCAGACCTGGGAGTAGTAGGTTGCAAAAGTAGTAGCCGCAGCAGCACAGCAGAAGATACTCTCCTGGTTAGCCTTAGCCGCACAAGCAACACAAGCAGCCACAAAGTTGATAGAAGAAAAGTTGGCGCAAGATCGGCAAGAGCTAGGATGAGGCGCACTATCACAGCTCCAAGAGTGAACACGGCCAAGAGCAGCATCCTTGATCTGAGGACAGTTGCGAGCGCGCACCTCAAGATCACGGCTGTGAAACTTCTCAGCGTCAAAGGACTCAAGAAGGTTCTGCTCCTTGGAGATGGCGACGATGGGCTCAAAGTACTGGTCGAAGAGGGACTCGGGGATACAAGCGGTGGGATCGTTGATGTAGGTGGTTGGGATCTCAGGGAGCTTGTAGTCACCAGTGCCGTTGAGGTTGGTAAAGGTATGGCCGAGGGCTTGGAGATGAGAGAGGGTAATGCACTGGGCGACTTCGCCGACTTTGTAGGTGACCTCGGTGACCTTGACGGGGGTCTTCTCGAGGGCCTTGTCGGCGGTGGCGCTGGCGAAAGCAGCAGTGGCCAGGGTGGCGAGAATGAGGATGAATCGAGCCATTGTGAGGGACTTTGTTCAATGTAAGGAAGTGAGCTTGAGTGTGAATGAAGATGTTATGATGGTTGAGTGAGCTGACAATGTGGACATGAATGGCGTCTTAAATAGTTCTTGCGTTCATGATACCCTCATCGTCGCTGCCGAACTTGAAACTCAACACCTTTTCAACTACCGACGAGTGTCGCAGCTTTACGAACTTCGCAGCATCCTCATCATGGCACTCATGAACTCACTCATCGTTAGCCTCGACTCTCGGCAGTTCATACACGGCTGACTCGAAACAACCCATGATATTTTCCAAACCACAAACTGAACACGAGTTGATCTGCCTCGCTCCTGTCCCTATCCGGAATAGATTGGGGGGTTTACTTTTACCATCATCTGCCGGTATTAAATGAGTCGATGGACTGAGGATAGCCTGACGTTCCTCTGTTCCTTTTTGGAATATTGCATATTGTTAGACCCGCTTTGACACTGGTTCACGCGTTTACATAGTCTGTGCGTGAAATTGAACTGTCCCTATAGGCCAGTTCTGGAGGTCGTGCTCGGTGTTGGATTGGGCAAATAGTCTCACGCCGAAACCCCCACGTGGGCTTCATTTTGGTATGCTTTGCGGGCCGTTGCCAGCGACGGCACGTTGCGCTGGCCCTGTCGGCAATACAGCGGTCCCTGGAAACACCAGTCCAAACAAGCTTTCTCTAGTGCAAAGAAGGTTTGTAGGATGTTATTGCCTGCATAGTAGGCGAATCTTCCCCCCACTGCTCATGTGTAAGGCTTCGAGACGACTTCCGCTTACATCGTAACCAATAGGAAGCTCGCATTTCAACACGAACCTGAGGTCGTCACGCTATTTCCAGGGATAGAGAACACTATCTTCATTGAACTCTATTATCCACGCATAGAGTATCGTATGTCTCAGACTACGGTATCCTGAGGTCATTCCATGCTCATAGGCCGAGATACGAATAGCTTCACGATTTTCCGTGTTTGGAAGGTGGAACTAACGATGCCGATGAGCCGAATGTGAGATGTTCACTTCGGCAATTGCTTCAGTCATGATGAATTGAATAGTGGTTGTCATCCATGAGCCGAGTCGCTATCCGCCGGACGAGGTTCGTCAGTTGCCTGGCTAGACAGGTCCTCAAGCCAGACTACGAGGCAGAACTGTTCATCAGAGAGTGTATATCTTGGAAGATCTCGAGATATAAAAAGATCAACTGTCCCAGCTCATCTTTGCAGCTCACCAATCTCACCACTCGCAAACACTACAACAACAACTTCCATAACTCCCAATCCTCAAGACTCAGACATCTCATTCAATATGAACTCTCTCAGCCTCATCATCCTCTTCTTCGGCGCGTAAGTCACCAACCCGCCACCTCAAAAACCAAATCTAACCTCCCAGTGTCTTCGCCGATACTCACCACAACTGTGGCTGCACCGTCCGCGGCACATACAGGCAGGATCTTGGCCAGGCTGCCTGCGCCCTCTGGGGCTCCAACCAGCCCAATACCCACTGGGACGGCTACTCTGTAAGTACCCATATCATGGACTCACAGAGCATGGAAGCTGATTATGTAGTGCGTTGATAAGGGCTACGGCCGCGGCATCGACGGTGCTCCCTGGGAGACTACCTGCAAGCAGGCCTGGGATATCAACTTTGGCGGTAACAAGAACGATGCTTGGGGCAAGTGCTGGCACTAAGATGACTGATGCCAATCTTTGGGATCAGTGCTTCTTTGGCTCGGAACGGAGATCGTGTGATTTGTTCTTTTCTGTCTGCCAACATTCACATGGCTTCTTGTTACTTTAGAAACTATGTAGCACTCTTTTTAGTCTTGTCATGAGCTTATGGCAAGGAACTTGCAATTGACTTTATATTTGTACAACGCTCGAGATCCAGTGACAACTATACAAGTTTATTAGATCGACTTCCACTACCTCTTTTGTCTTGAGTCTTATCAAATGCTTGTGCGCTTGCCCGATCACACAAGACCAAGGTCTTTGTGCTGATTCAAGCTAAGTTCTCTCGGCCGATTTAAGCTCTCAGCCACAAGTCTCAACTGAAAGTAACACGTCTAGCAACTTACATATCAGCGTTGGCGGATTCACGCATGGACTCGGACGATATGACGAAATGAGAACGTGCGCACACAGTAAGAAAATTCGAACAGAGACTCAGTCAAGTATTCAAGCCATAGTCTATTCAACACCCAACATAAGAAAACCCTAAATGTGCATGTACTTGCGAACAAAAAATCTTTCCATGAAGTCAAAGAATACAAAGCCAGGCTCATAGCCCACTATCAAAGTCGCAAGCCTACTCGTCCTTGGCGGGATCGAAGCCAGGGCACTGATCACCAGCAGCTTCACCAAGCTTCTTAGTGAAGCTGTCATCCTTGTCCCAGAACTTAGGACCAACACCACCATTCCAAGCATCATAGAGGTAGTCTCGGAGAGATCGGCCGTTGACAACAGGCCAGTTGTCCCAGCCAACAAGGTTGCCGATGAACCACTGACCGGTGTAGTTCTCAATATCGTCATCGGCCTCGTTGGCCATGCGCCAGCAGTGAGTGAAGCCACCGTCCTTGTGGTAGACAACCTTAGCACGCTGGCCGTCGAGACGGGGAGTGTTGGTGGCGTGTTCGTAGCCGCCGTGGCACGAGGGGGCGACGCGCTTGACATCTTCGCCCTGAACGAATACGACAATGTTCTCCCAGTCATGAGTGTGGCCGTTACCGCCGCCAGCAGCGTTGATAGTGCCCCAACTAAAACTTGGTCAGGCAATGATATTGAAACGATGGTGAAGTGAACTTACGAAGACTGGTCCTTCTCAAAGTAGTACTCATACATGATGGCACACCAACCATTATTGCAGCGCTTTCGGCTGTAGACATTGTTGTTCTCAAGACGGTTTGGCTCACGGCAATCAGCAGCGGGACCCTTGAAGTAGACGTCTTTCTGGCTGAGACCGCGGTTGGTGTTGCCGTCCTTGTCAATTGCAGAAGTGTAGTAACACCCGTCCGTGTCGAAATCGGTGACAGGTTGGAACTTGTGCTCGATCTCATGCGCTCCATCGTCAAGACGGCCCATGAGAACTCGCTTGGCGAGCTTGAGAGGTCCAGCTTCAACGCTGAGAGCGCCGGCAAGGACGGTTGCGATTGCGAAGGCGTGCATGGTAATGAAGGGAAGATGCAGTCGAAAAGAGAACTGAAAATTGAAGTGGAGAAGAAGAGAGGAGAAATTGTTGTGAATCGATGGAGTGATGATGAGATGAGATGGTAGATTTGTGAAGGCAGATGAAGTCTCTTATATATGTGATCCGTGGCACGGACGAGAGGTCAAAAGATGCTATGAAACGCTCGACCTTGTGATGGATGAGCTGCGATCAGAGTCCCCTGGCCCTAGTTGAAGCCCGTCATGACACCAAGCAGCTATTTCTCATCTCATCTTCCAAAAAATGAAACGGATCATGAAGGATTCGCTATACGAGTAGGATTCACCATCTCAGCCAATAAATGACACCAAATCTATTTCGATGATCTCACTGCATACATAAATTTCATGCACCAGCTCAGCTCGCTGCAACTAAACGCCCAAACCGCCAAGGCGCAGCAACAGCTCAGACCAATCACACGAATTTCGCACCCGTGCCTTAATTTTAAGCTTAGCGGATCTTATCTGCGCAGCCACAACGATCGCAGATCTGACCAATCAAACGTTTGCCGTACCTATTTTAATCTCGGGCGTAAGCTTTTCCTTGAAACATGTAGGATTTGACTAGTTTTATTCTGGAAAGCAGGCTCGTGATACTGCTTGGGGGCTGTGAGGCGTTTTTGGTGAAACCAGCCTTCTTTTGATGGCGGATGACAGCATGTCAGCTCTAGGTTTCATGTTTAGAGATACTTTGGTCGAGCGGTGGATTGTGCGGTGGAGAATGTAACTTTGATCAGCGCGATTAATTGAGAACGGGTCAGGATGGGCTGCGAAAAAACATATTGGGGGCTCTGAAGGATGGAAGTTATCTTATGAAGCATCTATCAGGATCAAAATCCAGGTAAAGTACCCATACAAAGGCTGACATAGGCCAGAATCTAGACGTGGCTGAGACAGAATTACTCGATGATTGTTTCTATCGTGATCTCACCCCTGTTCTCTCGTCTAATGTATGCTCTGATTCGCCCTGGTCCGAGAGTCTTGGGCAAGTAAAGCCTTGATGAAGCTATACGTTAAATTCAATGCCATGTAAAAAGTGTTGATCAAATTAGAGTAAGCAGGCGTGAGATTGATAGTAAGCGCCAAGGGGAAGATACCCACAGGGCTGTGATTGAACCGGGGAGCGCGTGGGGTCCGAGCCAATTAAGGTGTACGCTTCAGGGTAACTCTGAGCATTTCTTAGATCGATAACACTGTTGTTATGACGAAAATAAAGATGCACTTTGGGGAATTATTGTATTGGACAATGAGGTTCCCACTATGATAAGCGAAGAGAAGCCCTGGTGTCAACATACCGAAGACGTTCACAGGAGGACGTCTTTGACAGTAAATATGTGAATACTACCTTCGTTAGGTGGATGAAAAGGCTGAAGGATGTGAACAGCGAAATTGTCAACGCTAACATGAGCTCACTCCCTAAGAATCTCAAGTAATATGTCATGGACAAGCCAATCAATTCCTATTACAACAGGGTAAAGCTATACTAAGCATGAAAGGCTACCCTCGATCCGGGGCATGATGAAATTAATCTGGTGAATGGACGAGGGATTGGTCAAGTACTTTCAGCGGCACGAGCCTGGGCTAGGTGTTCTGCGTTTTTATTAAGGGTTTCTATCGTTTTCCTCGCCATCAGCAGAATGCTGGTTCATGTTCAGCCATGTACTAAACTTTTGCAAAGCTATCCCAAGATGTGATATCTTATGTTTCTCTTCATCCGGCATCTCCGCTAATGTCAGAACCACCCCGTCAGGTTGAAAGCACGTCTGCCACCCATATCTCATCACACCTCTTGCGGGTACAATCGTCCCGTCAATTCGTCCTTGAAACAGCACAGGCTCATTTTCAGGACCTTGACAGTATCCTATCGTCGCCACTGCTTCAGCTGTTTTGTCTGAGAAGCCGGCTAGTAAAAGATGTAGCTTTTCGGGTCCTAAGGCCTCAAGGAAGAATTTTATATAAGGTCCTGGCATGCCGTTTATCGCGTTGAAGCAAAGAGCTGTATCATCGACGACGACTGGACCACCGACCTGCCGAATGTGTCAGTCTAAATCGTGGTGTGGGGAAGATGTCTGACCATCTCTGCTGCTCTGCGACATTTTGCGATTGTGATTTCTTCGATCGATCCTTGTATCTCGGGCAAATCAAGCGACTGATTGCGAACGGCGATTCCAGCAGGGGCGAGTATAGCCTTGATATCGGCTATTTTATTAGCATTGCCAGTAATAAGGTTGATTTCAGTCATCATGGCGATGTTGACATGATATTTTTGTTGCGAAACTAATATCTTAAATTCTCTCGGCTGGCCGATGGGTATGATTCATCAGGCCAATTGGTCTTATCTGACTCCGGTACCGGGCTAAGACCCGCTAAGCCCTGTACTCCACATTCGCTGGACAGGACGTTTTGGTAGGTATAACATTCGCCAGATATGAGATGCCTGTTTAATACGTTCTGTTCCGTGTAACTTCAAGTCGAAGCTCGACTTGATAGGCTAGCTGAGTTTAGTCGCACCTATAGTCCGTGAGATATATCAAATTGTGTAGGCGACGCTGTTGGATACCAAGATGTCGGCAATCGAGAATTTGGGGATAGCCGTTAGACAGCTGCGCAACAGCAACGATGCAGACTGTCAGTTGCTGGCAGCAGGGCTGTACGATAAGCTTGCTTCTATCACTTGTGCCTGTAGCCAGGATGTCAACAAAGTCCTTCAGTCTGTGAAGTCTCTGTTTAAGAAGGCCAATGATTCGCCGCTTACCGAGAAGGAATTATCCGACCTGAAGGGATTCTTGAAGAAGGAGGCCCAGGCAAGAAGGACGAAAGGGGAGAATCATCGTGACTCTGCCAAGGATTTGAGACGATTGGTTGTGGTATTTGATGCTTGCGTCGACCTTGATCAGTTTATTTCTTAGCAGTAGTACCATTACTTAGCAGACAGCAAACTGTTCAGTTTCATTAATTCTCATCTCACGTCGGACAGAAAACAGCAAAGGTAGTAGTACTGCCCATAGCTATCGAGTAATTTCTAACCTTCCAACTCATGCCTCTCCGCCCGTGTATTCTCCGAAGCAGGGGGCGTAACTGCTGGCAGCTCGGTAGGAGCCTGGTAATTTTCCAACTCTTGCAGCCCGTTCTGCTTCGAACTCTCGGCCGAAAGCTCAGCTTTGCCCCACTGCTTAGTAGTTCCTTCGCCGATATTTTGAGAGAGATGTTTGTTGGTATTTCTCTTCCGACGACGTATCCATAGCCAAACACCGACAACAGCCACTATAGCAGCAACTCCACCGACTACACCACCTACTATAGCCCCAACTGGTGTTGGAGATGAGTTGCTAGGGGAAGAACCGGATTTGGGGCCGTCTGTTGACGTTGGTATTGTCGATGACATCGAAGCTATTTTAGTCAGTAAGAACAATGTCACCATACAACATAGAGTGAAAGCTTACCGAACAGCTTTTCTATGTCCCTGTTGTCCCACTTGACTTGATCCCTAGTTCATGTCAATAAGTAGAATAGCAAGGACATCAGCATACATACCCGCTCTGGTACCAGTTTTTCACAACCTTGGGTAATTCATAATCCTCAGCTTCCGCATCATACTCACTGGACCAAGACAAACTCGGCAAGTCGAGAATGCCGATTCCCTGAGTCCAAGGATCCTTGTCCTCCCAACCTTCGTCTTTGCCCCAGTTGTTGCCACCTATGCTTAGCATCTGACGCTTTCCAACAAGAGCACATCCATGCATTCCTCGTTTTGGACCTTCGACTTCCGCCTTGAACCACTTGAAGGCCGGGAGCGATAAGACCCATACATCGCCGTAGGCCTTTGTCTTATCATTCCACGTGTTCCAGCCTCCGTAGATGTATCTATTTCAGGTCAGCTAAAGCGAATGCCAGAAGCCGGTTTGACTGCGTACATATCATATGAATTGTTCGGCCCCTGTACTCCGACAGAACAAAAGTCAACTCTAGGATCTGGAGAGATGCCTGAAGTTTGCTGGTAGTACCACTCTTTGGAACTCGGATCGAATATCGTAATATTGGCGAAGGACACTGGCTCTGACGCGTTTCTGAAAGCGGGCATCTTGACCTTTGCGCCACCCATAAAGATCAAGAGTCCGGATGAACCGATGGAAGGTATACAGGTCGCCCTTCCGGACCAGGTGGCGTAGTCCAATGCTTTTGTGGACTCGTTTGTCCATTTTTGCGTCGTCATGTTGTAGGTCAGCAGCCCATCAAGTGGTCGTTCAACATAACTGCCGTCAGTGAACCTCTCATCGGTCCTTCTCTCGCCATAGCCACCGAGATGGTATCCGACGCCGTGACAACCAGTGTAAGCTCCTCTCACAGTTCGATACAAAGAGCTGAACAATGTGTCGTCCTCAGGGTCATGGATTGACCAACTTCCCCTACCATCATCAGCGTCAAAGGCATATAAATGGTGGTCTCCAGCTGATGAGGTATTCTTGTAAGATCCTTGGCCGCCCCATGAGTAGATCGCTGATCGTTCTTCATCGACCCAAAGAGCTGGTTGTTTCAGATATGGCGACGGTCCTTTCTCACTTTCTGTGAATACGACCGTATCGTTTGTCCACGATTCATCTAGCGGGAGCGAAAGGGTAAGACTGACTGCTCGATGTTAGTATTACCCGCGGTATTGATCTTGGCGCTGCTTTACCAGCTGTTGACCGTGACTCATCGAGGTCGGAACTAACCTCTCCACCGTCGATATAAACATAGTCCTTAAGTACAGCAACTTCGCATTGGGGTAAGTTACTGAGATGAATGTTCAAGATATTTCCTTACCGGACAGTAGCGACCGCCGAATGAAGTCATCGTTGGCTGGCAATTGTGCTGATCCCTTGGAGCTCTGCCGCGTTTCGAGTTCAGCCGCGCAACACAACCAAGTGAGACAAGAGACAACGGCAAGTCTTGTAACAGGGCACCTCATTGTGATTAAATACATAGGGCTGGAATGTCACTTTGTCAAGACATATGTACAAATTTGCGACTCATTTGTGAAGGCGATTCTTCTGGCAGAAGAAAAGACAAAATGAGAAGTCAGTCAGTGTGTTGAAATGGAGTGCGAGATGGCTGTTGGTGCGAGGGGAAATTAAAGGATGTTATTTGGGGGCCCATTGTTGACACCAGGTTTTTGTTGGACAGCTCAGGCCATGTTGGTAAAGCACTGCTTACCATGTTGCAGTTCACATACAGATAAATCCTTTGGTGATGGAACCCCGGAAAATGTTGAATGAGGCTAACGCTTCACAGGAATTCCTCCGAATCTCATTCATAGTCTTTGTGCTTTAATTTACAAGCCCGGTGGCGATCTTCAATTATCGCTCTCCTCGTATATTTGTCTTAACTGGGGACCACGGCGCGCATCCGACCTTAAGCGCTGGTTTGACGTTTCAATCCCAGTAGCACTGGCCAATCTGCACACCTCATGGTAAGCACTAAGGTCTTGGCTTGGTCCCCACATCAAGCATATTCTCCCATTCATTCACACGACGTCATAATCAGAAGATGGAGTGACATTCTTATGAACGCTGCTGCCTGCCTGCCTGCCTGTTGGCCTGCCATAAGCGTTAATGAGTTGACCAACGCCTAGCACACAGTGATGGAACCCATGCTTCCTCCCAATATGAGTATTTCTTCCCATTCTGATCCTACCACCCCATCATAAAAGCGGGTATCCCCTCAGGAACATAAAACAATATTGTCACTTTGCGGTTTCTCGACAAGAAATACCCTCTCCAGTGACCTGGCCCAACCCCAAGATCATGGCGTGGGAGCGATCAAAGCCGTTTGAGCGCAAGCAGCAGAACAAACTCCGAATGCGCTGTTGCACGCTGCAATTGTAGCTGGGGCCGTGGCTCCGGCGGTAGCTCCCCAGGTCGCACCGCCAGCTGCATAGCAAGCCATCGCGACAGAGGCACATCCCGCCTGACAAACGCCGTAAGCGATCGGACCTGCGACGGCGGTCGTCGAAAAAGAGGTGATTGCAATAAGAAGATGGAGGGGCTTCATCTCGAAGATCGTTGTTATGGTGCGTGTATGTCGTAGTTCTTGATACTCTGTGCTGTGAGTAGCCAAGGTACTCGTCTTGTTCTCGTTCGTATGAGATGATTTATTTTAGAAGTTTACATTTCCGAAGGCTGTGGAAGTTATTTACCATCATTTCTTATCGAATTTATCATGCGGCGGGGTAAGTGGTCGGCCTCCCGCATCAGAGCACGTCATATAATGTGGTAGGCTGACGCCTGGCTGGTCTCACTTTGAGTACTGACAGTTGCAAGTGACTTCTGGCACAAAAATATGATCATTGTGCATTCCATCCATTTGACTAGCAATAGAAAGTCTATCTATGATGGAATCATCTTTTGTACTTCCGCCTAACAACCACTTTCCGTATCATAGAAGATATTGCTTTTCTATCAAAAACCACCCTCGTTGTTTGCTTTCCTCCAAAGCTCCACGCAATTGTACCAGCACTTTTTGTAAGCCTTCTTGCACTCAGCAACAGTTGATGGAAATGGAGGTGACACGCCAGGTTTTCTGCAGCAAGCCATTTCGCCCACGGAACAGAAGACATGACATCATAAGATGGCGATAATTAAAAGCAAGGGAAGTTATCATCTTCTACAGCCCAAGTATATAGTTTACACGAGACGATATGAGGGGCTGCAGTCCTTAATGGTTGGCCTCTAGCGTCAAGATGCATGCATAATCATCACTACCTTTCCGCTTATCAAGCAAGTCTCATGACATGTAAGCTCATTCAATGAACCAAGTTTCTTCTCATAGACTTTCATAATTTCATCAGATGAGGCGGTGGCTAAACTACACACAAAAGCCACGCTCTATCATATCTCAAGAGAAACGAGTCTTACGGGGATCCTGCAGGAGTCAGTGGCTTTCTACCATAGACAAAGTAGCTAATCCCAAAGTCAGTGTCACATCATCCAATCAGATTCAGTCGGCACTTACATAGGCCAATACGCATGAATCCTAGGGTTCTGCAAGTCCTTTCTCACATGCGCACAAAACACCCTCGTCTCCTCAGTCGACCACCCAAGCCCCCTCGTGAAATACGCCAACGACAAGCCATCTAAGCCGCCAGCGATGTTCGCGCAGGCCCACGCCCCCAGCTCCTTAAACTTCCTTTCTCTCGGCCACGGATTTGTCGGCCACTTCTGCTGCACCTCGACGATGTCGACAAACCCAGCGGCAGCGAGGTAGTTTTTATACTCTGTTGTCGGAAACACGGGACGACCGAGATTCTGACCAGCTTCGAAGCAGGATCTGCACCACTTGGAGAGGTAGCTTTCGGAGTGGAGGGTTCCGTCGTCGGAGCGGGCGGGGAGGGACATGTCTTGGAGTTCAAGATAACCGCCGGGTTCGAGGTTGTCGAAGGCAACTTTTATGATTTGCGGAAAGTCAGTGAAGCAGCCGAGCATCATGCGGGCAAAGATGAAGTCAAATTTCTGGGTCCAGGTCCATTCTTTTTCGAGGTCGTCTATTTCGAAGCTAACGTTTGGTGGGACACTGAGAAGGGATGTCAGTATTTTATCACGCGGTCGAGTGTCAAAGGCTTTGCGTACAGAGCTGGTTGGATCGGGCTCAGGTCAACGCCGATGACCTACAAAGTCAGTAAGATCAAGCAAGCTGCGCGACAAAGACATTGTTACCTCTGCTTGAGGGTTTGCATCAGCTGGACACATGTTAGCGCCTGATTTTATTTCATGTATTGCAACAAGATCTTACCGTAATCAATCGCCCATGAGCCAGTGCCTGTTCCCATATCCAGAACGCGATTCGCGCCTTTCGCTTTCGGACATAGAGCGAGGCCTCCGTCGAGCGTTCGTACGTAAAGCTCGTGTTGTAAGTCTAGTCATGTCAGCATTGCTCTGACAATTGCAAGTTCTGACATACCCAATCTTTCATTCTCTTCCTTTCATTCAGTCAGTAACATGTAGTATGCAAAATACCCGACCCGGTATTGAGTCTGTTGATCAAACCTACTTCGTCATTCGGCAGGACATATTCTATGACTGGTCAGTTTTTTGCTCCCGGTCGGCACGAGATTATCTTACTCCCACTACTCAAAGCATGATAGCTGCGACCATTTTCCTGTCGATAAGCCAAAATACTAGATGAGATTGAAACAACCGACGGCTCTACTTCCTATGCATCATCAAAATACGTCATTATGAGGCTCCGTCAAAGCGTAAAGTGACCCATGGCAGACGCGAGTCATTGAAACTTACCTCGCCAATCGAGGAATCGGCATCGTCGTCGTCACCTGCAGCCTATGCACGTCAAATCAAACCCCGCTCATGCACAAAAATAGAACCCCAGACTTTCTTACAATGGCATCTTGGATTTGGATAACAGGCTCTGGGGGCGGAGTGTTGCCCTCGTGCTGGGACGCTTGAAGTGCCATCGTCGATGGGGCCAGAGTGTGATTAAGCTGTGGATCACGGAGTATTGATTCAAAGAAACGCCCCCTCTTTCTTTATTTTTTTGTGCCGGGCCGTGCCTTGTGTAGCGTGATGGGCTCCTTCAATCCGGAGTGTGGCGTTACTGATGTTCCGCGAATTGATTTGGACGGGGATGGCTTCCGGAATGCGCCATCGGTGTGCAGAGTCAGATCCTTTAGGGGTCTTGGCCCGCTGTTGGCGATACAGCTCCACTAACTGTTCGGTACACTGGAGACCAACGAACTTGTTAGAGGGGCTGTACTGCCTGATATGCGTGGTTTTTATCAACGTCAAGCTCGGTAGCGTTCATGCGCCGTCAAATCAACATGTTCTGATTGGACAAAGTCCGGTGCAGCCCTGCACCGTTACAGGGTATCTTGATCTCCAACGGCGTCGTCGGCTGATTAGTCTGATTAGTCAATTGCTCCTGAACGAAATGCTTTCTCTTCCTTCGCCCGCTCATCACTGTTTGATGCACTGCTCAAACACCTCTGAAGATGAGCGCTGAAAGCGATACCTCTGCAGGCTTCCTGCGCGATGTCTGGCAAGGCGTTGGCGACCATCCTCGGGCCGTCATCGCCACAGCGATCCTTGGGCTAGTGGTTCTCTTCGTAGCTGACACGTTGCGCACTTGGTACCGACTATCACATGTTCCTGGTCCATTTTGGGCGGGGTTCTCCAAAGCTTGGATGGTGAGACAATCCTTCAAGGGAATTCAGCCTTATGCGATTCAACAGGCCAATGAAAAATACGGTATGTCTAAATGTCACTCTTAGCAAGAGTAGCTAACTCTATTTCCAGGATCTCTCGTGCGCATTGGGCCAAATGAGCTGGCTACGGATGATCCCAAGCTGCTCAAGCGCATGATGTCAAGTCGCTCGGCTTATACAAGAGGACCCTGTAAGCTTTTGTCTCTTTCAGTTGATGGGAGATACGATGATGAGCTAACCGTAGTGGACAGGGTACAATGCTCTTCGTTTCGAGCCTGGAAAAGATAATCTTTTCTCCATGAGAGATGATGACGCCCATGCAAAGCTGCGCAACAAGATGGCCGCTGGTGTAAGTCCTCTGATAGACCTACCATCGCGACATGTAGCCTGACTCTAGAACCAGTACTCTGGTAAAGAAAACGAGTCTCTTGAGCACACCATCGATGAGCATATCGCCAAACTTATCAACCTCCTGGAGACAAAGTATCTCTCAGCAAATCAAGACTACCGCCCAGTTGACTTTGCTCAAAAGATCCAGTTTTTCACTCTAGATGTCATCAGCGATCTTGCCTTCGGTCAGCCATTCGGATACATCGAGCAAGATGACGACGTCTTTGACTTTATCAAGATCACAAAATCTTACTTCCCAGTAACTTTATTCATTGCAAATATCCCGTCGCTAGTGTCCTTACTGCACTCACGACTGTTCAGTGGTGCCTTGCCCAAAGAGAGTGATAAGCTTGGGTTTGGTGCTTTCATCGGGTGAGTTTTGTCGGTGTCAAATTCTGCGGGAAGCTGACAATTGTAGCGTCGCGAACAAGAAGGTCGCGGAACGATTCGCGCCAGGCGCCGAGTCGCGACCAGACATGCTTGGATCTTTCATCCGTCACGGATTGACACAAGAAGAAGCTTCCAGGGAATCTCTTCTCAACGTCGTCGCTGGAAGTGACACTTCAGCAACTACCATTCGCCTCATCATGCTCAGTCTCCTAAGCAATCCCATTATGTATCTCAAACTTCAAGCCGAAATCGACACCGCAATCAAGGCCGGAAGTATCTCATCCCCGATTACCGACGCTGAAGCAAGAAAACTCCCTTATCTTCAAGCCGTCATCCAAGAAGGTCTGAGGATCAAAGCCCCAGCAGCTGGGCCACTGTTCAAACAGGTTCCCCCTCAAGGTGATGAAATCGATGGAAAGTTCATCCCCGGAGGTACACAGATCGGACAGTCGCCATTTGCTGTTTATCACTCCAAGGAGATCTTTGGTCAGGATGCAAGTCTCTTTTCTCCTGAGCGATGGATCAATGCGGATCCTGCGAAATACGAAGCTATGGCTGAGGTTGTCAGTCTTGTGTTCTCGACCGGAAAGTATCAGTGTCTGGGCAAACCGGTGGCATTTATTGAGCTGAACAAGATCTTTGTTGAGGTGAGTCTTGACTGTTTGATGATGGTAAGGCTTGTGACTAATGATGCCTGACAGTTGTTGCGACGATTTGACTTTTGTATGGCTCGACCTGAAAGACCTCTTCATATCATGAACGCTGTAAGCTGTCTCCTCCGGTTTGACATTGTGGCTACTGACTGGTGGTGTAGGGAATTTGGCTGATTGAAGACTTCCCTGTTCGCATCACACGACGAGAAGCCTAAGCCCACTAATCTACGTACCAATAATGTATATAAGCCTAGTATTGGACTTAATTATCAGTTTATTTACCATAGATGAAACTGCCGATCAATCATACCGGGTATAGGGTCAATGAAGCTTGCAGTTGAATAGTCAGACAGCCAAGTTGTTTGTCATGGAATGCTTTTTCAGTGTCGTTATTCGTCGCTTGAACAGAATTATGATTGGAACAAGGTTCTTGGCACTCTAGACCGCCGTGAAGCATCAGTTGATAAATTAATTTTAACGTGAGGCTAGTACCCGGGCTATTGAGCCAGCTGAGGGCCTCTGTCAATAGCGCCAAGCCTCATCAGCCAGCTGTCACGTAGAAAAATGAACCCCTGACAAAATGTAGATAAAACCGTTTAATCCGCCTTCGCATTTCCACGATTCCTTTTGATCTATAGTGTCTCTTCCAATCCAACTCTTGTCACTCTTTATCGCTACGAAAATGCGCTTCAGCATCCTTTTCGCGTTTGGTCTTGCGACTGATGTTGCAATGGCTAGCGTTTGCAAACCTCGACCTTCCGCCAGTTCTAGTGAGTTTTTTTCTGGGAGGATACTTGGAGATCATTTCTAATTGAATACAGGTGTTTTGTCTGCCGAGACTGTTACTTCGACCATTTCTGCCACTGCTCCAACGACGACTGTCGAAGCTGAAACGACGGCTGCTATTCCTGCCGATCTGTCGACTACTACCAGTCTCGCGTCTACTGCTGATGATAAGGCTACAACTGAGGCTACTGAGCCAGCCACTACCACCCAAACATCAGTGTCAGTCGATTTTTCAACTACGCTTGCGACAACTGGCACTGCAGAGACCACCACTACAGATGCTACGACCACCGAGGAGGCTACACCCACTGCGGTGACTACGTCTGCGGAGACAACAACAGCCGATGCCACCACCACAACCGCAGATACCTTCGTTCCAATCCCAACATTCAACGTCATCGCTACCGACACGCAAGTCTACGGACAAAAACTCCGCGGCCATGTAACAACAGATTACGAAATGGGATGGAACCTCGAAGGCTCCCCGCCAATCCTCGCATTCTCCATCGACTCCGACACAAACCAAGTCAGAGAAATAGCCAATGGAAACTACCTTTGTCTCCAATACGGCGTCAGAGACAGCGATAGCGATAGCAACAGCGACATCCACTTCCTCAAGCTCTGCGATCCCGGCACCGAGACCAACGTCATGGGCGGGATCGCTATACTCACATGCGAGCAGACTCGCGATCGCAGGCTGAAGTGCTCTGCTCCCGCTGGGCAGTGCGTGGAGGACTCTCTTACTAGGATCCCGATTTGTTCGGCCCTGCCTGGGACGTTTACGGGATTTTATGCGTATTCTGGTTTGACAACGGGTATTGCTCTTGTTATGGGACGGGAGGGTAATGGTCCTACTGCTGATACGCAGTCTATTGACTTTGAGATTGAACCTGCTGTAATCTACGATTAATAGTTAGAGCTCATCTACCAAAGGCGAACGTTCTTCATCATTCTTTGCGTTAAGTTTTAAACTACATCATGTTTGATCATGCAGTAATTGAGTTAATATTATGGTTATTCTTGGCCTAAAATCTTAGTTCTAAAAGGACTTTGTTATTGTGTCTTGGGTTGACGTAAAGTAGTACATAACTGCCTTGATATGAATCCATAAATACAATTAATAACTTTTGCGGCTTCTATCTACTTAGATCAGGTTTATGAGTAGCCAGCTCACTGCCAAACTCGCCCCCTTTGACTGAATCAGCAATAATACACCGCTCGTCGCTGTCTCGACTTGCTTCCGTTTGCGGTCCACCAACAGAAATAATTTGTTCAGATCTAGAGGCGTCGCTCTTCCAGATACCTGGACGAGGGCTCCTAGCAGCTATATCTGACAAGTTGTAGCCCTTTGCGGGACCACCCGGCCCCGTATAGTACAAGGAACTCTTTTTGGTTGATCCGAAAATGCGGGGGAAGATCTTGCCCAAAGGTTGCCGTAGCACAGGCAGACATGCAGCGATGATGCCGAGGTTAGCTTCGATGAGAGTCCATACGCCGCGATCGATGAAGTTCCACGTCATGTCTTTTTTATTCTTAAGAGAGTTTGACACAGAGGTCACTCGGAGGATCGATGTAATGGTTACACTGTGACGTTGGTAAGCTCTTGTCTGAAGATTTCGGAATTTGTACGTACAATCCACCCAGAAGAAAGATGCAGCAGAGCAGAAGTTTCTCCCGTCTACTCGTCTGGAGTCGCATGATGGGTAGAATAGGAAGAGCCAGGACCATAACGTCGGTCAGGATATTGAGGACAGCGTAAGCAACCCAAAACTTATTCGAGTCGATGCACGTGGCATCAACTGACTTGTCCCATGCGCCTTTGATGGGGACACATTGCCAAATTGTCGCAGCAACACCACCAATACTGTATCCAACCACGACGCCCAAGACCACAAATGACCAAAGATGAAACGATTTCGTGACGAATAATCGGAGATATAGCAGAATCGCGGCGACTTTGTTGAGGCAGACGGTTACCTTGTATGGTGTCTGAGCGATAAAGAACATCTTTAACGCCATGCGAAGATCGGGCTTTTCGAGATCGGCTTTGTGCATTCCGTAGCCATGGTGTATCGCAAGCTGTATGTACGTCGACAGAAGAACAGATGATATCTTGGAGAATTAGCGATGGTATCATTGGGAGGGTCGAACAACATACCAGAGAAACAATAATGGCAACATCGTCTGATCCGAGCTTGTGTATTGAGTACCGCGCAATACATCTCGCAACGACAAACAGACCTGATGAAATGATCATCACTAAAGATGTGATGTAGAGCTTCCAGCCATGATTGTCGACGCCATCGGCGGGAAATCCCATGCCTCTGTCAATCATTTTTGTGGCTTCACCCTACACGGACGGGCTAGAGTGGCACTTGGAGAGGGGCCAAGGAGGACCCCCAGTATATAAAGTTGCGCAGACATCGGTTCCAACAGCGCGGCACAGCCAATGGTGCAATAGACCTATGTCACCCGGCACATCACGATATGATGCAGAACGGTACTGCTACAAGTAGTGCCGGGCCATCGTATGTTGGTTCCAAAGTCACGAGGACTTGCTTTCGGAGACAACGGAAGTGTAACCGCATTGTCGGCTCATTAGAGTGAGTAGGTATCGAATGACGAGAGGGCCAACGAAGAATCCGTAGCGACCATCCTGTCTTGGTAGTGAGGGAATAGAATCAATCTCCGAAGTAGAAAGGATGAACGGTCCTTTTGCCTGCCATCCGGGGTGAACCAACCAATTGGTGGTGTCATTTCATGCAGGGGTGAGGCACGGCGTATTGTTTTGCGGAGGTTGGAAAGATGAGACTGGTCACGAACCATTGAGGTGACGAAAACATGGAAATAAGAGTGAGCATTTCGATTACAATTCTCCCATGTTCCATTGCAAAGAAACACTACTATAGGAATTAACTTGTGGCTTCATTCTTCATCCCATTGTCTGCGGGCCGTGCCCCTGTCAAACCGTTGATCCGGAAAGGTCGGCCGCTAAGTTCATCCTGACCTGGTCACATCCTTTGTGGATTCCTATTCAGGGCACTTCCCCGATGCGCGTCCCAGTGGTTAAATAAAGTTCCCAAATCTCCCCATCCCAACTTGAGACAGTGACTTTGCCTTCTGTCGCCCCCTGCGCTACTGCACCTCCATCATGTACGCGGTCAATTGGGCTTTTGCATTCGCCCTTTGGGCAGGTCTGACTGCTGCAACGTCGAAATGCAACCCATCCAAGTACATCACTGTCGAAACGGCGAATGGACCCATCACTGGCCATGTTGCAGACAATTCGCCGTGTGTTGTTGAATATCTGGGTATTCCCTATGCGAAACCGCCAGTGGACAAGTTGAGGTTTGCGGCTCCTCAGCGCATCACGTCTTACTCCAAGAAGCCTTTCGAGGCCCAGAGTTTTGGATATGATTGTCCCTTGACGGCGAGTAAAAAGGTGGATTATCCTGATATGACACCCCAAGCCCAGCGGATCATTTCATACTTTGCCAGCGCGGCCGGAACTCCCCAGAGTGAAGACTGTTTGACACTCAATATCTGGTCCAAGGCCACGCCCAACTCTGCCAGAGCAAACAAGCCCGTGCTTGTCTTCTTCTATGGTGGACGTAAGTTACTAGCGTGTCGTGTATCAAGACCGAGACTGATTTGGTGATACAGGCTTTGCTATCGGAAACACCGACAGTCCTTTCTACAATGGCAAATACTTTGCTGACGCAGAGGACATTGTCGTCATCACCGTCAACTACCGTATCAACATCTTTGGCTTTCCCGGTGCACCCGGTGAGACTCAGAACTTAGGTCTACGCGATCAACGAGCTGCTGTCGAGTGGGTTCGCGATAACATCTGGAGATTTGGAGGCAATCCTTCCAAGATCACCATCGCCGGCCAATCTTCAGGCGGCGTAGCTGTTGACTACTGGACGTACGCTTACAAGAAGGACCCAATCGTCAACGGGATCATCGCCCCATCAGGCAACGCTTTTAGTTTCCCTGTCAACTCCGCTGCTGTCCAAGAGAAGAACTGGGCTTCGGTTGTGGCAGCTGTAGGATGCAACACTACCAGCGAGGTAATGTCTTGTATGCGCAAGGTCGACTGGGAGGATATCAAGAAGGCAGCTGCTAGTATCAAGCCTGCTGCTAGCTCTAGTGTTCTTCGATCCATCCCTCCATTTTACCCCAAGCCAGATAACGAGATTGTCTTTTCAGACTACGTTAGTCGAACCAAGAGCGGAAACTTTGTCAAAGTCCCCATTCTGTTTGGCAATAACAATAACGAAGACGGATACTACCGTATTCCCGCCTACGGAAATGGAGTTGTTCCTACCGACGCCCAAGTCAAATCGTTCCTTCTCGAGTCATTCACCTGTCCCGTATCGTACCAGGCCAAGGCGCGACGAGATCACAATACACCATCATGGGCGTACCGGTATCTGGCAGACTGGGATAATACGAGATTGTTCCCTACGAGTGGCGCGTACCATGGAGTTGATCTGCACATGATCTTCGGCGCATCTGGCGATGTCAGTGGCATTGAGCCATCGGCGGACCAGAAAAAGCTCACCAAGATCATGCAACATGCTTGGTACTCATTCAGCGATGATCCTTGGTCTGGTTTGAGCAAGCTTGGGTGGCCTAGATTTGATCCCAGCCGTAAGACCTTGATTGAACTGGGTAAGAGCACGAAGCCTCGTGTCGACTTTGTGAAGCCTTCTGTCTACGACGCTGCTTGCTCAACAGTGACGATGGGGGCGCTTTCGACTTCTACGTAGGATAGAACATTTTTGTGAAACGCTTTTGGTAACTCAAGAAGCTTGAACTACCAACAACAGCATTTCAAAATCCGTCGCTCTCTATTTGGTAGATGACTCTCTAGAAGTTCCTTCGCGATATGTCCATACCCCAACAGACACCTGCAACTAGTACCTGCTATGGACTGTGCACTTTTGTAAAATTAATTCGTCATCAAAATAGCATTAGCTCCAATCAATGCTGCATGGAATTATAGGATTGTGAAATCATTCTTGCAAGTAAATGATATCTTATCGCAGACCTTCATTCGACGTCAACAGACACTGGGTCGGCAGACTCACTTTTGTCCCTGATCCTAGCACCTCAGCTAACGGTGCAACCTGTCGCATTTCATGAAATAGGGTAGATAAATAAAAGTTTTACAAGCCAGTAGAAAATACAGCAGACAAGTCGGTAAGCGAGTTTGCCACATGTCTCAGTCTGATGTCCGTGAGAAAACGGAAGTAAGGACTATCAAATACTGTTATCACATTCCTTATCGTGCACGCTGTAGCGCATCAAACTGTTTAAGCTTAATTTACACTTTTTATGGTAAAACATGCATAAGACATCTCCAATTCGACAGTCTAGACAAGTCTAGGGCTTGACGTGAGGGGTGCCGGGACTTGGTGCTCCGTTGGAACATCTCACTGTGATTCGGTACCCCCACCGCCATCTTTTAGACTTCAGCCAGCCACGTATGGGATATGAAGTGTGTTTATCCGGATTAGGGAGTCATTCATCACCCACGCTCAGCCGCAAGCCTCTTCATGCAAGGGTATACACCTGTCACATATGATTGTCACAGTTGACTACCCTCGAGAGCAAGAAGATTGCCAAGTGAGAGCAGGGTGCCAGATTTATTCAGCGTAAAATCTTCTAAAATACACCAGGCTTGCCTAAATCCTTTTGTCATGTGGGATAAAGGTCCTGGACTCCCTTGCCCTCCCACGCCACCTCCATTACGAGCAAGAGTTTTAACAATGCTGCAGTCCCGAGTAGTCGACATAGTAATGTATCAATTACACGATGTCAGTAGGGCTGAAAAGGTTGTCAGCTGATCGATTCTTGCTTTCAGCCGCACCTTGAGACATCGTCCTCAGAGAGCCATAAAAATGGCTACCATCAAGACAGGATGCCAGAATAAAGTAGTCTAAAGATGTAACAAAAGATAGAAAGCTCGCCTAAATCTTTTCGTCACTGAGGTCTCAAGCTTTCTTGCTCCCCCTTGCAGATATAACTTGAGAGGGGCTCATCCGTTTTCTGAAGGAGAGGCGCTGGTATCGCTGCCGTTGTCCGTCAAGGCTGCTATAAGAACCTCTCTCACCCCGTGCTTAATCACATCACTCTTCACAGTGACATTTACATATCTCATCACACAATCCTTGTCCTCAATCCCCTATACTCAACCCCTTCACCATGCCTGGCCCTACCATCAATGGAAATGCTTTCTCCGTCTCGTCCCTCCCGGATGGCCCTGAGCAGCCTGGCGGGGATGAGATGAGAGTCAATCATCTCCCCGAGAACACTAATTACATCGTTCTCGAAACCCACGACCCTCTCAAGAGGCCTGAGAAAAGAACCCTCCAAGATCTCCACGTCGAGCTACATGAATATCTCGGCGGCAACACCTGGCTCTGCCGCTATGAGCCCACGGACATCAAGTCCCTGCGCGACCTTGCTTTCGTCAAGGATGCGAAGCCCCTGCAGCCAGAGCTAAAGCTCCAGCCAGCTCTGAAGGATAATGCGGTCGAAAGCCGTACTGTTGATATCGTCCTTCAGAATCGTGCGGATGACTCTGCTGAGGATATCTCCCAACGCATCCAAGATTCTCTTGGCATCTCACCTGAGGATATCACGATCAGAGACGGTGCCTCTGTCATTCGTCTGACGGGTAACAATGACAAGCTACAAGAGATCGCCAAGATTGACAGTGTTGGGTCCATTCAAGAGGTACACAAGCTCACCTTCTTCAACAATGTTGCACGTGAGATCCTTCATGCCGATGCCAGTGGATCCAACACCGTCTTCAAAGGAGCCAATCAGATAGTCACTGTCGCTGACACTGGCTTTGACACTGGGGATGAGAACAAGACCCATGACGCCTTCACCGGTCGCGTCAAGAAGCTCATCCCCATTGGCAGGTCAGACAAGACCAACGACCCCGATGGGCATGGCACACATGTTTGCGGGTCTGTCCTTGGTGACGGCCACTCTGAAAAGATGGGCGGTTCAATCCAAGGCACTGCACCACAGGCGACTCTCATTGTCCAATCTCTCTTGGACAGACGCGGTGGCCTCTTCGGTCGATCCGAGAAGACTCTCGGCGATCTACTCAAAGAGGCGCTCGATCACCAGTCTTTCATCCATACCAACTCCTGGGGCCCCGTCTGGACGCGCCAGCTTGAATACAACAACGCAAGCACAGACCTCGACACTTTCGTTTCCAATCATCAAGAGATGACGGTTTGCTTCGCTGCTGGTAACGACGGTGGCGAGGAGACTGATCTTGGCCACATCGGCGCACAAGCAGCGGCCAAGAACTGCATTGCTGTTGGGTCAAGCGATAACCGTCGCAAAGCCAAGAACAACCGCTTCGACGCCTTCAAGGCCGATGGAGTTGTTGAAGGTAGCCCCAACAGCATCTCTTGGTTTAGTAGTCGGGGGCCTACGCTCGAGCGTCGCATCAAGCCTGATGTCGTTGCGCCAGGTACCATGATTCTGTCGGCAATGTCGAGAGTTGCGCAGCCAAATGCCAATTACGGTCGTTCAAGTGACCCTGCGTGGACGTTTAGTTCGGGCACTAGCATGGCCACTCCGCTTGTCGCAGGTTGTGTTGCTGTCCTTCGAGAGTCACTGCAGAAGGATGGAGTCACTTCCCCAAGTGCCGCGTTGCTCAAAGCCTTGCTTGTCAACGGCGCTGTGGACACGGGCAACAGCTTTGAAGCCCAGGGTTTCGGCCGTGTTGATCTCGCCAACTCCATCATTCTCAAGGGTATCACTACCAACAAAGGCTACTTGGAGGCTGAGGTCCTTGACGAGGATGGCCAAGATGAGTTCACCAAGACACTCACCCTGGGAGACCTTCTTATGCCTGATGGGCCAGACTCGGAGACTGTTACGTTGAAGGTCACTATGGTGTACTCGGATCTTCCTGGTGCTGCTTTGCAGAACAACATCAATCTCCAGGTTGCTGTCGGTGATGCACCGAGCAGATTCGGAAACTTGGGTGATAGACCTGATGATGTCAACAACGTGGAGCAGGTTATTTGGAGTGGTATTCCTGCTGAGAGGGACACCAAGATCACGCTTAGTGTCACTGCGCCGAGGACTATGCGTGGGGATAAGCAAGCTTTTGCTCTGGTTTGGAGTGTGATTTAATGAGAGCTTGCTAGAGAACATAGGATCTCGACACCAAGCGACGTGAATATTTAGGTGGCTTAGCCTATGATAGGGGTATTATGTACTAAATTTATTTTGTCATTATCGTCTAAAGTCTTCACCTTTCTTGCTCTCGGGCGGGCTTGTCCCAGAGCCTAGAGACTGGAATATCGTTACTTATAGCAACCAGGAATGCATATCGGAGAACTAAAAAATCAGGTTCCATAATGAACAACAAGGTAGATATTTACATAGATCCTCTTGCGGAGAATGGCCCGAAAGTGCGGCTGAGCCGTGTTAACCGGGTCGGCCGCCTTTTGGAGTGACGAGACTGGACAAACTTGCGCACAGCCTCAAGATCGACAGTTTGAGAAATTCTTCACGATCAAAGTGGTGTCATTTCACTCTCATTTACAGATACTGTGTATTTTTTTTCATGTCCCACTAGCCTGGGTCGGGTTCCTGTCTTGGAGTCTAGTTGTTGCGATGATTCCCATCCTATACGTAAACTCAATCTCAGGAGCAAATGACCATGCTCACGAATCAAGCAGTAGCGTGTGTTCTTATGTGTGGCCTGGAAGCTTGCTTGTAGCCAGTGGACATTTTGTCACTTTATCATCAAGTTTGAGAATTGCCCGAAGGTCCACGCGATGATGATGCCAGCCTTGTAGGGCGATGATAGTGGAGCCCGAGATTGAGATCTGCGCGCTCTGTTGTTTGTAAACAACCTTTTTTCATAGCCTTAAAGCTTGCTGACTCTTAACGCATGAGTTTTACTGACTGTGCTTTGCGTTTCATCGCAGTAGTTCTCGTAAACAAGTCCCATTGCTCGCCCCGAGTTTGCTGACAATATGAGGCCGAAGTTGTTACTCAGCAAGTCCGTTTCGCAAACTACCAGTGACTAGCGGCCGCTGCACTGCCACAACGGCTCCGAAGCAGACGTCATCCAGACATCGTATATTTAATGCCGCGTTTTAAACCCCGAATCCTTCGAATATTTTTAGGTAGCTTGAAACAAATCCACGTGGTCTGTGGCTTTGCTCTGTAGCTTGATGTTTTATCATTTGAGGCGTTAGTAGCAGGACTCTGAAGGCCAAGATTAGAGATGAAATGGGGCTTGGACGATACTTGGGACGGATGATCTTTGCTAGGGATGGGACTCCTAAAAGTCTAGTAGAAATGGACTTCTTAGTCAAGTGAACAGTTGCTATGTGAGGTACTTCTACATCTCAGCCGTGTCTTCATTGTGAGTCCACCACACAACCCAAGAGGATCATTACCCATGTGTATTAAACAGTACCATACGATATGCTGAAACACTCATGGTTCCTTTTTGTCCTAAGAAAGCTCGTATTGCCTCCCGTCGGGGATGCTTCGAGGTTTAAAAGTGGTCTTCTATGGTCGATCATGACCAACAAGTCCACATGTCGGCCGCCGCTAGACGCACGTAGCAAAATATGTGCCATACCAAGTCGGCAGTCAAGATATTTCCGAAGCTTCTAATAAGAACATTGTACAGATCCGTCAACTGATATTCAACATGTATAGCATTTTGGCTACGTTGTATCTTCATCACAATGCTGATAGGACATAACCGACGGCTCTTTATCGTTTACGCCTCCTTGGCTAGTTTGTGGGTCTTTTTGTTCCAACTCTGCAGAGTCTACACCTTCTCCGACCCTTCTTCCTTCTTTTATGACTCGGGCCGAGCCTATGAGACGCGATACAGTGCTATTCGGCAGCGGCAAGCCGATGAACTACTCGACGTTGCCGAACACTTCCCAGTAGAGGAGCTAGCGAAACTCCCTCCTTTCAACAACGCTACCGAAGCAATACCACGAAACTCGAGTAAGCGTTTATGTGTCGGCATACCGAGTGTCACGCGAGAACGGGAGCAGTTCTTACCCAGAGCGGTGGCCTCACTTGTCCAAGGTCTCAGCCTCGAACAGAGACAATCGATACACATCGTCATACTACTGGGAGACGATGATCCAACATCCCATCCAGTTTTTGGGAAACGATGGCTTGATCGTCTGGCTGATCAAGTTCTCTTGTACGGCAACTCTTCGAAAGTCGATGCTCCCAAACGATACCGTATTGTCGCGTCAGATCACAGCCATGAGCTCTCCCGAAACGACCGAGTCCACCGCGACTACGCTACATTGATCACAGCTTGCCAGGAGCAACAAACAGAGTATTTCGCTTTGATAGAAGATGATATCATCGCTGCGCACAATTGGCTAGGTCGACTATCCACTGCCTTGGGCAAGCTCGAACGAACCGAAGACGCAAAGAACTGGCTGTACCTACGACTGTTCTATTCCGAAACATACATGGGCTGGAACGCTGAGGAATGGCCAACGTATCTCGTCAATTCGATATCGGTATACTGTATCGTTTTGGTGCTCTACCTTCTGGTAGTGGCTATAGACACACGACGAAGATCCCAGACCTTTCACCCAAAGTCCACCGTCTGGGCCCTACCGCACCTGACATTCTGGACGGCGTCTTTTATCCTGCTGTACTTCCTTGCTGGTCGTCTTGCAGTCAATCCGTATCCAACCGGCGTTCATGAGATGCCAAACTATGGGTGTTGTGCACAGGGTCTAGTCATACCTCAGCAACACCTCGACGCGCTTGGTGTCGCCCTGAACACCGCATCTGATGCTATTGCTGGCGACTCGCTCATAGAAAGCTTCGCTGATAGCCATCATCTCAAGAAGTACGCTATCACGCCAAGTGTACTGCAACACGTTGGAAGGATGGGGTCTTCAGATGTTGGAGGGACTCGTAAGGTGACGTGGAACTTTAGTTTCGAGAAGACGAGCACTAGGAGATCACGGCATTAATGGACTTCTGATGTTCGATTCAAGTTCAGTCCACATTGGATATCATATCAGTTCACCCTCAGTAGTATCCCTCATGAGACTCTCCCAAAGATCTTGTCCGTACGGAAAGACCATCTGATAGCCCTCACCGGGATTCGCTTCAACACCGTCGTCGTCAGCTAACGCAACGCGACGTATAGTATCTCCAATATCCGCCTCAATATCCGATGAGAACTTCGATGTGCGCTCAAGCTCCATCAGCGCGCTGAGTAACCGAACTCCTCTCTTAGCGATCGAGCTCACCTGTACCTCCTTACCAATGAACTCTTTTCCATACTCGACATAAGCTCGTAGCCTTTCCCAATCATGTGTCAGGGCATTCTGAGCCTTGAGGAGCAAAGCAAGGAGGAGAGTGATTGAGCAGCTGATCATGTACGACAGCGTAGTCCACATTCTGCGGCATATGCGTGCCTCAAGACAATCAGGCCATCGCTGGAATGCTTCGATGCTTCGTTCTGCTATCGAAACACACGACAGCTGCAGCGTATCAGTGGTAATCCCAGGGTTGATCGAAGGCTGTTACCTGAGAAAATGCGTATCGCCTATCACGAAAACACGACAATTGGAATTGGCGATGAACCGTAAAGATCTGCCAACCTTATCAGTCAGGAGCATGGATTAATAGTATATTTTTACTGACTTTCTGAGCAATACTCATGAGAAGCATTGCTGGCATTAGGCCCGTAGGTAGACCGTCGGTTGTTGGATTGTCGCTTGGCGTGATCTTGACATCTCGCAGCGTGTTAGACCATGAGAGATAGAGGCCCTTGATCTCCTCATCGGCTCGTATCACTTCATTATATCTTCTATCAATATCATCAGTCTGTGTATTGCCAACTCTTAGCATGCGATCATGATGTCTCCACATAACGATTGCCACTGCGAGATTGCCGTCAGCCTTTATCATGCTACTTCAAAGTGACTCGCCTTACTTTGGGCAAGGCAATTCGTCCAAGTAGTAATAGTGCAGATTTCAGCTGGCCGTACATTAACTCTGTCATCGTTTATCATGCGTTCCTCGTCATCATGACAGTTAGCGGGCATCGGGGTGTTGAATTGTGAATAATGAATCTGGCATGTGTTTTGGAACGGGATCTGTAGCCAGTCGTACCGCACCAGAAACCACCAAACTCGCTTTCGCACTTCGCGGTCGATGACCTCGTTGACACCGGCACCAGGGTCGTCAAGTCCCAGTCTATGGAGGTTCAGGCATTGAGCGATGCGAATAGCAGAGGATACGAGAACACAAATGAGGTCGGACTTGTCAAAATTATGAGCAACCTGAACCAGCAAGCATATTGTTTGAACCGAGGTCAGCTTGTGCTTATCCATGAACTCGGACTTGTACAGTATCTCTCTGCTCCTGTCAAACAAGATTCGCGACGCTTTGCTGTCAACTTGCATATCGAAACGTCAATCATTTGTATAATGTGGATGTCCAGGCAGCTCACCAGTTATAGGCTGGGGTAGAGATGACAGGTAGTCGCTGTCGAGGTGGTGGAGCGTTTGCTTGTGGAGCGTCAGAATTGCAAGTTGGGCAGCAGGGCGCGCATCTTACGGATAGAAGAGCATAATACAGAGCTATCCAATTCCTGTCACACTCAACTTTGAGAATATTCTCATCAAACTCGCGGAGAAACGTGGGCATATGAACCGTGTTATGCATCCAGGTCAAATGCTTGCCATGAAGCACTAACAGTGAGCGGGCATCCCCGACAGGCAGGAAAGTATCCCACTTTTGAACAGGCTGGGTCATAAACGTGGAAACAGACCCTCGTCCAATAAATTGGTTGAGAATATTACGCCGTCCGTGGGTAAGAAACTCCAGCATGGCAGCAGCTTCGTTGGTCAACCTAGTATCGGGGGTCGATAGCGAAGCCAAAAGCTGTTCGATCATTCGCTCATCAATGTGCGGTAGGGATTCATTGGTGCTTGTAGCTATGCTACCAGCTGTAGGGTTAACAGTAGCGACCTCATCGATCGAAGTTGGCGACACTTGTGCGAGACTGGCCGCTTCCTGGACAGGGATAATTACAGGTGGCTGGTCATCTAGCGCTGTCGATGCCCTGGAGCGCCCTACCGAGCGCCTCGAAACAACAGCGACGGGCTCTCGCTGACATTGTGCAGCTTTGTTCTGGCGCACGCATGCGGTGCAGGGAATAGTTTTGGAGCATTTGATCTTGCGGCGAGAGCAATTAGTGCATGCGAGAACAGAACGCTGACTGCTTCGGACTGATCTCGGATTTGGCATGTGTAGTTGTTCCCGGTCGGCCGTGTTTTGCACAATTATTACGAGTGAGACATTTTGAACACGGCCGAGATTTGAAGACGGATCTGGCCTACATCCTTGTCTGGCTAAGCCCCGGCTATCATCACTCCTAGTAATATGAGCTGTAATCTGTTAAAGATTGGAATATCGCGGTCCGGGTTGAATAACCCATCCCCCAGAAGGTCACTTGAAACTTTCGTGTTTGCCATTTGATGAAATTGTATGCCGTCACGCCCTGGATGATTGAAACTGTCTTGTTTTCCTGTCATAGCCTAAGCATGGTCATAAAGGAACGCCTCTTGTGCAAACCTCGGCCGAGCTACATGACAGTACCCACCGTGATTAGCATTCTTTCAGATCTGGTGGGATGACAACTAAACAGATTACTTCATAAATACTCTCGATCTCCTGTTTCTGACTGAGAACTGTTTATGAGGTAGCTTTATATTATAATCTTTCTTCTTTTCCATCCTCATCGCCATTCTGCGACGTCCCAAATATTCAGTAAACGCCTTGACTACCCTATACCATCACCGTCATTAGCACTGGCTGAAGGCGCCATGTCTCCTGTGGCTCGCACCAAGATTTGTGTGTACTGTGGAGCAGGCACTGGTGCCAGTCCGGCTCATATGGAAGCTGCCAGAGCGCTCGCTCGTGCGATGGCTGCAAATAATATCGACCTTGGTGCGTAAGATTAGGGACAGTCGATTACTTGAATGGCTTCCTCCAGCAATCGTGACTGATACTTTATAGTTTACGGTGGCGGGACTGTTGGCCTCATGGGAGAGATCGCCAAGACTTTAGTCTCGATCAATGGACCTCAATCTGTTCATGGCATTATTCCCGAGGCCCTCGTCAAACACGAACGAGCTGGTTCGAGCCAGGCCCAGAATATTCCTGATGAAGCAGTGTTTGGCCGAACTACCCTCGTAAAGGACATGCACACGCGAAAGAAGCTTATGGCTGAAGAAGTCTTTGCAGGAGGTCCTGGCAGTGGTTTTATTGGTCTTAGCGGCGGCTTCGGAACCATGGAAGAGATCTTCGAGACGACGACGTGGATTCAGCTTGGCATTCACAGTCGGGGTATTGTCCTTCTCAACATCGATGGCTATTGGAACGGAATTATCGATTGGCTGGATAAGGCAGCCGAGGAAGGATTTGTGAAGCCGGGAAACAAGGGTCTTCTCGGTGTCGCTGAGACTGGTGATGGCGCTATCAATGCGTTGCGCGAGTACAAGGTGTCGAGCTCGATCTATCAGCTCCAGTGGGGAACTCAATAGGAAGCGGAAAAATAATAGAGCCATATTACTTTGGTTCAATTGAATAGGTGAAATGTTGAGTAATAATGCCTTGTGCAACGCCTGCCAAGACCCCATACGCTACGCACCCCTCCTTCAGGATTCCTTTCAACCTCTCACAACCAATCGCCCACGCGCACTAACAGAGCCGAGAGCTGAGCCGCCCAGACATACATAATTCACTCTCTTCAACTAAAACTCATCATTCAACAACTCCAGCAGAATCGATGACATGACGATCAATCAGAACTTCCCCTATGAAAAATTACCCAACCCCCAATCATTTCGGCTCCTTGAGATCGAAAATGGCGACAGCAATTGCAATATCAGATGTACTCTGAGATTGCACTCACTGGAAACGGCACCTTTGTACCAAGCGCTGAGCTACGTATGGGGACCGCCAGCTATGACAAATGGCAAATCAATTCTATGCAATGATCATGACTTCTTCGTCACTGACAATCTGTACGGAGCTTTGCATCGTTTGAAGGAAATAAGGAATTGTCGCTTGATCTGGATTGACCAGATCTGCATCAATCAAAATGATCTCCAGGAGCGATGCCACTAAGTCAGTGTCATGAGAGATATATACAGCAAAGCTGAGCTCGTCAATGCTTGGTTAGGCGTGACAGAATCACCCGAGTCTGCCCGTGTTGCTGACATGATCTCCATAATGGCATATGATAGTTGGCCTGGCCTGACGTTAAGCACCGATCCTGTTGACGATAAGACCCTGACATCTCTCGGCCTACCTGCACAAGACTCCCAGACCTGGGTAGCCTTCAATAATATGCTCGCCCTTCCATATTTCTCAAGAGTGTGGATCATCCAAGAGATAGCCGTGGCGAAGTCCTATAGGATCCTGTGGGGGAGCATCATTATCCCTGGCGTGACCTTTCTCAGCTCTACAAAAGGTTGGCTACTAATACCTCGGGTATTCAATAATTGGCTTACAGCGCATGCTGTGAAAGATGCGGTCACGGTCCTAATGGGAAATTACCAAAATAAAGATTTGTCATATTTAGTGACCAGGTTTGTGGAATACAACGCATCGGATCCCCGGGATAAAATATATGCATTCATTGGGCTCGCAGATAAGACGGGATATGACATCATGGCAGATTACAATAGGCCTGTTCTGGGAGCCTACCAAGATTTCGTGCGCCAAACCATCGCTGCGACCGAGAAATTGGACATTCTGCGCTTTTCTACGGTTCAGGATCTCGATACGAAAACAGGGCCGTTATGGGTTCCATGGTTTCATCAGCTTCATGGATATTCAGTGATTTTCCAAGATGGTACACACAACTCTTCGAAAGACTCGAAAGCCAAAATGGACAGAGATACATATCAAGGAACATTGACCCTGCGGGGAATACGTGCCGATACTGTCACTATGGCGATAAGGCTATTTATGCCAAGTGCAGATGACTGGAAGAAAATCAAGGCAATAATTTCGGAAATAGACCCACGCCTCTCAAGGGAGATGGTTATGGATTCATTAGGTTGGGGACCTATTCCCTGGATCCTACAATCGTTTGAGATAATGACCCAGCATGAAGACTTGATTCTTGCGAGAAACGGCGTTGATTTGATAACACTACTCATATGCACGTTAAAAGCTTGCGTGGATCCAACCCGTTACCTGGTCGATTTCAAGGAGTACCTATCATCTGCTCTGATACGACGTCTTGCCATTAAAGATAAGAAAGAGGAGATAAGAAGTCTCCTCAGGCTTCTACAGCATGTGCTTCAGTTGTGCGCCCCAATACCCGAAAGACAAGGGATTTTTGACGACGAGGAAAAGATACGGCAACTGAGATATATACTCGAAGAAGTCTACGGCAACCAAGATGAGATTGACTCGTCTGTCGAGCTGGTAAAGAGCCTGAAGATCCCACCACCCATGGGTCAAAGCAACATCCATAATAGCTTCAAAGATACACTACCGGTAGATCGGAGGTTTTTCATAACGGAACTAGGGTACGTTGGCACGGGGCCTATGTCGATGAAGCCTGGAGACCATATTTGTGTTCTTTATGGTGGATGCACGCCTTTTGTTGTGCGACCGGTGGACGGTGTTGGTGATGAGGATTATTTGTTCCTGGGAGAGTCTTTTGTTAATGGGCTGATGAATGGAGAGGCTTTGGATGACGAAGGTGCTATTGAGAAATGGTTCCGTTTAAGATGAAAGATAGAAGACTTGCTACGCTAATAGAGGCTCTTCAACTCAGATTAGTCCAGTTACAATTTAGTCTTACGACGTTGAGGTATTTATATCTTACTGATTAGGTAGAACACAGGGTCGAACCCATGCTTGATAGCTCTTGAGCCACTAGCTAAAAGATATTTATAGAAAGAACTATGTGAGGCCCTCAATCGGGACTGAAACGACAGTAAGCTGATAAAAAGCGAACAGCTGATTGGTTGTAGGACACAGCTGAAAAAGCCGTTATCTTGGAGTCAAGGACTTATTCACAGCCTGATTTCGGTCTTCAGTACATGAAAATAATGCCTCATCTTCGATCGCGGCCCTCTGGTCTAATCACCACCGACCATGGAGCATAAGTCATATTTCAGTTACCCCATAACCCAACCCTTTCCCTTCCGGTGGTTTACGCCAGTCGCTGTCATCGGGGGGATCGTTTTCACCAGGATCAACGGGGGGTTATCAGGGACGACGACGACAAAATAGAACTCAACAAAGGGACAGTTTCTTTCATGATCAATGACACGCAGACTGGTATTGACAACCCCGGCTTCTTCAGCCTCGACTATCGTTCCTACGGTAGCAAAATCGATGAAGTCGCCTGTTGTCCAGGCTCACCGCTTCCCTTAACCGCAAAAGCCCTCGGTAAGAGCCACACGTATCCGAACATATGGACAAAAGCAGACTCCCTGGCAAAAGCGGCTTATTCCACAATACTCGTTGATCTTGGCCAGAAAGCAGCCTCCAAATCCAACATTCTCAGCGATACTAAGTTGCTGACGCGATACACGAAAAACTTCTCAACAGCCCGCATGGCGAATCTGAGATCAGGTCCAGCGAAAGACAGTTACAGCACATTAAGGGAAACGACGGGTAGCCTGGGCATTGCACCGTCTGTCATCGCTACAACGTACATCTGTCAGGTCCCGCGGCTGAAACCAGCGGGGAATCTTATCGTTGCTATCATTGTAGCGGACCTTGTGCTGCTTCAGGCTGTATGGCAGCTTTACAAGATTTCAGCTGAATTTTATCTTGGTAAGACGAATCGGGAGACGGCCCCGTGTGAGAGATGCTCTGGTGTTGGGCAGGTAGATGATGCTGTACCGCCGTCTGTGCCGAGCCAGAGAGTGGGCTGAAGTATTATCCGTTGGTGAACATGCCGCGGCAGAGCGATGGTCTGTTGACGGGGGGCAGAGTTTGATCATGAAGGCTCAGCAGTCTACAGATTATCACTGCATAGCCCTCGGGCGTTTGTTTAGACTCTTTGATTAAGGTTGAATGGCAACCCGTGTAATGACGTGCCTTGGAAGCTTCCATCCCGCTTAAGGTCCGGCGCTAATGCAAGTTGCTGACATTTAAGGATCCACTCCCGGGGGTAACACAGACACAATTCTTCTCTTCGCCTGCACAAGCTTGCGTTACTCTCGATGACTATGAGAATGCATCGGACAAACACTCGGCAAAACATATCAATTGGAACGGCTTGGCATAACTAAGCCTCGAAATTGACGATGGTGAAGTACGCGGCCTGGTTTGCTTCATCCACTGTCATGACGCATCTTCAACGTGGGAACATAGACATACAGGAGATGAGGAATATATAACTATTATTTCCCGTGCCTAATGGAGACATCCATCATCAAACTCCTCATTCAGTGACTACACTGCAAAAGTCCACCATGAAGTCCATCCTCAACTACGCTGCCCAAGGCATCATGGCCTTCACAGCTGTGATGCCAGCCTCCGCGCAGAACCTCTCCTACGGCGCCGACAATTTCTACCGTAGCGAAGACGTCGCCATCCAGCCCATCCACTTCAACACTATTTACAACACTACCATTGTCGGTAATCTCTTCACGGCCAGGAACGCAAGCCTCAATGCCAGCTCCCCCGCCATTGTCGTCGGCCATCCCATGGGCGCAGTCAAAGAACAGTCCGCCAACCTGTACGCTACCAAGCTGGCAGAGGAGGGCTTCATCACCCTGACCCTCGATCTCCCCTTCTGGGGCAGAAGCGATGGTCCCCAGAATCTCGTATCGCCCGATTTCTACACCGAGGCCTACAGCGCTGCGGTCGATCATCTGGGTACTTACAACTTTGTTGATCGCGATCGCATCGGTGCGCTTGGAATTTGTGGCAGCGGAGGATTTATCATCAACGCGGCCAAGATTGACGCTCGGATCCAGGCTATCGCTACTGTTTCCATGTACGACATGGGCACCGTGAACCGCCAGGGTCTGAGAGGAGCTGTATCGGTCGAGCAGCGCAGAGCAATCATCGCCAATGCGTCACAACGTCGATGGGCTGAAGTCGACGGAGCATCGACTGGATACTCCGTCGGCACTCCAAACGAACTCACAAGCCAGTCGGATGATGTCGCCCGTGAGTTCTTTGACTTCTACCGCACCGTTCGCGGCGAGTTTACTCCCGAGGGATGGCAGCGCAATCAGACTACTCACCCTTCACTCATCACCAACGTCAAGTTTCTCAACTTCTACCCCTTCAATGACATTGAAATCATCTCCCCTCGTCCACTTCTCATCATCTCTGGCGATCAGTCGCACTCGAGGGAATTCAGCGAGAACGCTTATCGTGCGGCCGGTGAACCTAAGGAGCTTTACTGGGTTCGTGGAGCTAGTCATACTGATCTTTATGATCGTACTGAGGTTATTCCTTTTTCCAAGCTCAACGAGTTCTTCCAAGAGAACCTCGTTTAAAGACTGCAACGACGCCAACGCACTCTTGGCTTCTTCATTTCACTTCTCTAGGATTAGATGCTCAATGCAAACAAAACCCTCAATTTTTGCAAATATTACTCTTACGTTGCCCATAGACATAAAGCATACGTATCTTCTCATTGTCATTAGACACCATATCTATTCACAAGACGTCTCGTTTTTGGACATGTCGCTAGAAATCGCCCATCATTGCAAATTAAGGCCTTGGTTGGGGAAGCAAGTGCTGTGACTCAGTAGAAGCCCCGGTTTTGTGTCAGCAACTTGCATTAGCGCCAAATGTTACAGTGGCTGTAGCTTGTAAGCAAGGTGCATTAGTGTAGATGGCATGCAGTATGTGATGCGACTATAATATAAATCGTGCAATGCTTTCCTTTGGCCTTTTTAAACAAAATTCTTGCAAGATCCTTTCCAACTATCATCTCAATCACTTCGCAGTCTTGTACCCCACCCATTAGCTCGATTTTGACGACCATGGGTTTCCCAACTGCACCCAAGCCCAAGACCCCTCTTGGCTTCCATCGCATCCTCTCCCCCACTGCTGGAGTCAAGGTTTCACCGATCTGTCTCGGTGGCATAAGCATTGGCCACGAGTGGAAATTCTATACCGGCCAGAATGAAGAGCCCTTCAAACTCCTCGATGCTTTCTATGATATAGGTGGCAATTTCATCGACACCGCGAGTAACTACAACAACCAGATGTCAGAGACACTCATCGGGCAGTGGATGCAGGAACGCGACGTCAGAGATCAAATGGTGATTGCGACAAAGTATACTGCAGGTTATCGTGCGTTCGGCGACAACCCTGAGCCTTTACAGTCAAACTTCACCGGTAACTCTGCAAAGAGCATGCATATCTCGGTGCGCGACAGTTTGAAGAAGTTGAGGACAGACTACATCGACATTTTGTATGTTCACTGGTGGGACTATGCGACGCCAGTAGAGGAGGTAATGAGAGGGCTTCATATTCTCGTTATACAAGGGAAGGTTCTTTACCTTGGGATTAGCAATACTCCATCCTGGATTGTTGTCAAAGCCAATGCCTGTAAGTCTCGTGATCCTGCTCATCAATAATGGTGCTAATCTAGACAGACGCGAAACAGCATGGCTTGACTCCCTTCTCCGTCTATCAGGGCAATTGGAATGCGGCCTTTCGCGACATGGAAGGCGATGTGATCCCAATGTGCGAGGACCAGGACATGGCGATTGTGTCCTGGGGATCACTGGGCACTGGGTCGCTACTCACAGCCCAGCAAAGAAAAGAAAGAGAAGCTGATCCAGATGCACCAAAGTCTCAGATATCGGAGGTCGCGATAAAGACCAGCGAGGCCCTGGAAAGAATCGCCGACCGGAAGGGGACTACATTACAGGCTATCGTAAGTTGTTGAGGTTGGGCTTATGTCGAGCGGAGAGCTGACTCAAAGAGGCGCTGGCATATCTATTCCACCAATCCACATACGTGTTCCCCATCGTAGGAGTAAATACGGTTGAGCATATCAAGGTTATGCCTGATGCCCTGAAGATCAGACTTTCGAAAGAGGACATAGATGAGATTCACGAAGCATCTCCTTACAATCCAGGGTACCCCATGAGCTTTACGCAGTATATGCAGCCGGTCAAATACGACTTATCCTGGACGCCTGCAGATAATCAGCAATACCAAATGTCAGCTTGGATCGATGCCCCTCCCAAGCGCCTGGTAAGTCTTCAGAAGTTCCGGTATGGGTCGGTGAGCTAACTTCTTTTTAGCCATACCAACCGAGGAACTGGTAGATGTTGTTACAAGGATTTGGGCGAGGGCGGACAGTTCTTTTACCAAATGGGATTTTTCGTTGTGTAGATACACGGTATTATTCGCGAACAAAGTCTAAGCATCAGGTTGCTAAACTCCTTCTGAAAGCGTCGGATATCCGATGAAGCTATCCCGCTCGGGAGTGACAAACCGGCAATTTCTTTGGCTGTGTCCAGGGTCATGTGCGTTGGCGGCCGCCCTGACAGACGCCAACGCCAGACCAGTCTAATAAAGCTTAATTTACAGCCTTCCAACGGTCTCGACAAAGACATTTTCGGGAACGGTTGCCGTCGCTCGTCATTGGGGCCTTTGATTAATTCTCGCCTAGGCTCTATGGGTTCTGTATTTCCGGCTTTTCTCATTCCGGTGACTCATACCCAGCTATCTCACCATCCTGCTCATTGAAGCAAATCAGTAGGGAGATGCACGAGAGCTTTCATGGCGAGAGCATGGACTACGATTGTGCTGTCTTCAAGAACGCTCTGATAGCTCCATGGTGTCGAATTGGTGTACAGGGTACAGGGCCATTGTATGGATGTGAACAGTAGTTAACACTGCTTGGATTGATACGATGTGCTTTGACACCATGTTAACACTACGAATTATATTTCCTAGGAGAACGTGAATTCATTAGGCGGAGAAATACGGTACTTGATGCCCCATGAATCGGTAGATTGATCTCGGTATTCCAGTCGAATGCCGCAGTGGGGAGATGTGGAGTTAAGGCTTAGAAATGGACCCACTACCTCGCGATGCCTCCCACTTTGCTTCTGAGTGGCATTGACGACATGTCCAAACTCAGTAAATTGAGAGGCATCACGAATTTGTATAAATAGAACTACCACGGCACAATCTTTAAGAACATCCACACAGCAATCAATCAAGTAATCGCAGAAAAGATCTCCCAGTCAACTTACAAACATTCTCAATATCTTCCCCCATCATGCGTCTTACAACCATCGTCCTGGCACTTCAGTCCATTGGACTGATCAGTGCCAGAGCAATCAGCCACCCCGGTCTCCGTGTTGAAACCTTTATCAACCATGGCTCTTCTTTCGACATGGTCTCCTCATTGATCATTGGCTCTCAAGCCGCTGTACTCATCGACCTGCCCATGGCAATCGAAGGAGCAGAAGCCCTGGCCGATTGGGTTCGCAACACGACCGACAAGCCACTTGTCGCTACGTTCACCACCCATTTCCATCCTGATCACTACCTTAGCGGCGGTGCACTATTGTCCCGATTTCCGGAGGCCAAGTACTACGCCAATTCCAAGGCCGCGGCTGAGATCAAGAAGGAGGCAGCTCACAAGGTATTCAGGACATTACCATGATGGTGGCGACCACTAACATTGAACAGGTCAAGCTGATGAAGGGTGTTTTGGGTGAAAAGTCCATCGTCAACAAGGCTCACCTTCCTACGCCTTACGACTTCTCCTTCTTTACCCTGCCCGGTGACGAAGCCACGCCAATCCACTTCTTGAACCCTCTTACAGGCGACACCGTCGACGAAACACTCTTCTGGATCCCCTCTATCAAGACCTTGATCGCTGGCGACTCCGTGTACGGTCATGACATGCATCTCTGGCTCGCCGATTCTTTAACCAAGGCTCTCACCGAATCCTGGCTGTCGACCCTCGATTTGATCGAGTACCTCAAGCCAAATGTCGTCATTCCCGGCCACAGTCTGTCTAACAAGAAGTTTGGCTGCTCAATTGATGTTGATCATACGCGCTCGTATCTTCGCTATTGGCAGAAGGAGATTGAGGCCAACGGTCTTGATCACTTTACGCCTCAGGCTATTTTTAACAAGTTCAACAAGCAATTTCCTGGACTGCTCAACTTGAACTCTTCTACATCGGCTTTCTTGCTGAACAGCACGGCTGAGCAGTTTGGCCGTGGTGGAACGCGACAGGTCCACTACATCAACCTCGCTGCTTATCCCGATGTCGAGGCTCTTGATGGGTGGACCATTTAACCAGCGAGGTGATGTTTGAAATAAGAAACAGGTGATTTAGAGGAGTTGGTGTTTGGGCAGTTTCTGTATGTGTATCGGGTAGTTGGTGCATGTATTATAGTGTATTTAATTAGAATAGAGTTGTTTTTAGATGGAGTTGTGTTGAGTAAAGGAGTTGTAATAGATAGAGCTGAAATAGACATTATCATTCGTCATCTGTCGCAAGTTAGCCTCAAAGTGCATCCAATCAGAATAGATATCAATTTGTCAGCACAGCTCCGCGGAAGACAAGACAAGCCAATGTCAGCATCAACTCTCCCAATCACTCATTTTTCCTTCCCTCATTCTTGACCATAGCGTTAAACATGCCGCCAGCACAGATGACCAGAAAGGTTTGCTGCCGTGTCTTTCTGGCCGAGATAGGGTAAATGCTGACACCACTTGACAGGCTTGCGACGTCTGCTACCGCAAGCGGATTCGGTGCGACGGTCAAAAGCCCCGATGTTCTCATTGCGTCTTGTACAAATCCGACTGCACCTTTCAAGCTACGAGCCGTAAAGCTGCGATCAGAAAACAATCCAATAGGACCGCGGCGGCTTTACAGTCTCAGGTGCAATCGCTTGAGACAAGTCTTGATGAAGCACAGCAAAGAATAAAGGAGCTTGAAGAAAGATTAACACAGAAAAGCAGTCTTCAAAGTGCTCAGCCCCAGTTGGGTGAATATGACGTCAGCTACTCTGGAAGGGCTTCTCTTGATTTGGGTCTCGAGTTACCTCCTCAACACGAGGCCTTATCTGGAGTCAACAAATTCCTTGCAACTTTCAACACTATCCTCCCCCTCTTTCATCCACAGAGACTTCTATCCCGGGTCAATTCATGGTATGAGCGGCCCCATCAGCGAGATACATCGACTTGGGCGGCCATCAACGTGGTTCTCTCCCTAGCATATCGCCATATCCCAGACGAGGAGAAGCCACCCAACTACAGCACCCTGCACTTTATGAACAAGGCCCAATCAGTTCTTAATGATATCATGTTGGGCGATTCAAGCCTTCTAGACGTCCAAACAATTGTCGGGATGGTCGTGTTGTTACAAGCAACATCAGACTTAAAACCAGCATCGGCTCTGATACCCATTGCTTTGCGTCTTGCTCACGGACTGCAACTGCATTCGAGATCAAATTCTGATCATCTGAGTGCTTCTGAGACTTTGGAGCGAGATCGAGTCTTCTGGATCGCTTACATCCTCGATCGAGACATATCGATGCGCACAAAACTACCTCCTATCCAGAGCCAAAATGACGTCAGTATTGATTGGCCATCAGCTACACCTACTGACGGAGCTGGTATGCTATACACGGCTGATAATTCGTCTAGCTTCAACTTCTTTCTGTCACGTGTGCAGCTTGCGCATATACAAGGCGAAGTTTATGAAGCAATGCTATCCAAGTCCCCCACTGCATCCGACGCCTACGTCCGTTTTGATAACGTGACCCGAATCCACCAGATGCTAGATGATTGGCTTGCTCGAATCCCTTTCGAGTTTTCTCCCAGTGCCATTACTCAAAGCGGGAATGCAAACCTACAGAGGGCCTTTGGTGTTCTGTACTCAAGCCATTTGACTTGTCGAAGTGTCGTCTGCAAAGCTCATGCCATGGAATCACAATGGATACCAAGCCTTCAGGACTTTGGAAGAAAGGCAGTGGAGCAAGGGGTAGTCACAGCTCCACGGTTGCCAGTTGGTTGGCACAAACTTGTTCATGAGTCTCGCGAATACATCGAACTGTTCATAGCTATTAATCGTAAAGATCCTGCATTTATTTGGTAAGCCCCCTCTTTCAATCTACTGGCAATTCAGCTAATCTTGAGCTTCCAGGATGACTGCGTGTACTTACATCTCTGCGGCGGTGTGCCTAACAGCCAATGGCCTCTTCAACCCTTGGCATACAAAGGCTGGGGCGGATGATCAGTTGATCGACCCCGCGTTTAGCTTTCTGGATGATATAATTCTGCAAGCACCGCTTCCACAACTAAAGCGTTTACGTCATTCGTGGGATGAGCTACTGAAGAACTCTCGCGAGATGTCATTTCGGAATGCTGTACAGAATGTGGATTGGCTAGAAGCAACATGTAGCTGAGAATATAAATGATATCAGAGTGAAGATAGAAAGAGATTTACCATTCAGAAAACGCTAATATTGAGATGATGCTTGGCCCTACGTGCCTCATCTGTGCAACAAAATGTGGTGTCTTTTAAATACATGCTGCCATGATGCCGTACCCCATCCTCCGCGGAACAGCCAGCTGAATCATATCATAGACATAACGTTGAAGAGATGTTCCGCGGAAGAATAACAAACATCATGCTTATGAATGAAATAGAGATAAAACTGTTCTGCTTTATTAGTATCCACCCGATACGGGGTTGCGGTGCCTATATAATTGTCGCACCCAGGAACCAATATTCCCCAACAGCAGCCTATTCGCTACTTTCCATTTTCTTCCATTTTCCCCCTACACAATGGCACCTCTCCCACTACCCGGATTCGCATCATTTACCAAGTCCTGGCATGCTGAGCCATACCCATTCATCTCACCAACAAGACCGGAGCTCTCAGCTGCTGGCAAGAACGTTGTCATCACTGGTGGAGGCACTGGAATTGGTCAAGCTACTGGCATCGCCTTTGCCCAAGCTGGCGCCAAATCTATCGCCATTGTCGGCCGAAGGGTTGAATGTCTCGAAACTTCATTAAAGGCTATTCAAGCTGCCAACCCCTCGACCCAGGTTCTGTTCGAAAAAGGCGATGTCACCAAGCTTGAGTCCATAAGCACCGCGCTCAAGAACACCGTTGATAAACTGGGTAAAATTGACATTTTTATCGCCAACGCTGGCATGTTACCAAAGGCTGGTCCAGTCTACGGCTATGATGAAGCTCAGCTCCGCCAAGGTCTTGAGATTAATATCATCGGCGTCTTCAACTCTCTCCAAGCATTCCTCCCCCTCGCAGCCCCAGCTGCAAAGGTCCTCTACGTCGGCTCTGGCATAGGTCACTGGACCCCAATGGCTGAGGTACCTGGTGTGTTTAGTTACGCCGCCGCCAAAGCAGCCGCTTTGAAGATGGTTGACTACTTCGCGTTCGAGAACCCGCATATTCATGTCGTCAGCATCCAACCTGGGATCATTGCGACAGGAATCAATCCCGACCTCAGTGTTGGTTTCGATACAGGTGCGTTTACAGATTCTACTGCCGTGATTACTGAAGAAACTTACAAGATCAGTGGAGTTGCCAGCTCACTTTATGGTATGGCTTGCATCAGAGGAAGCTGAGTTCTTAAAGGGCAAGTTCACCTGGGCGAATTGGGACGCCCAAGAGCTTCTGGCGCGAGCAAAAGAGATCAAATCGGCTATGCTCTTGAGAGTCACTTTGAATGGGGTTGATATGTAGGATTTTGTTAGTTCGAATCACCTCACATGAGCACCACATACTCAAGGGTATAGCTAATTAAGGTGGTGCTAAAATATTTCTGGTATTTACAAGAAATCTGCATAGATCTCCCAACTCGCTGATCTCGTAAACATTTTCAAGATCCTTGGCGTATCATGAACGTCAGCTATCGATGATGAGATATGTACTCCCCTTGGCCCATTAAGAAAGATACTAAAGACGAAGGCTCTTTATTCTTTGATTCAAGCTTCTCTCCCCTTCTCGCATGACCCTTAACCTTCTTACTTCCAAGATTCGGTTTCGGCTTTCCAGGGTAAAAGGGAGGCGGCATCGGCACGACCATGATAATTTCCATTTCTGGTTCAACAGTGCTTTCCCACGTTTGTGGAGATATTACGTTACCGTCAGGGCCCTTAAGAAAATAATGACCTGCAAGGACGCGTGGGTAAAACACTTCGACTTGCACGAACGCTTGTCTGATCATCTCCTCCATGCCCTGCGGCAGTCAGTGTCAAGACGTTGTCCAGATAGGAAGATACAACATGCCTCCCATTTCTTAACAAGGGGGTATGGAAACGTGAACTTTCGGCCCACGGCGTCTTTAAAGCGGATGACTGCATCGTTTTGCGCGGAAGCGGGACTACTAGGTCTCACATTTTCTGTTTCAGGCTTGCATACAAAGTTTCCAGTAATCTCGTCGTTATAAAGACATGTCCAGTCTGCTAGAAGTCTGTCGATGAGAATTTGACCTGCTCCTGGTTCGTAAATGGCTATTTGCAATTCCGCTGGCGTTCGCACTACGAGGTCCGTTCTATCAGAAGCTGGACCTTCATCTGCTTCTCTGCCGTCCTGTTCGTTAGTCTCTGAATCATGACCGTTCTTATGGTAGCTTTCGAATATAAGTTCAAAAAGCCATCGGCCTGTCCCGTCAGATGACCCGTGACCACGGGTCAGAACCTGCCCCGTGGCGTCGTCATTATCACTGCCTGAATCGGTCTTTGGCTGGTTTGATGATCGGCTAGTCTCGAGATCCTGGTTTTCTGAGAGATCAACCAGACAATGAGAGGCTGCGTAGGCGAGAGTCTCTGACTGCTGGCGAAGGAGAGGGAGCTCTGACGCTGGTTCACTAGGCTTGTCTTCGCTGGTCGACGTTGTTTGAGTGACTTGAGATCTGCCAAAGAATATTGGCCATCATAGTATCATAATAAGACTTGAGAGACTACTAACTGTGCTTCCTTTCTTGTTGTCGCCGCAAGAATTAAAATGTTGAGCATCAACTGGATTGCAGTTTTATGGCTCTCAATCAGAGTAAGCTTATACTGCACTTCTGACCGCTTCAGGCTCCATCTAAAGGTTTGAAAGCCCCTAATGCTGTCCATGAGCGCATAGATGTCATCATGTATCGCGGTAATACGACGAGTTGCCGACTTTATCCGATGAAGAAGCTTACGGCTGCACAGATCGGCGCTTTCTTGAAGTACACGACGAAGTTCGGAAAGAATGCAAGATAGATCCGAGATATTGCGCGCTATGTCGACCATCTCACGCGAGGCACCGCGAGTCGAGGAGATAAAGTGGTATATCGCTTTTGAGAGTGATGTACCTGCCGTTGCAATGCCTGCAATACTGGCGATGATAGATAGAGGGTCCATGGCGATCAATCGTATCAACAAACTTGATGTCAAATAATGGATGTCAGCAATAAAATACCAAAGCTATTATTCCAACAGCAGAAATGAGATGAGGGGTTAAGCTGCCCTGTTGTCTGCCTTGGCGTCTCAATAACCAATCACGTTGTTGAACTGCGCTGCCTGATTTTTCAATATGCCTTACAAGTTCTTAATGAGACTGCTGACTGAATCTTATGCCATATGACGCAATGCATCCGCGCAGGCCGTTGCAAAAGGATATTTCGATGGCTAAAACAAGACTATTCAGAGCAGACATGCCAAAGAAGCACGAATCTCATGATGAGGAAATATTCATTGTTATTATTTCTTTAGTCCTGGAAAGAAGTACGGGCTGCAACACTGTCTCCATGCCTTGACCTAAGCGCTTCTGTTGACCAGCCTCAACCCTTTCGCCTTATAACCCATTCTCTATTCCACAAACTGCTACACCAGAGTTCAGATGACCAACTACGTTACTGGTATAAGAAGAGATTACCTGCACTCCAATTGATTGCCTTGGGCAGTCGGTGCACGGGTAGATTGAGGATCATAAGCCGACTTGTTCATTAGGTCATGGCCTGATAGAAGTTCGTGAATTTGGGACTGCCAGCGCTCACGCATCCAAACATTGAAGAAAACCCTCCCTTTCCTTCCCTTTTTGGTACCTCTAAGCACTGTTGCTGCCCTGCTTTGCCTTAGCATCAGCCAACTCCTTCATGTGCCGTCGCTTCCTAGCTTCCCAGAGCGGATACACACAAAGGCATGATGCGAAAAGAATGGTCACGCCATTCCAAATCTGCGCTCCCAGAAATGCACGGTTATGCTGACCGCCGTGAGCCTCATCAGCTGCCAGCGCAATCGGAGGCCCAATCAATGCTCCAAACCCAGCCGCACCGTAGACGATGCCCATTCGAGTACCGATGACAGCCAGTGAGGGGCACAAGTATGGGATGATGAACGCAGGCAAAGTCGTGACTGCACCCGAGAAGAAGCCATATAGGATAAGGAAGACAGTGAAGCCGCCCAGGTTATGGACAGCAATCCAGCACAGAGCAAGGATGCCAGACACCACGACGTTGAACATGAGAATAGACTCCGCTCCCAAGATCTTCTTGTCTACTATGGCTGCGGGTAAGATTCGGCCTAGAGCTTGGGCGGCGTTGAGAACGGACAACATGTAATATGAAAGATCCTCTGAGACGGGATGGTCAAGACCCAAAAGACCAAAAGAGGGAGTGAGGATGTATGGCACGAGGAAGCCCAACCATATAAAGAAGGATGCCAATGTGAAGAAAATGAAGGCCTTGTCCTTGATAATGGACTTGTCGAAGAGTTTTCGTGTTGGCTTCTTGACTGCTTGTGTGCTGGGCTTGATGAGAATGGCTGCGATTGTCAGCGTGAAGAGGGTAATGAAACCAATTGCCCTGCAAGCCCAGCCAAAGCCTCCAGAGTCCAGCAAACGGCGGACTACAATGGGGTAGATAATACCGCCAAAGGAACCTCCCGCCGTCGCACAGCCAAGAGCTAGACCGCGACGCGTCGTGAAGTAAAGAGGGATCATAGCAACGCTAGGGATGTACAACAGCCCAGTACATATGCCTCCAAGGACACCCCACGTCAACATGACTTGATAGTATTGCGTCGATAGGCTCAGCATCATAAGCGCAAAGGTGAGCATGATACTCGAGACGACGAGGATGGGATAGAAGTATCCTTGATCAAAGAGCGGACCGGAGATGACACCGATGATGAGGATCAGGGAGACTTGAAGCGTACCGATCCATGATATCGCAGACGAAGAATGCTGTCGAAGGAGAGTCGTTTCGTAGTATGTTTGGAACACACCGAAGCTGTTTGCTAAACCGAAGTTGTTGAGGTTTATTAAAAAAGAGCCAAGGACTTGGAGCCATGCTGTAAGCCCACCATCAGGAGGAGGCTGATTCGTTGTGGATGGTTTCCAGTAGCGTAAGAGCCCCTTTTCAGGTGCTTTTTCTTTTGTAGAAGTAGAGTTATCAGAAGACATGTTTACCAATGAGGCCAAGAATCTTTCCAGGTCATTAAGCTTCTCAGGTTCAGTAGCCAGCCTTTATACTGCGTCTCTTCAGAGGCCAAAGACCCTGTGTGACGCTGCCTTGCCGCAGAACAAACCAGGGTGAGGTCTTGATAGTCCATTTTGAGATAAGTGACAACGGCAGACAACACGGTTTGCTGTTTTGGGTTCTGCCTTATGAGACAATGTCGATCATCGTCATGCCTTGATCTTTTGAATTGCCTAATCGAGAAAGGTTGCCATGTTCATGTCAATGATTGGCTGTTGGGAGGCTGGGATCCAGTTTCAGGGCACTGACATCACTTTTGGGTGGGGCAGTTGAGGTCTTGGTTGTGTTTGTCAGCCATCGTGAACTGTGAAAGCAAAATGCTTCTTCGGTCTGTGACGGGCTCAGATTAGGAGGAGAACTGGCTGTGGTGAAGATTGGATTAGTTTGGACGTCCTTTCATAATGGACTTTGTGTTAAGAACGTGCCTGACATGGTCGTTGAGTTATCTGTTAAACGTCAGGACGAAAGCGATTCCAAACGTTGATCTACCCCAGCTCGGTGAAACCATAATGACCTTATTATGAACTAAAACATATAGTAAATCGTGAAATATTTCTAATGCAATTGAGAAAATAATATCTCGATATTCTTCCAGCAGACCGAAAGCCCAGATCATGATGGCGCGAGAGTAATGGGTTTACTACAAATACTGTTTGTTGCTTACCCTGTACTCTCCTCCAGTCCGCATAAGTTGTCTATAATTAGCGAGGGAATGAGCAATTACTTCGACATTCTTTGTGAACTGGTCTTATCTGTTGCTACACAGTACAAGTTAATTCATGTTACTTCATCAGAACTCTAAATGGACAGTGGATGCCACTCGTCACACACATATCTCAACTTCAACGCTATAACAACCAAACAGACATCCATCCCCGGGGAAGCTTAAATAGAAGCATAGCTCAACCTTCACTCATCCCCAAACCTTGCTTACACGTAGCGGTAGAATGCTTTCCCACATCATGGCATCTCCAGGGTGAAGTCGGAGTCTTCTCGCACGAGTAGATGTAACGTTGAGAGGTAGTCAGTAATTAAACACAATCGATTGGCTAGAATTATCGGTCTGTCCCTTTAATTTTGCTCTTCCAGCAGGGAACTTTTGGGTTTGCGGGCGGTTTGTACTCCACTATCCACTTTCCATGTGCCGGATATCCGTGTTGATCTTTGGCTGCCCCCGCGAAGAAGTGCGAAAAGTCACCATGATTTGGGGTAGAGGCATTTAACAGAAGCTGCAATACCCGTATAATGAAAAGCCTTAATACGAGATCTACGATATTTCAAGTGTATCATCGCCTTTCGCAGCCTCTTTCTCTATAAAAAGATGCAATGGCAAGTCCCGAGTTTGCTTTTCGAAGCCATCATGGAAATCTCCGCGTCTCACTGTGAGATGCGGGGAAGCACTAGTAGTCACCATCTGGCTCCAACTGGACAACCTCGTGCTTAGGCGAACTAAAATAGGTATCTCCGCGGTGATGCCGTTGGAATGAGGAGAAATAAAGTGGCGAATTCCCCGCAATCGGCACGAGATATCCGTCTGGAGGGTGCGGAGAAGCCTCCGTATTTCCCCGCTGGTTGTAGAGACGATCCCCATTATTTCTTAACCATAAAATACAATGCCTATTTCTCCTTGAACAAGTTTTGATGTTCTGTACCTTTGTGTCGAGTAGGATATCGCTGAGAAATTCTGCAAAGATGAAGTTCACGCTTGGAAACAGAGCCGCTATGGCGGATACGCCTAGTGAGGTTATGAACTGGCGCTTATACTGGAGTACCTTTGTCTTCGGTTCGTCAGCCCGCCCTAGTCACTGATTTGACAATCGCTAACTTCTTCGAAAGGTGTTCTAGGTGCCAGTCGTGGTCTAGACGAAGGTCTCGTCGGAGGCATGGTGACGCTCAAGAGCTTCAAAGACGAATTCGGCCTCGATCACGGATCCGAAGAACATCAAGCCCAAGTCGAGTCCAACATCACCAGCATGGTTCAGATCGGTTCCATCGCTGGTTCGCTCCTTGCATTCTTCCTCTGCGATAAGATCGGTCGTGTTAGATCACTTCAATTCCTTTGTGTGCTTTGGCTTGTAGGCTTCATCATCGTTGTTACCAGTCATGGAAGCGTGGGACAGGTTCTGGCTGGACGCTTCATCGCTGGCCTGGGTATTGGTATGACTGTAGTTGTTGGTCCGACATACCTTGCTGAGACTGCACCGCGAGCTGTACGTGGTATGCTCACCAACATCTTTGCTGGTTCTGTCTACCTCGGTGTTATGGTTGCCTACTTCAGCAACTGGGGCGCTTCCATCAACATGCCCGACTCATCTCGATACCAATGGGTTGCACCTCAAACATGCCACATTGGCTTCTCTGGGTATGTAAACTTGACTCACTCTTGTGTTCAACTACTCACCTTTGGTAGACTACTCCTGATCCTATCCTTCACCGTCCCCGAAACCCCTCGCTGGCTCACCATGAAGGGTCGAAATGAAGAGAGTACCAAGGCTCTCTGCAAGCTTCGGCAGCTTCCCGAAGACCATCCTTTCGTCCAAGCCGAGTTGTACGGCATTCGTGAGCAACTTGAGCGAGAGCAAGAGGCCATCCTCGGTGTCTCCCGATGGGGCAAGATCCGAGAACTTCTTACAATCCCCGCCAACCGCTACCGCTTCATGCTTGGCTTCATGGCTCAGCTCTTGGGTCAATGGTCTGGCGCTAGTGCCATCACCATCTACGCCGCGGAGTTCTTTGGTGTCCTTGGAAAGTCTGGCCAGTCCGAGAAGCTCTTCGCTACTTGCATTCTCGGTGTTGTCAAGTTGGTATCTGCCTACGCATGTGCTCTCTTCCTCGTCGATTTCATCGGCCGACGTCGATCGCTCTATGCTGGCATTACCCTCCAGACCATTTCAGTTTTGTACATCGCCATCTTCCTTGCCATCGTTGGTACCAAGACCCTCGAAGATGGAACCTTGACAAGCACCCAGAAACATGCTGGCGTTGGCGCAATTGCCATGCTGTACCTCTCAGGCGTCGGCTGGACCATGGGCTGGAACTCGTTCCAATATCTAGTCAACGCTGAGATCTGGCCGCTTCGCCTTCGTGCCCTGGGTAGTTCCATCACCATGTGTCTTCACTTTGCGAATCAATACGGCAACACCAAGGCTGTTCCGCTTATGCTGCTTCACATGACCAGCAGTGGATTCTTCTTCTTCTGTGCTGCCGTCTGTATCCTCGGTCTCATCTGGGTTTGGGCATTTGTTCCCGAGATGGCCGGACGATCACTTGAGAGCACTGATGAGCTGTTCTCCCTACCTTGGTACAAGATCGGTCGCTATGGAAACAAGCTGGCGCCTGATAATGAGGCTATCTTGGCGAGGGATGAGAAGGCTGAGATGAAGCGGGAGGTGGAGGTCAGTCAACTGGAGCAAGCATAAAGATATTGGTCTAGTAAATAGGAATATAATTTCATGGCAAACGTGAACAGAAAGCACTGATAAATCTACTGTTCTACTCCTAAACGAACTCCACGAAAGCCGTACTGCCTCTCAATATTCGCTTTAACCCAGCAAGTCTTTTACAGTAGTCAAGAGTCGACTCCTCCCAACGACGTCGATGAGAGCCTTTCAATAATGTCATGTACTCTGTTTTACCACTCCATGGCCTAATGGCGCATTCGCCATTGAACGCCTTGTCTTCCAGCTTCTTCTGATCTTGAAACCTGCCAACCAGCAACCACTGAGTGATATTGGGATACGGTAGACTCTCCTCAAGTGCACTAACCATGTCCCCGTTGTCGTCAGCGTATTGCAGACCGGCGCCTCGTTGGATAAGTAGCTTGACTAGCTCTAAATTCCCGAAGGTAATAGCGCACATGAGAGGTGTCCCAAACCAAGACCCTACCTTATTCACGTCCGCTCCAAGGTCTAGTAACAGAGCAGTCGTCGCCACATTGCACCCAAATACCGCTAGACAGAGAGGGGTCCCATGAGATCTACCCTTCATGTTTAAAAGAAGATTCGCATCGCGAGGTGGCAACGATTTGTGTAACCGCTTGATCTGGCTTGTTGTCCAAAAGACGATGGCGTTGTTGAGAATGCTGTCTGGCTTTGGCGTAGGAAAAGCTAATGCTCCGTCGAGCCACCGAGATTGAGATAAATATTCGACATACCTGCCTTGAAGCAAAGGGAAAGCAAGCATAGGTATTCCGTCCTCGCTCTTTTGGTGAATATCGAGCCCTTTTGACAGAAGGTACTTGAAAGTGGCCAGCGATGAGCTTTCTTGCGATGCCCTGAGTAGGAGATTTGACCCGTCTATGTTCCTATACTGCAATGAAGATGGCCGCTCTTCTGCTAACAGCTTTACAATGTCTAAATGACCCATGAGAACAGCCAATGACATGGCAGTGTTACCAAACATGTTGCTCGTTTCAACAATGGCATTGTGTCGCAAAAGTTCCGTCACAACAAGGACATGGTTGTAACTGGCCGCGATGATCAAAGGCGTTTCGTGATGTTTATCAAACACATTTATATGGGCGCCTTGTTGAATCAAAAACTTCACCATCTCAGCATTCCCAGTTGCTGCTGCAACTTGCAGTGGCGTCCTATGCGGGAAAACGACCGGATTATGATAATTGATCAGTGCGGATTTGAGCTGCTCAGCGGAATCACCGCCAAGGGCAGAATCAAGCCCACCCTTCCAGGCGTTGCTAGATATGTTATTACACCGCATAATCGCTGAACAGGCTCACTTACTAATATTCGTCAACATTTTTTTTAAAATGGTTCAGTATGAGCTTCAGTACATGCAAGTTCCTTTTGCCAATATTCTGGCAAATAGCGTCAACAAGATATGCTCGTGTGATTGATCGAGACTTCAAAGCGGTTGTTAGCAATTTCTCAATATAGGCTGATGGCTCCATGGCAGTGACAGCGTGAGTGAATAGATTTTGTGTCGGGTGACGGTTACAAAAGAAGCTGTATGTGCTTGAACCCTCGTCAAGGAGCCAATTGACTATGACGGGCTTCTGGGCTCTTATAGCGGTGAAGATAGGGGTACAGGAGTGACAGCTTGGCAAAGGCTGGTTGATAAAACACCCCTGGTTGACAGCCACTTTGCACTGCGCCAGATTGCCATTCATAATGGCAGCTTCGAATTCGCGTCTCCGGGCTAGCTGTAGTCCTTCAATGGAAGTCAAGTCCTTTATCATTTCGCCTGTAACTGCAACCTGGCCCCGGGGAAGAGGAGAGCCTGATGCTAGCAGAAACGAGGCAATCTCGTTGAAACCTGTCTCGAGGGCGTAGTCTACAGCAAGTTTCCCATCTTTATCCTGAGCAGAGATATTTATTCCCTGATCTAACAACATCGAACAGCAAGCCATAGACGCTCTCATCGCTGCATAGTGAAGCACTGTTCTTCCGTGGAGAGTGCTGATGTTGATGTCGAAGAACTGGTTTTCGAAGAAGTACGACAGGAAGTCCGGCAGGTCAGCTACAAAGTGTAGTAAACTGACTTGGTGGTCAACTATCTGTGTCTTTGCTTGGTTCGTGCTAGTCCAGGTGGAGGTAGGAGCAACTTGCCACTGGGAAGGGCTAGAAGACCTTTCAACTATCCACTTGAGTATATCAAGCTGACGGTTGGTGGCAGCCCATTGGGGGATTCCCCAACCATGAACGTCCACAGCAAAGGGGTCATGCCCAATCTCCGATAGGCACTTTACCAGTGATAAGTCGTTTTGCTTTGCAGCCTCAATGATTACAGGTGTTGCAAGGTCGGCAGGCGACTGAACAAGTCCCTTGTCGTCTAGTGCTTTGATCAGAGATGTCTTATCTGGGCTTGAACCTTTGACAACCAGCTCCAGTGGGGTTTGGCCAGTCGGACGAAATGCGTTAACATCTTGAGAAGTAACAGTCTCCAATATGGCCTTGAATGTCTCAAGACTTGCCTCTTTGCACGCTATCTCAAATAATGACATTGGGCTGCTTGATATATCCTCAGGGACCCGTCGATGAACGTCAACACCGAGATCGATAAGCTTAACTATAACCTCAGGACTGGCCCTCAACATAGCTAACTTGAAGAAATGATAGCTATCGTCGACAGCCTGAAGCGAGATGCTGATCTTTGAGGACCCGATAACTTGGGAGAGAAGAGTGACAAATGATGTTGAGCAAAAATGATCTCTTGTCCAATCCTTTAGAGATCCCATAAGAGGAGCCAAACCAGATGTATTCCTTGTACTCTCATACGAGGAAAGAAAACCATGTTTGACGAGTGTTGTCAGATCTCTGGAGAAATAGTAGTAGCACTCGCCAGGGACAAAGGTATCAACTTCGCAGCATATCTCCTCTTTGGCCAGACCAGCACAAATTAGTTGCCAGGTGTGTGTCACCTTACCATCGTGCGAAAAGTCATTGTCCTTTGGGATGAGGACCTTCAACATTTCGGGGTTCAAGGGTATCGTCTCATCAAACTTTACAGGAATGTTGTGACGAAGCCATCGCTCGAAGAACATTTGGAATGGGAACGTCCCTGAGTTGTCAGCGCAAAATGCATCATAAAGCTCGGCCAAGGATCGGGCAAACTCTGGAGTGCATGTGGCGCTCAGGTGATGCATAGGTGTCGTTTCCGCGTTGGAGACGTCCATGTCTGTAACTCCCTTATCTCGTAATGCAGTCAATAGCTCCAAGGAACCAAGTGCTGCTACATCATGCATTATTGAATCCTTTGAAACAAAATAATTCGCTTCGCATGGTAGGATATCCAACAAGACCAGCGCTACCTTGATATGGCTACTGTGAAATGCAGCAGAGAAGGGTGTTCGCCCATCCTTGTCTATAGTGGCGAGATTCACCAAGGCATTGTCATCATCTCGCTGAAGTAGGGATATGACCTTTTCGTGTCCGTTATAGCAAGTTGCATGCCATGAGGTCTGGCCATTTTTGTCTCTAGATCCGGGATCGACCCCCCGAGAAAGAAGAGCTGAGGCTACATCCACATTGCTTGACTCACAACTGATGTGTAGACAGTGCTGCCCAGAGGTACCACAGACATGTGGATCAATACCGGAATCGAGAAGGAGATCGATTGTCTTGCCGCTGTTGGCTGATGTACTTCTAGCTGCGGCACTCAGCAGCTCGAAGTCGCTCGGCTTAGCAATAGCGTCGCTATAACGTGGATCCAAGATGAGTGTTGACAGCTCCTCGACCAGTCCAAACTTAGCAGCAATCTCAAGTGCATGTCGATACTCAAGGTCGCTATAGCTATAGGCCGTAGGATTGAGAGCCACAGGCGGTAAATCAAGGCCACGTCCACGAGAGAAAGACAACGCATTGGGCGCTAGTGGTTTCCATTGAGGACAAGCTTCGTCCCCAACAGCTAAACGCAGTATAGCCTCTAGTACCAAGTCATCAGATTTGTCCTTGCACTCAAAGTTTGAAAAGGCTTTGAGTGCATCGTCTGGGACGGCTGACGATGGACGGATAAATGGGAGAAGGTAGTGGCCAGGCAATGAGCTGATAGCGTGAGCCATGCAACTCTGGCCCTCAATGACAAATGCAGTATCAGCACCATTGTCTAAGAGGACATTGATTGTGCAAACAATTTGCTCTATGACACGAGAATCTTTCATCTTTTCCCCAAAAGATCCTTCTTCTTCTAGAGCGATTGTTGTGGCAAGTGGGGTAAGGTTATCTCGAACCACATTCACATCGACACCACATTTAATAAGAAATTGACATAGCTTGGGACTTAGCAGAAACACCGCGAAATGTAGTGGACCGTTTGTCAGTTGATGCATAGTCGATAGTTCGTTCTGTCTCCCAGACAACAACGCGTGGACCCATGTCCTAAAGTTGCCGCTCTTGTGGATATCGAACAGCCGTTTGAGAAGTTCTAGCACCGTTTCTTCTTCCATGACTTTCAGATGGATAGGAAAAGAAGTTGAGCTTCTATGTATTCCCAGAGGAGTATAGGAGGCGACCTTGTAGAAAGGGTGCTTTTGATACCTCTCTTTGGCATAGGCTTCCTCGACTGTATCGATGATGGTCGGAATCCGATCGAAGTGTGGCAGCAACAGGTAGCCAAGTGACGTTTGCGCGAACGACAGGTAAGCATCCTCTTCTTGGTATCGGAAGTCACCAACTTCAGTCTGCTCCAGGTATTCCAAGACTGTAAAGTGGGCAAACTCGAAGTAATTTCCGTCTAGAGACTTTCGTAACAGACACCCGCAATTACGCGATACAACCTCAGGCTCAATCACATCATCGGCTTCGAATACATCCATATCCGGATGAAACGAGACTGCTTCGCATAAACTCGCGATGTTCATCTTGGGTGATCCCAACGCTGTCCACTGGAGTGCTTTTCGGATACAGGTCTGAGTTTCGGGCGGGCATTGCATGACTCTTTGCAGTACACGATCATAGGTCTCGTTTAGAGTTGGGGGCAGCTCAGTTAGAGCCCTCCTTCGAGTTTTGTTGTTGGGAAGATTGCAGATATGATCGATCTGGCAAGCTACCCATCGAAACCTAGAAAAAGATGTATTAGTTGTCTGTACCGTTAAGGATTCCAGAGGTAACTCACATCCCGTGAGCTCCGTGAACCAAAGCATGAAGAATGTCCTTGTAGAGGTCAGGGTTCGTTCTTTCGATGTTCTTGAGGACTTTGCGTTTGCTGACTTCCGCAAGCGTGTAGTCTTCCAGATCCTTCACATGGGCTGAAACCTCTATGTGCTCAAATCCCTCAGCCAGTTGCTCACAAATCTCTTCTTCCTTTCGGCTGAAAAGGGCAGAGCTGACAGTCTCAGACCCATCTACTATAGCCTTCAAGGACCGAGTCATAGGAGTTACTTGATCACCGCATTCATCTAGACCGTCAACTATAACAAAGACTCTCTCATAAACTTCAGACATGCATCCAACGAGCTCCACAAGATCTTCTAATCTTGGTTTGGTTGGAAGCTTGTCGTCGGGATGGAGCATGTCGAAATATTCTTCGAGAAGATCAAAGGCTTCTTCGCCTTGAAGACCAAGTTGGACTGCAAGTGCCGCCATAATATTCTCGGGGAGACACGAATCCGGGTTCTTGTAATCGCAGAACGCGAAACAGATTGCTGTAAGATCGTCGCTCTGTTCGAGAACTGTCTCGATGACAAGCCCACACAGAACAGTCTTTCCGCTCCCTGAGAGAGCTTAGTACACCTACAGCCTGACAGAGCGTTAGAACATACCTGGAATGCCACTAAGCCACAATTTGGAGTTTGATCCATTCTTCCATCTTTCAAACGTAGAATTGTCGCTCGTAAGCCAAGACCCAGTGGCTTCATGTCGCAATCCACGGCTAACATCGAGGTAGTCCTGAGGTTTCACGCGTAGAAAGAAATTCATGATCTCTTTTCGTCTCTTGTTAAGCTCAACTCGAGTCTCAAAACTGATCCTCCTTTCGATCATGCTATGGACTTCATCTTGTTTAGCCAGACTCTTCATCAAAGCTTCCATACTGTCTGCGGAAAGTGCAAGATGAAGATTGGCGCGATGATTCGAAAGCTCGGCAACCAAGTCTTTGGTTTCCTGCAGTGAAAAGGGCCATTTCAGCTTTCGGACAAAACGCCGTGCTGATTTGCCACCATCGAAGTCAGACAGCGCTTTGTCAAGCTTACTATTGATCTGATTCAATGTCTTTCGACACGACTCGAGATGTTGTGGCCTGAGCGCCGGATTTGAGTCTCGCTCTTCCAATGCCGAAGCCAACAATCTGAGGTTTTCGAAAATGCCAGCGAGATCTCTTGCCTGGGTGGCAAGGTCTTGGGCTTTTGACGGAGCGTCTTTGGCTTCCCTGCAGAACTTGGTGAGTTGCTTAAAGACGGACCCAGTGAGTTGCACGAGACCAGCGATACTAGCGGCCAAACCGATGGCCTCAGCCATCCTTGAGCCGCGACACGTAATATGCGCGTGAAAATAGTGGTTGTGAATTGTATTTGCGGGACATGCGAAAAATAAGCCGCAGTGAGATTTGGCTTGAAACGGATGGGTCAGAGTGGCGAAGCTGATGATGAGATGATCCAATCATGTCAATCTTTACACTCCACAGATCTGATAGCGTGACAGGGGTCATGACAGATTCGAAGATGTCTCATTCTTGAGAATTAACTTGCGAGAAGGGCGCACCATGAGGTCATGTGACGGAGACAGAACTTGAGATTGATGAAGATGCCCCCATTGACAGTTCTCCTAGGGAACCCTTATCTTGTCAACTTCACCAACAAACTCGAGTCAATTACCAAAGCTACTGGTATGGAGAAAGACCTGTACCTCTTCAACGTAACACTCGACAAGTGGGTTCAAGACTTTGTCGAGCCAGGCTACGCAAGCATGGCTGGTCCGAAAGGAACAACATCTATCCAGACCATCGTTCTATGTTCACGGAAATGGCGAGACAGTGCTCTACTTATCTTTTTGTCTTTCCAAAAGGCCGGAGTTGGTGCAGTGCAGCATCTAGGAGTTTGGAGCCCCAAGACCAATGCCAGTGGCAACTTAGAAGCCATCCCTCCCTACGCCCTGAACGGCAAGGCCTGGCCAGCTGGGCGCCGTATCGTTGGCAAGCATGATAGCGAAAGACGTCGTATTCTTCCTTATCTTGAAGCTCAAGAGTCACAGAAGCCGCTGCGGCTCGATACTTGCTGGCTTACCGTGGGCCGTATCGATGAGTTCTTCCTCAGGTGAAAAAGGCCGGGCATGGATCGCTCCGCGCGATCTCACGCAAGAACGATATCTATCCCGCTGGCTGCCTGGGCCCCTGGTGTGCACCTAAGCCCATCGACTTAACTACCATCGCCCAATTACGGGACGATCTAGAGTTCATTGAGCTCAACAAAGAGTGCCCTCGGCGAATCGACCGCAGCATCGAGATCCTCAAGCTGGAAATTGGACTTACTGATGAGGACATCATTCACATTCCATCTCTGTTCATTAAGAGCGGCTCCTCTGAGTTGAAAGGTCCTAGCTCGAACTCAGTGTCGGACCATTCTTCCCTGCTGTCATAAATAACCTCTTTCTCACTGGTTACAATACTTGAATTGTGGCTAACCCATGGAGTCCAATTGTCAGGGGGAGAGATATCTTTGTTGAGGAGATAAAAAAACACGTATGCCAAGGTTGGAATGAAGATGAAGTTTATTGAGACACGTTGGAGGGTTCATTGCGGCACCAACTCAATTCGAAACATGTCTGAACCGTGGTGATGATCACGTTGGGTTGCAGGATTAGATAGACGTTGAGGAATCTGCCTTTAGTGTAAATAGTATTTGATTTATATGTAACATTATTAGTTTCTTTCACACCTTCTGGCCCTCTAGTAATTCTATACTCTTGTGATCTACAGTCGCGGCGCAGTGTCGTTCCACCATGGCATGAACAATCTCGCGGCTCTGCATCAGTGGCCCAGCAAGGGCCCATGCAAAGCCGTGAAAGGTTTCTCGTTGGTACTCTTCCTCAAAATCCTCGATCTCGAGTTTCGAACCGTCCGCGTGCTTCAGGGCGCTGAGGTAAGACTGCAAGAGGTATTTCTCATAAGTGCGGCGATCTTCAATTGACAGTGACCCGCCAATAAACTAGGCAACATCGTGCAAGTCCGGTGCAGCATGGATGATCTGCCAGTCAAGAAAACCAGGCTCTCCTGTGGGGGTTATGAATGTGTTTCCAATGTGTGCATCGCCATGGACGAGGCACTTCATTTTGGAGTCTGATTCCCAAAGAGCCTTGAATGTCGCAGTCATGCGCTCTCTATCCTCCATAAACCTAGGAACTGGAGGTCTCGCATCTGGACCAAAACGTTTATCCCATTCCTTTGGGGCGAGCAAACCTAAGATTGCATCTCTGATTGTAACAGTCCCGCTCACTGAGGGAATCGAGTCACCTTTATCTCCCCAGGTACTGGCATGAAGGATGGCGAGCTGCTTAACACTCATCCTCGCTCTCTCAACTGACCATGTCTCAAGTGGGTTACTGAATGTGTAGCCCTGAGCTTTGAGATTGGCCATCACAACGATACCCTGTCCATTCACGGTATCTGTACCAGCATACAATACCGGTAGAAGCGGGATCTTTAGCTTTAGAGCAAGGTAGTAGTAGAACTCAGCCTCATGGCGGTAAATAGCGTAGAGGAAAGGCAAAAATTCTCGTATGTCGGGATTGAAACCGCCTTTGACGCAAATATTACTGGCGCTGTTATCGGTACCATTCTTGAATGTCAATTTGATCAGGATTTTGGAAGCCGTTCCGTGGATAGTCTCGATAACTTCAACATTCTGAACAGGTCTGTTGAGAATCTGGGCGAACCAATACTTGGTGAGCTCATCGACCGTCAGCGGCAGCGGCTCATTCGATCGTATGACACCGTTTACTTTCCCTTCACTCGAGGCCACGGTGACTCTAGTTTGCGATCCGCAAAAACGGTCTTCTTCAGTGCATTGAGGAGCGGGGTTGCTTATCTTTCTGGACACATAAGCATTGCAAAAGTTCTTCAACATGCTTGGCGAGCAGTGCATACGTGACGTGTTGGTAATTGGCCAGATGCATGATCTTTGCAGGGATAGAGTCAACCGATCACTGTCAAATACAATGCTTCCATTTTCAAGAGTCCACTGGCCATGAATAGCACTCTATGCACGTGTGAAGTCGAGGACGTATATAATGTTCCTAATCACCTTGTTTCGAGGATGGGCTCTTGCTGGCCTTGACCATTGTGCGGGAGTAGCTCATAGAGCAAGTCGATTTAGTTTAACACCGGGTTTGACATGGCAAGAAGTAAGTAACTTATTCCGGTCGTACTGGTGATCCACGACTGACATGTCTCGTTGAGGTGTCATAAGCTTAAATCCCAATCTATTAGTCGTGGCATCGGCGAATGAGTCACCCCGCCGCGCGAGGGCACGTTTAGCTTGCGCGAACTTCGTCGGGTGCGGGGAAAACAAATGGCCTAATGCAGCCTGAAAAGTAGAATCGCAGTGAATCTGAGCATCCGACACCATTTATAACCGCGCTAACTCGTGCCACGCCCAGCATTGTCTTTCTCCGTACACACTGTGGCGATACGTCGATAAAACTTACCGCCATTTTTCCTTCTCAAATTTCACAATGACCCCAACAATTGAAGAATTATTAAAGGAGTACGATTTTGACCCTTCCCTCATCGACAGAGTCGCTTTTCGCAAACACAGACAGCCCATTGCCATTGTTGAACCCGATCCAGCATGGCCAGAGCATTTCGCCCGCGCCAAAGCGCGCATTGAATCCGCCATCGGCGACACAGCAGTCTCAATCAACCACGTTGGCTCAACGAGCGTCCCGGGTCTGCCAGCAAAAGCCGTAATTGACATTGACCTAACCGTCAAAGATATCAACGATGAAGCTTCCTATGTAGATGCACTTGAGAACGTTGGCTTCCATTTTCTTGTCAGGGAGCCGGGATGGCATGGACATCGCTTCTTTTGCGATTATGAACCAGTGCCAACAAATCTGCATGTTTGGGGTCCAGGATGCCCGGAAGTGGTGAGACACAAGATCTTTGCGGATTGGTTGAGGAAGAATGAGGATGATAAGAAGGCCTATGAGAGTATCAAGAGGGAGGCTGCAAAGGCAAGTGTTGAGAATGGGGAGGATGTTATGGAGTACAATAACAGGAAGCAGAACGTCATTCGGGAGATTCTGCAGAGGGCATTCAAGGATTTGGGGTATGTATAAGACAATCCAAACAGTCTCTCTGGGACTTCTTATGGATTGCAAACGGGGAAACCATAGAATATCATGCGATGTCAAGGAGGCTACAAGAGTGATGTTTGTGATAATTGACATCAACATTTTGGGACAATCAGGGACGATAGAGTGCCATCACATCAAGAAATTACCTAGCACACGCAACTATTCAAAAAACTCGAATTTCCTCGAACTCAAGGTCTGGTAGAAACATGCTCTCGGATGTTGCCGTCAAGTTCTTGTAATACCTTCTAATTCGAGCCTAGGTTTCAGCTAGCCTCAGCTTCGTCAAAGACTCTAAATGGCAATGACCGACTTGCTGCCTGGATAGCTCCAACTAAAAATTCACGTTTTTTCACATGGCTTCTCATATGTCATGAAATTTCGAAGTCCATTTATCATCCTCCTCTAGCATTTTAAAATCGTTTACAATGTCTCACGCATTAACGCAGACTTGTCCATGCCATGCCCCCGGCGATGATCCCGCAGAAATTGCAACTCTGCACCAAGCAGCTTTTCACCAAAACAACCAACGACTAGAACAGCTTCTACAAAACGGCGCTGACATATCAGCTACGCAAACGGTTCGCGAATTCACGCCGCTTCACTATGCCGTCCAATTCGGCGATGAGAAAGCTGTGCAAATGCTCATTGAAGCTGGGTCCAACGTATCTGCGGCAACCTACGATGGCGTCACGCCTTTGCACAACACGGCTGCCGATGGAGATGTGCGAATCACCGAAATTCTCTTGAAGGCGGGAGCGAATGTTGACAGCCGCAATATTGATGAAGAATCGCCTCTTCATGTCGTGTCATTATTTGGGGAGACACAAATTGCAAAGCTCCTGATAGATGCTGGAGCAGATGTCTCGGCAAAGGATTGCTATGGAAACACGGCTTTGCATATTGCAGCAGCTCATGAGCACGCCGAGATTGTCAAAGCTCTTCTTGACACTGACGCTGATATAAATGCCTTGAACAACAATGGGGATTCAGTGCTGCATCATGCAATGAGTGACGGACCAGAATGCGTAAATTTGCTCATCGATCATGGAGCAAACATCCACCTCAGAGGCGAAGGCGGCGATACACTTCTGCATCGCGCTGCGCAGAGCTCATCTGAACTGGTCCGAGACTTGTTCAAAGCAGGGATTGACCTTGAGGCAGCCAACGATGAAGGAGCAACAGCTCTTCATTGCGCTGCAGCATGGGGAGAAACTGCGTCGCTGCAGACTCTCATCGAGAGCGGAGGAAATCCGAACGCGGCTAACAATGATGGCGAGACGGCTCTACATCTTGTGGCGGGGAACCCTTCTTGCAGAAGCGGACGTGATTCGGAGACAAAAGCTAAGCTTTTGATCGAAGCAGGCGCAGATATTCATGCGAAAACAAAGTCTGGAAAGACGCCTTTGGATTATGCGGTTGACTGTGAGGGCGAAGCTGTTGAGAAGGTACTCCGCGAGAGGGGGGCGGCGTAAGACACCAAGAAACATCAGAACAACAGGATCTTACTAGTTCTCGAGGTTTCGATGGCTTTTGAACGAATTACCGGCATTTCAATCGATGAATATTTCTTACTATATCGTTCTCAGTAAAGTGTTGTGCCCATCGCAGGTGATATCTCATGTCCTATCAACAAGACCCCAGGTATGATCAGCAATCTTCCTTCTCTCCTCTTCACTCCACTCTTTCTTCCCTCCAATCACCTTCCCATGATTGTCGATACAAGCCCAAGGAATCTCCTTCGATTGCAACTCATCCGCAGCTTTGTACAGTCCATCGAGTTGTCTTTCAGCACACTGCTCAGGCTGCAGACCCACCAATCTCGAAGCAACCTTTGACACAGCTCGGAAATACCAAGCCGAGTTCTTCGGTGTCGCTGTGTTTACAACTCCAGGATAGCCATGTGCGAAGAATTGTTTGGAACCTTGGCTTTGAAGTGCGTGGTACTGTATCATTGCGTCATTCATGGTGATACAGTGGTTTGCTGCGTGAGCAAGACTGAACGTTTCCTTCAGGTCGAGATCATCCCAGTTCAACTTCTCTGGACTGCCATTAAGACCGTCCAACACGAGAAGAATCTTCGCATCGTGGCTCAGAATGGAACTCAGCTCTCTGATTAGGAGCTGACGACCGTAGTAGTGCAAAGCCATCTTCCTGTCAATCCCCTCAGGTGTTTCAGTCCGTCCAGCGAACGACATGATTCCCTGCGTCATCACGAGAAGGTCAAGAGGGCTGTTTTGGCTATTGCTTCGGAACTCTTGCGCAAACTCTTTCAAGGCGTGCATTGATGTCGCATCGACGGAGCGAAAAGATATTTTCTCAGCTGGCATGGCCTGAGGCTTGGTCCGGCCCACGATGGTGATTGCTGAGAACTGGTAATTGGGAGATGTTGCCAGACGGCTGGCGATTGCGTAGCCAATACCGCTGGTACCGCCCACGACCAGAGCGTTGGAGCCGGAAATGACTTTGTTCATGATGAAGATGAGATGAGGAGAGGAGATGCGCTGTCAGACAAGATGCGGGGGACGAACAACAAGATATGATGTTATATGATATGACAAACCAGTCAAAACTGCTAGAAATGAGCAAATGAGCATTATTTATATAAAAAGGGTGTGATTAATGATAAGAGTTGATCCTGTGCCGCTTTCATGCGCGCAGATCACTAGTGCTTATGTTGTCGCGTAATTGTCTGCAAAAGGAAATTGTCCATACCTGTCTAGCATTACACATTATCCCGAGTCCGAGTCCGAAAATAATCCACGCTGTCCGTCTACATCCCACAGACTCGCAGGCTACTTCTTCAGAGAACGTATAATGTCTTCCATATTGGCAAACGCAAATTCATCCATCACCTCCCTCCAGATTCTGTCCTGAACATCTTTACCTTCCCCAGTGTAGTAGTACGAGCCGAACCTGGAACTTATCAGCGATTGTAGAAAAAATGTGTCACATAAGTACTTACGGGTAGATCTTCCAGTCCATTAAATAGGACCCATGAGATTCCTCTCCTTTGACTATGGCTGCATCAACGTAGGTTGAGGCAGCTTGTTCCTGGGTACGGCCAACTAACTTAGTTGCCGTGGCCATCGCCATTCTCATTAGCCAAGTGCCTTTGTCCATCAGCCCAGTGCCCTTGGTCATGCCCGGGTCAACAAGATTGATGATAACATCGCTTGGGTCAACGTGCTGAGATAGTCTGTCGATGAAGAAGTGACCGAGAAGCTTAGACTTTCCGTAATGCCCCATGCCATCGAAATTGGCTTCTGAGTCGAGCGCAGAGATGATGTGGTCTGCCTTGACTTCGGGCAATTCGCAGTGCATGGCTGTTCCCGAACTGACGATAGTGAGGCGGCCTGGCTTGGGAGTCGGAGCCCTACTCTTGAGTATAGGCAAGAGAAGAACGGACAGGTACACGGTAGAGAGGAAGTTGACCTGCACAATCTCTTGATGGCCTGTTGCCTTGTTAAGGTGGAAGGTTATATCGCCCATGCCAGCGTTGAGAATGACAAGATCTATCCGCGGCAGAGTCTCGCAGCGCTTCGCAAAGTCCTCAATCGAGCGGTAAGAGCCCATGTCGAGCTTCCAAACATCAATCTGGGGACTTGTTGACGCTGATGTTCGACGAAGCTCCTCGGCGGCGGCAGTGCCCTTGTCTTCAGATCTCACTGCCATGATGAGATGGCTCAAATTATGCTGGAGCAGAAGCTTGGCACATGCAAAGCCGATTCCATTGTTTGATCCGGTGATGATCGCCGTTTGGCCTGAGAGATCGAGGTCCTTGGGAGTCAGTTGTGGTTTGGTGCATAGTTGGGATTGGACGAAAAGTTGGGCGACGGATAGGGTAAGTGGAGGCATTTGAGAGGATGCACTTCGGAAGGGAGATACGCTCTTAGCCATAATTAAGTTATGAGATGTGTGTAGTAGAATGGGTTAGATAAAAGTGTGATAAACGTTTGTCATATTGAGGAAACAGGCCCATTTTATAACTGGCTTTAGGTGTACGTAGTATCACTTGTAGGCAACTCTAGGTTCCCAAATTATTGATCAACATCTGCGCTACCTGAATTTGGGTATCAATATGGTCACCTTGAGGAAAACGCGTTTCATCATCCGCATTAACGGCCTAGCCTTTCAGCTCTGTTGGCAGTGCCTCACATACTCCGCAGTTTTCGGATTGACGGTGACACGACCACATCGATGTCTTAAAGCGGCTAGTACACCTGATAAGATCTGCGCTAACTCGGAGTATTCCAAAATCCGAACAGGACAGATACAACGCTTAGCCTAATTCAGGTATCAATCTGGTCAAGCTGCCGGGTTTTGCTGATTAATTTTAGCTAGGGTCCGTGACGAAGGATCGAGGCTGAGCGGATGCGAGATTTGGACCAGATTGAAGCCCTTTTTCGGGTCGGTCAGCATCACTCACTCCCCATCCTTAAACATCTGATCCAATGCCAGCCACTGAGTTTACGTTCCTTACTGTTGACGGCCACGGGCGTCCACTCGAACCCGGTAGCCGAGCCTCGATTCGCAGTCGGTGCATGAAGGGGGTTAATGTACGCCAGGACTCGCGCCGATCGAGAAGAAAGGCGCGCAAGGCAGCAGAGACAGTCGCCGCAACTGAAAGTGTCAGGATGACTACCGAATCCCCAGAGATCACGTCTCCTTGCCAATTAACAAGTTGCGGGTCCCTCACAAAGTCACTACAGGCCCGAACGAATGAGCTTGGCTTTGACTCATCTCGCTTGCCATCAACTGCATGGCGATTAGGTATGTAGTCTAAGTCTCCATCGAAGGTGAGTACTGACTCAAGATTATAGTCGTCAAGTTCAACGCCCTACTCGACGCGGCATACCCTCTTGAGACATACCTCGAGAACATAAACCTCCAAGAACACAAAATGATTGACAACTTGACATTATTGTACGAGAATAAAACTCTACTAGAGTCGATGTTCTTGGCTACATATGCCGTGGATGATTTATGTTCTGGTACCAAGCTATCCCTTCGATCGCAGCGAATACTCTGCACCGTCCTCTCGTCGTTGAACAGCAGTCTTCGCGATGCTACAGGGCAACAATCCTACTCCACGATATTTATCATCTTAATTCTTCTCTTTGCAGCTGAGTCGTTCCGTGATCTTGATGCTGTTTCAACACACCTTGACGGACTGAGGAGGTTGTTGGAACTGCGCGAGACGAAGCCAGTGCCGTTGGACTCTAAACTACTGTTCAAGATCCAGCAGGTCGATCTTAGAATGTCGTTGGCGACAGGTCGGCCATTGTACTTTCCTTTCGACTATTCATACCGGAAACAGCCTGTTGGCGTCATCAGACCTCCCAACATCATACCCTGGCTGATGGTGCATCCCGCATTGATGAGCTGCTATCAGACATTGCAAGCTTTGTCAAGCCATGCGAACCAATATCAATCATCAAAGTCGAAAAGGATTCTGAATTGGTTGGACTTCCAGTCTCAGGTCAGCACGAGTCAAACCCTGTTGATCGGTCTGGGAAACGACCATCTCCCTGTCGTATCCGAAGCCCTGCGGCTTGGCATGCTTGCCTTCTTGTCGACACTCTCACGTAGCCCGGCACGGAAATCTCACCTACCAATATTCGCCTCACAGCTTGAGGAGTGCTATTTAGGCATGCAAGAAGCACAGGATTTCCACATACCGTTGCTTATTTGGCTGATGTTGATGGGATGTATCTCTACTATCAACACATCAAGCTGGATATCGTCAATGTGGAGATCTTCTGTTCCGCGAAACCTCTCTTGGGAGGCTGTGCGAAAAATGGTTGGTGTTCTCCCGTGGATTCAGATGATACACGACGAGCCTGGAAAACGATTCCATAGGCACCTACAAGCATAAAATGGCGATTAAGTTTGAAGTTCAACCATACGCTTCAACTTCAGATCCAACGCAGCCCCACCCTATGGACACAGGTTTCTAGATTGACTATGAATGAAAGTTGTGGACTCATAGTGATTACGGCCATACATGGGCTAAGAATGTCGGTATAGAGGTTTAGTCCCATGTACACGCAAATATTCCACAGATTTCGATATTATAAATCACAATGAGTTTTCCACCTACGACAAATCATTGTATCCAAGTCTAGGCGACCCCTAATTATAAATACTTGACCCATCATATAGCAGGTATATGCTCCCCGGTGACCTGTGTAGGTTGTTGATTGCTTGACTTGAAGTAACAGCCGTCTCGATGAGCTGATTGATTGTACTGTCCAGAGCTCGGCATGATATCGCTCCAGCTCACAAGGCATTCCCAGCAGAACTCATGACGGCATAGCGTACCTATCATTACAGTCAGAACGAATCAGGTGGGAGTGCTGGTGAGTCGACTCACAAGTCATGTGGAAGCAACCTGGGCCTTTCTGTGCATTGACTCCGCATGAAGGGCACTGCTTGGTGTTGGAATTTACCCAGTCTCGAGTTTCACGGAATCGGGGGTCTCCGTTCTCCTTCATGCTATCAAACTCCTCGCAGGTTAAATCAACATGCCATTTGACCTGGTGTTGGAAGCACATCTCGTAACCGCATTCCTCACATGAGACGTGGTTACTCTCAATTAGGTCATGAATCTGTCCATAGGAACAATTCTCGCCAAGACACCATCGAAAAGAAGGCAAATTGCTCAAAGCCTCTAGCTTCAGGTATTCGTCGTATCTTTGAGCGTGTAAGAATTTAGTTTTCCTAATGAATACCAGAAGCTGTGCTTACTTTGAAAATGTCTCTTGTCGAGCATATAATTTCACCTCGTCGTATTCAAGTCGCCGACCGCAATCGGAAGAAGGGCACGTAAGTAAATGACATCCAGCTCTCCCATGTTGGTCAAGCTGGGCTTCAATGTAGTTCTCTAAACACTCCATGCAGAAGTCGACAGTATGAAAGCACCTCTGGCCAAGCTTGCGAGGGAAAGGAAGAACCTTCCACTTCCAGTCCCCATCGTATTCACTGCAAATGGTATCCCACTTTTTACATGCTTCACCAATTAGGTCGTAGATAGGTTCAGTGCAGATTGAGCATTCAACTGGACACTGTTCTCGTCGCAGAAGCTGGGTGAAGATGGGGACACGCAATACCTCGTCAGCACTATCCAGCTCGAGAAGCTGGACGAGTCTACAGTTCACATCGTGTGGTACACCGTTCTCCAGAGTAGGTAGTTCCGAGATCTTAAGATCAAATAGTGGTTCCATAATACCATTCGAATTCAGTTGTTGATGTAGTCGTTTGGCTACTTGACGTGCTTCCAACGTTGGCTGCGGATCAAAGGTGTGGAGTACTGACAGAAGATACTGTGCGATATCATATCTATTTGTAGAGGAAGGATTAGCAACTTGAAGGTAGGCCACTCTGTAAATGCCTACATTCTCAGTTTTCCGTCTGCATCCTGGATTTTCACGAGTCTAAAAAGTTTCTGTAAAGTCCCACGATCTTCGAAAGTGATACCTTCCGAACAGGCACCGCAGGGACACGGAATCAGAACTGTTGACCCTGAAATTTCCCACCAGGTTTCAGGTAGTTTCTGTACAGACTTGAGAACAGATCCAAGATAGCAGATCAAGCAGATAGAAGTACTGCAGGTGATAGGCCGTCGCAGACCTGTGGAAAACTCGTCGACAAAAGGGTTTGAACTCTCGGGATTAGCTTGCTCGAACCTCATTTTGTGACAAACTGAGCAACGGCGCAAGGATATCGAATCCAGATTTCGCTCGTCGAACCATCCTTGAAAGGAATTGAACAGCCTTCGAGCCTCATCGACACTGAGGACACTGTCCAAAGGACTCTTTACATCGGACCCCGTATTCTCAGTCCTAGATTCAAGTGATTCCTTCAATTCGATTGTGTTGTAGTTGTCGTCCATTGTCTGTGATCTAGATAGAAGTTTGCTGATGATGATACCTCTCTGTGTTGTTTCAAGCATTCCTAGCGGACGCCCGGCACTCTGCGCTCGCAGTTTATCTAGTTCCTCTGCCATTGCCTTTTTTTCGCTCATGCTTTTTTGTAAATCAATGTTCATTTTGCAGATCTTCTGTAGCCTTGTTATCGATTCTTCCATCTTTGTTGCTATCTGGACCTTGAGGGCCTTGTTTTCTTCCAAAAGATTGTTTATCGTTACCTGCAAGTCTTCGATTTGCTGATGCATTTGATTGAAATTCTTTGCAAGACTTCCAGTCATGCACTGTGCTGCTATGCTTGGTTCTGAGAGGCCATCATCACAACCGAACCAAGGGAGCTTCGAGAGCCTCGGAATTTGCTCGGCAGTGGCATGAATAAGATGCGGCGGCTGACTTTGACCAGCATCCATGTCTGATTGAATTTGTTGGAAGGAAATCATATCTCAGATGACGAAAGCTCATATGCTAGATGCAGAAGAATGAGAGTTTTGGCTGGAAGCATATATAATAGGGCCAAGATGAGTGGAATCTACAGGAAGAGCCCCTTCTTATTTTCGAGAGGAGACCTAGGTCACAAGTGAAGGCCTCATTTAAATTTACAGATGATAAAGTCCTACAACTCACCTGTAGGAGTATTCTGGCTGCTGCAGCCGGATAGATCTGACTGGATGACAGAGTGGTCGGCCTCCTGCATATAGCGGGCCCTTGAAAAAGTAGATTGTCAAGACATGACGGAGCTTGTTGAGGATGCATTTCAAACCCCGCACTACGGAAGGATCATTAGGGCGCTTATCTTAAGTCTCCAAAGACGGATTCAAATAATCAACCTTGTGTAGCCGACCTCTCTCACAGCCCTCCTGGTTGCTGACATCTATCTATACGACAATACCAGCCGTTACCAGACTTTCTCTGTACGAAGGTACTTGCCTCCGAGCCTCGTCTCTTATATTTCAATACTTTAGCCAAATTAAACAGTGGACTCTGATTGGTGTTACTACAGATGCGGACTTGGCTACGCAACTGGGCCGAGGGGCATTGCCTGGATCGCGTGACTGCGCCACCATCTTTCATCCGTCCTGCCAACACATAATTGACTCAGGAGGCCTGCCAAACAATGAGGCCCAACAGACAGCCGTAAACAAATATCTCGAGACGCCCCAACTTCTTATCTTTCAATTTACACAGCACACCCCTTCAGAAACCTTCTACAATGGTCCATATCAACAAGAGCAGCCAGCGATGCTGCAGAGTATGCTCTACTCGTTTCAGAACCCATTCCCAGTTAGCAAACCATTGCTTAGATGCAGATCATGAAAGCGATCAGTGCTGTGAGCAATGCAGCAGATTGTTTTGCAGCACAGAAGCCTTGTCTCAGCATGATGAGGCGAAACATAGGAACTTACAGGCTGTTATACCATCTCAAAGCCAATTGCTGATCATCTCAGCACCTAACCCTCTGCAGCAACTTCCCTTCCAAGACCAAAGCTACCAAGGATTCCCACTACTCGATAATTCAGCTATATACGATTGTCTCACTCTCAAATGCCATTCTTCTGAGCGCCTTATAAGGGAAGGCTATGTCTTGAGGGGGGTGGCTCGTGAGAAGGCTAGACGAGCCGCTGACACGAGGCAAACCACTTTGGCTCCTCACCCGAGCTCTTTGGAGCCCAAAAGAAAGGCAGTGGCACTAGACTGCGAGATGGCAGGGGTCAGAAGTGGTGCAAGCGAAGTAATATCCATCTGCGTGATCGACTTTTTCACTGGAGAAGTTTTGGTCAATTCTCTTGTCAAACCTCATGAGCCCATCATCGATTGGCGTACCATAATTCATGGTATAAGGCCGGCAACACTTGCTATAGCTGTATCCCAGGGACAAGTTCTCCGTGGATGGCAAGCAGCACGGGAAGAGCTATTCAAACATATTAACACAGAAACAATCATAGTCGGACAATCTCTCCAGCAAGATTTAAAAAGACTACGAGTGTCACATGAAAAGATTTTCGATACTGCTATTCTTACAGCGGAAGCCGTGTTTGGAACGGGTGCTCCTTTTGAGCGTCGATGGAGTCTTCAATCTCTTTGTGCAGAGTTGTTGCGGTTGCGTATTCGACAGGATTCCAACACTCACAATGCTTCGGTAGACGCTTTGGCGGCGCGAGAGGTTGCCTTGTGGTGCTTATGCCACCCTGAGAGGTTGGAGCAATGGGCAGAGAGTGCACGCAGGGAGCACAGCTCGGAAAAGGCGAAGCGAGCTGAGCGCAAGCGAAATAAACAGAGGAACATGTATTACTCAGCGCCAGTTCCTGACAATGAGAGTGAGGATTATGGTTATTATCATGATTATGGTGACGACGACGACGAGGTCCTTCAATGGGAGGATGTGATAGACTGGGAAATGTGGCCAAAGTCCCCCCCTCTTCTGATTAGCATTGCGAGATAAGCATGTTTGCTTTATTTTCGGCTGCTGGTTTTTCTTTTTTGTTCCAAAGGCATGATTTGTTTCTTCTGTAGTTAAATGTGAGATTCGAGTCTCAACTGCAAGGAACCCTTCTATTGACTAAAGCTATGTGATCTATGAGAGAGTAGAAGCACTGTCTGGTAGTCTATGTACAGGACTGTACCTAATCATGAAGGCTGATGATGTCCCGAACGAGATAAGATACGACAGCATCGTCTTCGCTTCGTGGCTGGATTGGGTCATGTAATCAAAGAGGGAAACGATGATTGAAAATCGACAGAAAGTGATCTAGCCCAATGAAAATACATGGAGATCACATATACTAATTCAGAAGACATGGATAGTATGCATATTTTTATATATAAACCGCCTCAATGAGACGACACAAAAACACAGGGAAGCGATAAGACTGCTACCAAAGGATATGTAGACTTCCAAGCTATGTTTCCATTTCTATAACACGAAGTAGCTTCTCTGCCCTAACCCACCGGCCTAGGTCGAAAGGATCCGGGTTGTGTTCCTTCTGTTTCTCCTCAACGGCATAATCCAAAGCTGTCTTCCCATGCACATCACGCAGATCCACGGACAACTTTGCATCATGGCAAAGAAAGTGTAGGACGTCCTCCACGAGGGTTCCTACTATGGAACTATGATGGAGAAATGTTCGACCCTCTGTATCCAAAGACCTTGGGTCTATACCCCATTTTGCTAACGTCTGGAGTACACCCACAGAGCATCGGCGGGAAGTACCGACTAAATGCACCAAGCCCAACCCTTCTGCAGTTTTGAAGCTGGGGTCTGCTCCACAGCTCAACAAAAGATCTAGCACATTTTGGTCATCCTGGTGTGAAAAGAGGACAGTAGCACTAAGATATAACGCTGTGGGAGACATTCCTGTGCTGTCGAGACTGTTAATGCCATTACATCGTTCCAGGAGATATCGAGCGACAGGAACTCCAACTGCACCGCATTTTCTCAAGAGGTGATGGAGAGCATTCCTCCCTTCTTTGTCTTTGGACTGCATGAAGGCCTCCTTCTGGAAGTCCGGGATGGTGTTTAACAAATCTTGCATTGTCCGTAAGTGGCGACTTTGTGCTGCATAATGCAAAGTGTTGACCCCGTTGACATCCTCAGCCATAGGATCTGCCCCCAGCATGAGAAGATTTGAGACAGCAATGAAGTTCTTCTGTATAACGGCGAAATGTAATGGTGTCCTATTTTGCCTTGTGCACAAAGAGATATCAGCACCTCTGTCGATGAGCTTCTGAAACACCGACTCGGTCAATTTCTCACTGCGGGCCGTGATATGCAAAGCAGACAGTCCAAAGTTGTCTTGGGCATTGATATCGGACTTGGGGCTGCCTAAGATTAGGTCAACAACCGCAGACCTTTGTTTTCGGATCGAGGCAACAGCTGAGCGGTACTCATCCTCCTCTGGATCAATATAATCAAGAACACATTCCACGCAATTATCTGCATTATTCCAGAAGTCCGCAGCGGTTTGACATCTGGGCCCATGTAAGTCTTGCTTCATTGCTAGATGCAGAGGCGTTTCACCACTGTCAGAAGGAAAATTTGGGTTCGCTCCGTGATCCAAAAGGAACCTCGTCATCTTTTGGCTTACTGTCAAGGCAGCGAGATGCAGCGGAGTTAAGCCTCGCTTCGAGCAGGAGTTATAAACGGCCGTCTGCTCACTGTCTTTTGTAGCATAACTCGACTGGTTCTCTTGATAATGGGGTACGTGAGTCTGTCTCGTCACTGGTAGATCCACTGGTATCCCGGCGTTCAGGAAGACTCGGGCGATCGCTTCATTGCCGGTGCTAACTGCGTAGTGAAAAGGTGTCATGTTCTTGAAGTCAGAGTCAATGATAGCTCCTCCTTTAAGTAGAGACTCGGTACAGGGCTCCCAGCCGTTATGTGAAGCATGATGCAAAGCGGTTTTCCCTTCTGCGTCCCGGACATCGGCGCATACGCCTTGCTCTATGAGCCATTGGGCAGTACCTTCCCCATGGCCTTTCCCATCCTTTGCACTCAGTAGTAACCAGTTCCTGGAAACCCTTGAACTCGAAGAGCGGAATCTATCAATGGAAGGGTAGTTGGAACCAGCGAGTCGGGCATGAATGGGACCATGGTCGAGAAAATATTCCAGCAGCGGATAGGCCTGTTTTCCAGCTTTTCTGCTCTGAAGAAGTCGTTCCATTGATGAGAAATCGACGTCAAAGACAGGAAATAGCAGGTAAGTAAGGCACGAAGTCGCTATCATGGCGTCTGCATCCAGCTGCGAGTTTCTCCACGTGGGCAATGCCCGCTTCAGGTACTCCTCCGTCGTGTAATGAATAAGAGTAACACTGTCATTATGCTCGTCAACGGCAACCAAGCCCGCACAGGCAGAAACCATATCGTCTATACTCATTAAGCTGTCTTCATCAATATGTAAATCTGTTTCCTGGATAATGACAGCTGTTCGGAGCTCTTGAATGGTGAGAGGCCTTTTTACAAATGTCAGCCAGGCTAGAACATCCTTAGCAACGGATGCTCGGTCTCCGTGCTGGCTCTCTATTCTTTCAAGAGCACCCTGGTAAGCTTCGTCGTATGCTGATGCGCCGGTCGGCAATGTGCTGAGTGCGTCTCTCAGCCTTCTGAAAGACATTATACCTTCAAGAGAGTCAAGGTGCAGGCGAGCCAGAAGGAACCTGTGTTGGTTTAGCTCTGATTGGTGGTCCAGAAGAATGACTGAATCGACTCACATCCCTCCGCTCGCTTCTAAGATCGCTTTACAAACATCCTCATGGAGCTGTTGACTCTTTGCGACGAATGCACCAACCTTCAGCATGTTCGTACCAAGGTACTTGCGAATATCCGCCTCCCTGGCATGTATTTCAAGTACAGTACTCCCTTCTAATTGCTTGTCGTTGCAAATATCAGGGATGACCCGAGAGGTTACCAAGATATTTACGCCTTGCAAGCCTCGAAGCTCCGTCATAAGCTCTCTCCACACAAGACACTCATCAAGACCATCAATGACTATAAAGGCTCGAGAAGTCAAACAAGCCACGGTATTTAATGCTCTCTTGATCTCTTTGACCGAAGGACGAGTGTCCTTTTTCTTGTGCATGCTATGCAAAGTGATCATTGCGTCTGGTAGAGACTCTTGGCACTGAGCAAGCTGCTTTAGGATACTTGAGAGAATAAGATTGACGGTTTCGTTGTCTTGATGCCTGAAATCGCAGTAGTGGTAAGCTATGCCAGTGTTATGCTCCTTGTTGAGGAGGTTGTGAAGATATTGGATCGCAATCGAAACTAGGAATGTCTTCCCTTCTCCTGGAAGACCTGGACAGAACAAAATTCTTCCTTCACTTTTGATCCATTCCTGAAACTCGGCTGAAACGAGAAACCATTCGCAGGTTCCCTCTTCGTGTCGATCTAACAAAGAGCTTTGGCGTAACCCATTGTCAGAGGGTGCAAACCAATCAAGTATTTCATGCAGATGCTGCTGATCTACTCGCTCGGTTATGTGATCAGTCTTTTGTTCCATTCTGGAGAACCTTTTGCTGCAATTGTATCAACCCATGAGACTTCTTAGAAGAAATGTTACGAATACCTATACATCTGTTTCTCGGTAGCACCGAGTACCTGGAGATTGAGCGATAACCGTGTTCGGAAGTCTTGAAAATCAACATGGTCCCAGTTCAATCTTTTCCAGGCTTTCTTCGCATGATGGACCATGCCCGTACTGGTAGCTCCCATTACTCGATACTTGTCAAGCTTCACGAGAAGATCTTTCAAAAGACAGGTCGACTCATCTGTGACTTTCCGGAGTTTTTCTCGCTGCTCGATATCAAGTTCCCATTCAGATGAAAGGATGTCAATATCTAGGATAACATTATGAAAGCTTTTGAGGCTTCCGGTCAAGTGAGTATGCTATATGCGAAGAGGAAGAAAATTGGCTTACTCCTTTGATATTGCATCATAGTGACTGGGGGCATCCAAGAATCGCTTGCGGGCTTGGTGAATAAGCTCCAGGATTTTGATGAAATCGCCAACACCGACCCCGACACTCATTGTATCGACGAATTTTTGAAGTCGCGATTTAAATTTGTTGGAGCTTCCAAGGAAGTGATTTCTGCTGCTTGATGCTCAAGATGCAGATACGTATTATTTAGGCAGCAGTGTGGCGCCCTCATCAAGGCTGAAAGCTGGCTTACATCCAGAGCTCATGTGAGACGAGGCAGAGTTCGAGAATGTCATGGACCAGCGAGTCTTTATAAACCAATGCTCATAAAAGGTGTCCAGTGTTTCTTTTTGCTACCGATATCGATTTTCTAGTATAATACAAATCCAGTATTACGGCCATATAGATTTGGTAATCTTATCGGCGAGATTCGGGGACTAAAGACAAATGATCGAGAGAGCAGAAGTTAGGCTCATTTGGTGAGGCATACAGGGTAGTTAGTCACCCTGCTGTGGTGGATAACGCCTAAAATTTATCTTACATGGAAACGGTTTCGGAAATTAAAACTGCAAATAAAATTTAATGGCGTTATAGGTATACCGAGATTTACCTTAACTACGCACCGCAGAGTCTCTACTATCAATCCTGTCAGCAGATTTTTCTAATTCCGCCTGTGGGACGACTAGTAAACGTAAACTAGTGCATGTAAAACCTACTTAAGTTGTAAAAAATGATCTCACCTAATGGCCACTGGGATAATTTCGAGAGCCTCAAATAAGTTTGAGGCCTACTATGTAATAGTGAAGAACAGCAATTAACACATATAGGTAATACACTCTTTGTTGCTCTTATAATGGCTGCAGTTGAGTGCCAAACCTGACCGCGACTGAATAGCTTGTTGACAGCGTTGCCTGGGCCGTATCATATCATCTTAATGGAAGTTTTAGGCTCAAAAACTAAAGATCTGAACTCCCCTTTCCAGTTGCATTTTTTATTTTGTGCGGCTCTTATCACTTTCCATTTACAGAGC